AACAATTGTTTTTGTCGTGCATATCGTGACCGGCATTGGGTCCCAAATCATAAACAACAAGCCACATTCTGAATGTTCAATTTCCAACAAAAATGGCTGCGCGACTACTGATTACTTACTCCGAGAAAGGAGTGTATTCTCATTCAAGCAAGATCATATGCATAGATATGCACATTATTTTACCTGGACTAAGACCGAATCCGGTCCCGTTTGTTGGTATTCGAAGAAGCCCTTAAGGGGCCAGCAACTCTCTTCAACCATGTCTTCTACGAGCTTTCTGCTAAGAAATCCTCGCCAATGTCGTTGGATGGTGGCAGCGTTGGTATTTCTGAACCGCGTGGCAGCCTCAAATTGCACGTACTGTTGCGCCCAAAAAGTCTTACAGACTTGCTGTGCGAGAATCAGCAGTCGCTGCGCTTTGCTACCCTCTCGCGAAAACCTCAAAAAGAGCTGCTCTCGCTCAATCTGGAGAAAATTGTAGATGGGAGCTTCATCTTCTTCAATAATGTACTATGTATAAGACGATTTATTTAATATACTTCCAATAGATACTAGTAATCAGATTATGTTGAGTGAGCAGCGCCTCAATTTTTGATCACGATAGATACGATTTGCGTTTACGATTACGAGTTCGAGTAGGTTCGTTGAAGATATCTGGCAAATCCTACTTCAAGATCAATCATCCATACATCTGAAAACTCAATTTTGTACGTCTCTTTTGCGGACGAGAAAGCCTCTAGCACGGGTTTGCATTTTGATGCCTGCCTCTTGCCTCGCGTCAATTTGTATCATAGCTGCCTTAACGGCTTCTAAAACTGGAGCCCTACCAATGACCATCCTTCGCATCTTCGCTATCCTCACTAGACTCCCTCGAAAAAGACGTTGGATATCCAAAATAGCTTTGAGGACATAGGCCTGCTGCGCCGCCTCATCGTGGAACAACTCGCACGGTCCGTGTCTGTAAATGTAAATCAACAGCAGAAAGTAAAAGAAAAAAATGAACAAATGCTGGTGATGCCAGGTACCTGATTATAGTAGCTGGATGAAGTTTCTGCTTCTGCTGTCTGAAACGAATACACTCACGCAGCAACATGTAAGTACTTAAATTGATGTTGGTGCAAATTTTCATTGACAATCAAAGTCGAAGTTCGCGAATAGTACGGTGCTCTAAGGAATTTTCCGTTGTGCGTGGGTGCCATTTGAAGCCTAAAGCGCCACGGAAGCAGACTGTCAGGCTGCAGCTGAAAACTGACTAGTGTCGGGTGCTCAACGATCGAGAGCATGTGTATCTTCTTCGCAGCTAGGAAACTGAGTTTTTGGTAGAGTTGAACTTGAAGTTGATTTGTCATATTTTTCAACGTCGAAGTAGGACATTGAAATAATTGTTCATCTTCTGCTTCCTGTTCATCATCATTCAGCTAGACGTAACAAATAAGCCGTCGTGACTACTTAGTAGGCAGTCGAGAAATCTAAAAAAGTGTACTAGGCAAAGTCTGAGTACTTAGGAGGCAAAATCTGAAAAAGTGTACCATTTCATCTGCGAGGCTAGGCTTTTCTGCGCATTGCCTCGGCGCTCTGCTTTAAGCCTCCTTCTTCTGTGAATGGCTAACATCATTCGCACGCAGCATTGTATCAGAACGATCTGCATTTCTTTCTTTCTCTGTTCCAACTGTGCCGTCTGCAGTCTTTTCACCCGCTCACGGCCCATTATCCTGAGAAGAGGGCGATGACAAACAAGGATGAATCAGATCTCGTTGCGGGGTGTTGTTGAAAGCAGGACCTCGTGAAGGGCACGGTCGAGTGTAGGAGTAGGTCTACTAGGTGTAAGTGATGGAATAAGAAGTAAAAGTAATTTCGCCAAACTACAAAAGAAACAATGAATATCGTATCTGGTTACAACAAGCTTATGAGCTTTAGACGAAGCATGTTACCCTCTCTGCACTTTCTGAATATCCGTCGCGGACTTGACGAATTTTTCGGATCGGATCATCGCCACCCGCTTTTTCGCAAGACAAATGCGCATTCTAGTCTGAATCGGCACCAGCATCTTCCCTAGATGTCGTCGATGTTCGAGCATGGGCTTTGTGCGTTTCTTTACGAGAAACATCCGTGCCAAAGCTTGCATTTTTACTGCGGCCTTCTCCCGTCTAGCGCCTGTTGTCTGAGAAAGCTCGATCTGCTCGGTGCCGTCAGGATTTCTTGAAATCTTGAGTCGGACCATTCCGCGTAATGAAGCGGCAACGCCCTTCGTCTGAGCAGCTTTGCGTTGCCTGGTGATAAGTGGGAAAGAAAACAAAGCTGATGCTGATAATCATCACTCTGAGACCATCAAGATCAAACAATGATTATTCAATCAGATGCTTGTCATATCCTTATCACTATCGTAGTTGCTGTCCTTGACCTCCGGTTTCTAGAGATAGACTTATTGTCTCACAGCAGTAAGTACTTTATCTCCTTGAATCTCTTTTTTTGAATGGTCGTCCGCAAGAAAGCCTGGAGCCGAATGGTAACTCTCGTTAGCTGCTCTGCATCTTTTTCTCTTTGAAGCCTCGCTTCTTTTTCTTCTTCAGTTTCCTCGACGACTGCCGCAACCGCGGTAACCGGCCTTGGCGCTATGGCCATTACTGGATTCCGCTCTTTCATCATCTTCAACATCTTCAGCTTCGTATAGAGCTTGTGATACCTGACCAAGTGTGGTCGCAGGTCTTTGTATTCAATACCAAGAGTGAATTCATCTTGCATATCCTTCGCTCGTAGACTAATGTAGTCGTAAGTTAGTAGCTAAATTCATCTACTTACATATGATACACGAAGACGATCCACGTGGCCCTGGTCTTCGATCATTTAATGGAATGAAACACCAAGTAGGCAGATACATCATGGATTTCGGATCCGCAAAAGTGCTCTCCTTCGACTTGCTATTGTGGAAGAAGGCTTCTCCCTTCGAGTCCTTGCTTTCCTTCCAGTTTTCGAGCTCGGCCTCAATATCGGCCTCCTCCCTTTCCAATCGTTCTTCGAAGTCCCTAGAAGAGATTTTCCATTGAGAAAGATGTAAGAACTCTCAACAAGAAAATGTTGATAAACATCAATCTAGGCATTGTCCTTGTTCGGTTCGAAATTTAGCACTACCACGACCAGCAACCAGCTTCTTCAGGAACTAACTTCTACTAAATCTAACCGTAGTCAATGGAATTGGAAATGGTACACCCTTCTGCCACCCGCAGATCATCCAAACACTAAACATGTATCAGGTTGCAAACAATGTCCTCAAGAATTCATGTACCAGAATCCTCCTCTGTAAAAAGCGGTCCTGTATGCTTGCGCGATTTCTCGAAATACGGGATCCATTGGATGGGTCCACGAGCTTTCGCCGGTAGTAGAACAGTAGAAGTAGACTCTGCCTTGTGGGTCCATGTATTCACCCCAATCTGGCGGCAATTCCGCGGAATAAGCGGCTTCCGCAACCCACAGCATGAAGGGTTCTCGCAGCGGGTCGATGTCCAGCGATTTGGCGTAATCCACCATCTCGATGACAGCGGCGCCGCCAGCCGCTCCGCCCATGGCGGACGACTGAGCAGCTGTTGCACCACTAGGCATCGTGGAAGCAAACCTTCCTTCTGTGCTTCTAGAAGAAGTACGTAAACGTAGTAGTAGTACTGCTTATATTTCTATAATATTCGTTTTGTTAGAATCACTATTCCGCTGATGACCACGGGGACGCACACGAGCGTGTTCACCCGCGACGAGTATGCGAAAAGTCCAAGATGTCGGTTGAAACGATCACTGCTTGTTATCCGTCGATGGCATTCAGGTTCGAAAACAGTAGATAGCAACAACACTGCAGGATCACGCGGTCAGGATCCTGGATGTATCGTCAAGCAACTTGCCTCTCGCCTTCTGCCAACAAGATCGTAGGGAAATCACGTGCAGCTATAGGCGGATACTACCTAGTACGAGTACGTAGTGTAAGCTTACTGCTCAGGAGGCTGCTGAGGCCGTTTGCTGCGTAACACAAGTTCCGGCTTGGTGGATTGTAGTTCGGTGTTGTTGTACCGGTCTCGTTAATATAAAGAACGATGTGACCGCGAGCGCGACCACGTCGACTGCAATTGATCCGTGGGCGCACAGGAGTCGTCCAAGGTATTTGCCACACCAAATGACTCGGCAAACGACACTGCTCTGTGGAAAAACTCAAGACCGAGACGCTGTCTTCAATAGCGAGAGCAAAACGCCGTTCTTAAGAGCCCTAGAGATGCACGTCACCGACGACAATGAATTACTTGCTAGATAACAACCCTCGTTCTCGGTCCCTAAAAAAAGCATTAATTATGACCATAAAACCGATTAAAAAACAACAACATGGGCGTGACCGCCTTCTATTCGTGATCTACTAGACCGGAATGGCGCACGTGGTCGGAGCAGCTGACTTGGTCTACATCGACAAAATCGTCCACCCTACAATTAGTGGCCCGGGATGGTGGGCGTCCTAATTTCGTTTGAGATTAGAATTTATCATCAAGAAAAGTTTTTTGTTGATCGATCGTGATGGAAAAAATAAACTTGCGGACAGCGACGACCCTACAACTACCTCCAAAATTACGATCACTGCGGCTTCGGCTACTGCCTCTATCATAATTCAATACCATCGACAATCAGAAGACTCAGAGGTACGGGGCCGCTAGGGGGAAGTACAGGATAAATCTTCTCGACGCTCGTGTTCATCGCGACTCCAACATCGTATCACGAGTTGCATTTCTTTTCCAGCCAACATCTGAACAAGTACCGACACGGAACATCATAAAATGCAGCGAAGTAAACATCTTCACCGAAACAGATGTCGTTACAGAGTCATGACTCCACCGATTCTGACAGTGCAGCAGGAGTCACCGGCATCATCGACGAAGGAGTATTCAACAGGGACACTACATGCACATCTTGAACAACACCGATTTGTCCAAACAGTTTCATTGCTAGTGCTGGAGGTGGACATGATCCATTATCTTACATCAAACACGATCGGGCACTGTCAGTGTCTGACCTGTCGGCAGAGTTTTTTCCGGAAATTCTATGAAGCAAGAAGGCCATAATTGCAGGTGTAAGAGCAAGAGATTATTTGGTAACTGTGTTTGGCGCGCTTAGAGAACGATCGCATCTTCTGAATCAAAGAAATACAAGTCCCTACTCGGGTTGACGACGTAACTGAAAGCCGACGTGCAGGTTGATAGATATAAGGAAAAAAAGCTGCATACCGTCGTCCGCATTAATTGCTGCAATGAATTAAGGAAGAAAACAAAGTCTTAAAAATTTATCACTTTTGGTTTCGCTAGATCTAGAAGACGACTGCGGGTAGTGAGAGCCTCACTGATATCGGTCTCTGGGTGCAGAAGATTTGACTCAGCAATACGCAGCAAAAATGCGTTCCTCCAGCCGATCGTAGAAGGCTTTTCCTTCAGGCGGAGGCATTCGGTGGAACTTGTTTACTAGAACTGCATCGTACAAAGACCCTGATCGGCATCTTTTTGTTCTCCCAGAAGTTTCCTTGAATTGCTGGATGCCATCATTTCCTGCATTTCTTATTTTTCGCTTCTCATCCTCCTCTTTGTCTAGATCTCTTCGCATCTCGATTGTGATGAAGTGCGGCGCATGGCCCCACGCTATCTCCACTTGATGCAAGCGATGCCCAAAGTCGTGATATAGAAGGTCCAGCATCGGATGTCGTACAAACACGGCACGCTCCGCCATGTAATGGTCAATCTCAATCGCATGTTTACTGCGTCCTTGATCTTCACTCGCTTGCTCTGTGTCTGTCGCGTCTGTTGATGATGAAGAAGTGGATGTCCTGCCTACTCTGCTAGTCGTTTTCTGCCTGCGTCTCTGTGCCCACTTCTCGTGCTGGTAATTCATGCGTAGTTTCTTTGTATCGTCGTACTCTTTCAGGTTCTCTGGCAACGCTAACGAACTGTTTCGGTACTGGTTTCGCGCCGTTACCGACACGGCGTCCTCGAAGGCGAGCGCTGGTGACGATAGACCTACTGCGTGCAAGATACGTTTATCTTCGGCGCCGTAATTTTTCTTCTTGTCAGATTCAGCTAACTTCTGAAGAGGGAAAATTCCATTCATATCGATACCGAACTCGACAGTGTTAAATTGCAACCAAATTGAGAATTTTACTGCCGAGCATGTCCGCAGAAGACGGAGCGCACCACGAACAATCACATCATCGACTGCCGGTGTCGATGCCCTCAAATCACAGGAAAATTTACTTTCCTCCTGCTCAAAGAGACTCACCGGATGTTCCTCCTCCGCAATCTTCAGTGTTCGAGCATAGAAGTTCCTTGTCGGATCATATGGCAAGGTGTCGGGGAAAACTGAGCGCGGCGGTCCATGTGCTGCGATGTCTTGTTGAACTCGCCTGCGAATACGCCTACGAATCTCTTTGGACACGTAATACGACGGCACACGTGAAGATGCGGAGCTAGAGTCACTTCTAGTTGCAATTGTGGTTGTACCACCTTCAAGTTCAATATCCTCATGAGACTTTTTCCTGGTTTGCGCAATCCAGTCCTCCACAGCGTAATCTAAGGTACAAAGCTCTCGTTTCGTCCAACCTGCTTGCAATTGCAAGCTTGGGCCTCCTGCTTCTTGTAGTTCGTCAGATACAGATTGTTCGGAAGAGGGTAAGACTACATCCACAGCTTTTCCTTTTTGATTTTTCTTACTTTTCTCGTGTTCCCGCGTCTTCATGTCATGCTCCAGTGCTTCATCCTCGTGAGAGGCTTTGTTCTTGAATTCGCCTACTGTTTCGCTAGGCTCGAAGACGGAAAACACAAGAGAGCTTAAGAATGGATGCATTTTGGTAAAGTCAGTGACGATTTCGCCGTCTTTCTCGTAACTGCCAAAAAGACATGCTTGTGAACCGAAAATAGTTGCGACATCTGACCCCATTGTAGACCTAGCTGCTTTCTCTCCTTGGTCTTCTCCGCTACCGTCAGAAAGTGGCGCGACTTCTTGCAAGCCAGTGAGAAAAACGTATAAAGGCTCGCCCTCTTCTTGTTCATGATCGTCTTGTTGGCCTTGTTCGTCCTCGTTTGATGAGGGCTTCCTATTGTTCTTTGCCTTCGTCTTTTCCGCAGCTGTTCGCCAGTATGGCCTATGAGGCATACTCTCCCAGACCTCTTCCACGTTATTTTGGTCAACGACCCGTCCGTTCCACCAAAACCGATCACGGCGTGCCATAACCACGGCGTCTCCTGCTAGAGTCGCTAGCTGAGGCAATGCACTTGACCGCTGCAAAAGATGCACACGGTGAACGTGCGTGCGGCTGATGTCGGTCGGATCATACATTAGCCACATCTTCGCTTTCGAGTTACTGTAGTCGCGTGCCTGTGCGTAACCCTCAGCGGCGCCGGGAGTTGGAGGAGGATGCTGGAACTCAGAGTCTTTTGAGCAGTGTGAGGGTAGATCATTGGGAATTGAAAAATACGAATACTGTACAGAGTGTACTTCTATGTACGTGAGAGACTATTGTATATTGCACGTGGATGGATCCGACTAAGGGTAGACAAAACCCGCCATAACATATCGCGCCCTGGTACGAGACCCGAGTGTCGTTCTAGCCACTCTCCACTAACGACTGCAAAGGAGGCAGTGTAGTCGCGAAATAGAGCTTCTCGCCTCGCGCTATCGTCCGGGACAACGCCAGTGCCAGAACCGAGGAAAAAGTGTTTGTTGGCGCTCCTGCGAAAGAGACGCACACCCTGCACGCTGCTGTCGGCAAGATAGCCACTCCCGAAGGACCCGGATAAAACGTCGAAAATCACGCTCGCGCCGTCATAGCCACCCACATCGATAACAGTTGTGGTGCTGCTGTCTTCTATGGCTGCACCAGTAGTGGATATGTCCTCTGGTGTGCGAGCCGCATGAGGCTTATTCGAGGACGGGACTGTTGCTTCGCGAAGCTCCTTCTCGAACTCCTCGGCGCCATCTGTTGGTCCGACGACAGACGTCATCACGCCGTCACGGTTTCCCGCAAATTTACGGCTGTAAACAGGCTCTAAACCGTCCTCCACTGTCTCAGGGTCATTCATCAGACTGCCGCCACGTTGCGTTCGCTTCCGTTGTGTTAGGTACTCGCGTGTCCGGCCATAAAAAGCTGTCAGGAGGCCCGCACGCACTTGCAAACCTACGTCAGCTCGAAGAAAAGGTCGCCGCCCCTGAGGGGATATTATTCCTGATACCAACGGCGGCGGTAATCCTTTCGTATTCAACTCCTTCACCTCGCCCAATGCTTCGGCTGGAGGACCATTAGGTCCATTGTACGTGCTCGGCGTCTTTTTCGTTGCCCTCTTCCGAGATGCTGCCTTCTCAGTAGCACGCGCATTTGCTTTGGTTTTGCTGGTGGGTACCTGTGGAGAAGACTTTCGCGAATCTGCCTCGATGTCGCTCTTCGCTTGCTCTTCTTCCAATTCGCCACCCATCTGATCTTCTTCTCCCGGTCCACCAGAAAGTTCGTTTTTTCCTGTTATCAGCACATGCTTCAATTCCTCCGGGAAGGACTTGATTTTCGGCTGTCCATCCACGTAAACATCGCGCGTTTCCACCTGTTGCGAAAGAGCCATGTCCAAGACCACAGGGAAAGGCGACCCCTGTAGAATCCAATCTGAAAGCAGCGACGGTGTATGGGCGTACTTTCCACGCCTGCCGTCCATTTGCAGGATCGGTCCGTCCCGTATGCAGTCCAGGAGAAATCCCTGTCGATCAGCAGATGTACGTACGTGGCTCTCACTTCGTAGTCTTGATATCGGCGTACCGCGCCCGATGGCAGCGGCCAGAAGGTCCGCATCCGAAAGGACGTCAGGCCATTCCTCTGTAGTGCCAAGATCGTACATGAACTCGACCAATTTGGATTCACAAGGATTCGACTGGATGGAAGATGACGTGCCAGAATCTTTGATATTTCCAGCCTTTACAACTGCCGCTTGAGACTTCTGTTCTTGCGTGCGACTTCCGCGTTGTTGTTCCTGCGTCTTTCTCGTTTTTGGCGATCGTTTCCTAGTTTGAGTCGACGTATGCGATGAGGATTCAGGCGGAGCAAGAACGTCCTGTGATGAACTCTCCGTAGTTGACAACATTTTCGCTTCTCGATCTTGTCCGCGAAGATTAAAATCTAGGAAAATACGCCACAAGCGGCGATTTTCTCCTCCAATCTGCCCAAGCACGTGTTCACAGCACTCCTCCTCAGATACTCGACTGACCTTTAGATTATCCGCGTTTCTATCTCCAATCGATATTTCATTGTGCGCCTCGTTGAACACAACTCTCGATTCTTCAGCATCTGCTTTCAATTGGGCGTTGAAAAGGTCGGCGGCAGAACGATCCGTCAGCAGTTGCTCGCCTTCCGCATAGCGGGAGTCGTCAACGTCACGCGTGAGGAGCACAGGATTACAGCTGCGCCGAAACACTAGCCGAGGGTTCGCATTCGGGCGACGATGCTTGCGCAAGACACAGTGGGAAAATTGCTCTTGCAATCGATCCTCCGTCAAAAACGCCGCCTTTGCTACAAGCAGACGGATTTCCGACAACAACAACGAGGAGGGCATATCGAGCTCGTCCTCGCGAAGGGCCTGGCCGCTATCGCGGACACGACCACCGTCTACTTCGAGGTCGACAACTCCAGCTACTTGTTCATCATCTGATTGTGTTCGTTCGCGGCCCTCTGACGTCGCTGCGTCTACTCCATGATCAGGTAAAGAGGGTTTGAAAGGTGGCCATCCCTCGTCAATGCTCACGCGCTCCAGCCGCCTCATGGTGGTCAGCACTTCTCGGTATCGCCACAAAACAGCGCGCTGCAGACCAAAGATCACTGCATACAGTGCTGGCACAGTGTCTGCAACATGCTGCTCTAATTGAACGAGTGAGCGGCCCGCTTGGGTGTGATCCTCTACCACCAGGGCTTGCTCCTGTACTCCTGCAGTGGTAACCTCCGTAGCATTACCATCATGATAAAAGGATTTGCATTTAGTTGCGGTTGCTTTGCGAAAGTTTTGTTTGTAGGGTTCATACGCTTCGTCGCTGCTTGACCGGATCAGGTACTCGAACATCAAGCGTCCCACCTCACAGTTGCTGCGGAATAGAGACGCCGACTCGTTGCGCAGTGGCCGCAACAACCGTGCATCGCCGAACAAGTCGACCCCGATCGTGTCGTAAAGTGGGATGGGACCGTACTGTCCTGGATCGCGGACAGCGTTTAGTCCGAAACGCTGGCGCATTTTTTCCATCAAGACGACATCCTGAAAGAGATGCTCGTCCGCACGTAGATTGCTGTATCGTCTTCGGTTCCACCGCGCGTGGTTCAACCCCCAGACACTCGCGTGCAGGAGCGGAGAGGTGATTGCCTTCTCGCTACGCAACAGCGTGTTGTAGGGGTATTTCCGTTCCGGCATGTGCTCCAATGCAGTAGCGGCATGGGGGTTCAGGTGCAGAATCAAATACACCGAATGCGAAATGTCTCGGCAGAAATTCATGTCCATGCGGTCCCATTTTTGATCCCGCTGTTCCGTGAGAGCCGCCAGCACAAGCCCTTGGGAAGATGTTGAATGTAGCAGCTTCGATCCACCATTCAAAACCACGTCGAAGGCGAAATCAACGTCGCCGACAAAAACGAGATACGCCCTCCACAGAAGCAGCAGAGTCTTCAACATTTTTTGTCCACAATGAGGACTCGGGTTGAGTCATTGAGTTGCAATACGTGGTGTGTCCGTCCCGGACGAAAGATAGAACGCGATGGATCAGGTTCAGGACAATGTGACGCTGACGCACGGAAACTTACTTTACTATGATTCAGCAGTAGGCGCACACCCAAATCAAACCCGCTACTCCTCGTAGCATCCTTTCACTCTGACGACAGCGTATGCTGATGTAGGGGTTTTCAATCACATAGCGGGTGAAGCATTGTCGATTCTACGTCCCCTGGCGTGGATTGCTCATGATTTTTTCTTGCCCGCTCTTATCTTCGTTACCGTTAGGTGTCACTCGAAAAAGTTACGATATAAAAGGGCTCGCATAAAAAGGCGGCGTACGATGAGGTGGAGGCATTGATGGACCGAAAATTCTTGTAGGAAAACCTGTGTTGATTGTGTTCGTATTCCTCAAAAAGAATTTTCATTCCTTCGCGCTCGAAGATAATGACAGACTCGATTGAAAAGCATGCTTCATATGTGAGTTCAGAATTTTACGCCCCAGCATGAACAATGTCGCTAGCTGCAACACCGGATTCCCATCAACGACCTCGGTTCGCCGTTCGGAGGACCAGGAGGTAAGACAAATGGAGGTTGCGTTTCAGTCACTTTGACTTTAGTCTGAAGAAAGCATTCTTATGTCGTCATCTTCGCCTTCGGCTAGGCCTGCAGCAGCAGACACCGGACCAATAGCTCCGAATTGTGTTTGATGGGGTTGCGAGCCACAGCCAAAAAACGCAAAATGTTAAAAAAAAAATTCCAGTATGAATATGTATGCTAGTACTTTGTACTTGTTCTGTTTTTACCTCCAGCAAAGATTTTAGGGAACTAATTACATAGACTTTTTTAGGCTGTCATCTGTTGCTATAACGGACGATCTAACTCTATCAAGTATAATCGATTAAAGTTAAGCAGACGACATGATTTTGTTAGATAGAGTTCGGCCGTGATCCCCATCAAGTAAAAATTGATCCACGCCCATTGTAATACACGGACAAGTAACATACAATTACGCACGGATCCAAAAAACAAAATGAACAGACATGACTAATTTAGGCTTCATCAAGAAGACGCTGCAATCAATCAGAATGTGATCATTCATGATGTTGATCATGATCATGTTGTGATATAACATTTCTTTTGCCTTTAGCGTTATTTTGGTCACGCCTGCAGTTCCAGTAGAAAGCTGCTCGTGCTCCTGCCCAGACGATTAAAACTTGTTCACACCTGACAAGTATGACAAGATTTAATATGCAAGACCCGTTGGCTTGTCGTGATCGTACTACCCCTCCCGGACGTCCACCATCCGATTCTTCATTGCGCCACTGCATGTCTTCGACGCCCTCGCGCCGCTCTTTCATGATCTCAGACGCTTGATCAAGTTAGACCAACGATGCCCAATTCCATTTCAGGTGAATCCATCGCTTTACTCGTCCTTAGGTTGTTGTTTTCCATTTTTTGAAACAAGGACGACAAGGATGAACCTTCAGCTTCTGATTCTGCTTGTGTTTCAGGACGATGTAAGTATGAACCTATAAAAAAATATAGGGATCCGCATAATTGCAAGTTGTAGCTAGTAGCCTTAAGAGAAGACACTGCCACTGTTTCACTCATCGTCCGCCACAGGGATCTCTCGATAAAAAGCAAGTGAGTCCCACACCTGAATTGATTGGAAGTTCAATGGGATGCATGCACCTTCGAAAAATCATTCACACGAAGGACCATCCGGGTCTTCCGCTTGTGCGCAAAACCATCAACATTAAAGCTTTCGCCGAAATGGAAAACGAAAACCAAAACATATCAAAATATATCACATTTAAATCTAGCTTCTTCTAGTACAATGAGGTGCTTGGCCTTGTTTAGTATGTATGTACATATGAAGATGTTCCTGTACGTTCACATATTGAAAATGAAATCAATATAATACTAGAGATTCAACAGCAGCAAGTCGCAGGCGCACGTGCTCGTGCATCAATTCAAACATAAAAATACTCGTCGTTCTGGTCGTGAAATCTACCTATTCGTTCTTGCGAGTATTCATTTTTTCAAGAAACATGCGGCAACTTTCTTTTCATAATTCTACGAGTTCCCTCTCAGAGTCAGAAGATGACGAACATGGATATGGCTTTGGGAGCGCGCCTTAACGATAGTGCTTTCTCTGACCAGGATGGTATGTCCGGCGCGCACGTCTTTGAAGCTTCTGATGACCAGTTCCTCTGGTTTAGAGCCGTGAAAACTCGGTAGAAGCGAGAATCTCATCGAGATCGAGTGTCGTAATATAAATATGCCGCGTTCTGCGAGAGTCTTCAATAAAGCTCGATAATTCGAGTGGCTTTTCAAAACCCACTTGCCGTCGAAGAGGTCCGCAGGGAGATTCTACGTAACGCATCCCGCAATTTTGTTTGACAACTGTGCATACATCGTAGTCGTAGAAGATGTCGCTGGTGGCGGAAAGTACCGGCCAACAGACGATGTAGTTGAAGATGCAGCAATGGCACGGGCCGATAAAAAAGCGCTGTCACTAGATGCGAAGGTTGCGCTCGAGTTTCGCGAATCTGTCGCCTTGCCATCCTTAGCAGGAAAAAGGTCGAGAAAGGCTCTTACTATCCGGTGCAATCAAGGGAACCGGCAGCTGAGAAATCCAAGTGGACGGCCCAGCAACGCGCGCAAAAGTTTCATTCGCGTCCGCTGTGTTGTAGCACAAGCCGATCGTTCGGCTAGAACAACCCGGAAAGGGAATGCAGCTCGTGTTTGCAACGACTGCAAGCAGATCATCCGCTGATGCCTTACTCGGATCGGGTAATAGTGGAGTATCAACTGGTGCTACAAGTTCGTTGCCGGCGTCCACCTAGTTGTCATGGATACCGTCTGGTGCGGATTCTGTTGGTTTACTTGTAGTGGTCGATACTCCTCTACTCGCTTGGAAGCTGTAACCTGGAGCACTCTGTGGCTCCACCTTCATGTAGTCATGTATCACAGGCTAGCGCAGGGATGACGACATCCCTGCGCTGCTGTTAAGTTTATTAAGTCACTTCGGGCTGTCTCGTGTAAGTATAAGGGCTAGACTTAGAAAACAAGGCCGCGAGGGTCTGATATACTGGCAAAGTGCACGACTTTAAGGAAAAAGGGGAAGAAGAGGGAGGAGGGAAATACCGCAGAGACAAGAAGGAAGAAACTGGCCCGCTACTTTCTGGAAGCAGCCAGCGACTGGCAGCAAAGAACGTGGGTCCGAACTGAAGGGAATGCTTACAGAAGTGCGCTGCTTTGACGGCAAGCGTCTCGCGTGAAAGTATCGCCAAAGGGCTGCGCGCGTCAGAGCAGGGAGGCTTCGCACGAATCAACTGAAAAGAACCCAGGCGACGCGACTTGACTGCACGCGACGCGCGTGAGAGATATGCGCCGCGTCTTCGGTCAGTCATACAGTAGCCACGCAATGGACGAAGCCTCAGCAGTATTGTATACTGCTGAAAAAGTTGAGAACTGCCACTCAGCAGAAGACAGGCCACCTCTCCTCATTCAGAGCCCGACGGGCCTGGTGCTGCTGCAGACAGTTGCTGCGCGCGACATTTTTGAAGAAGTTGCAAACTCTTGCGCGCAAGATAATGGATTCGCACCAGATTGAGACAACGCACCCGCTCGAAAATTTTGACCAGTATACGCGAGAGGCCCAGCCCAGCTCTTGCCACTGTGTTGCTTGTCCAATGCGGTGAAAACCTTGAAGAGCTTGCTGGCAGCAAGAATCGGAACAATCTTGGAGGCCGAGCGAATCAGAAAAACAAAAACAGCGACCATTCCACGATCGAGAGAGAACTTGCCAAAGCGCCCCACACAGAGGGAACACCTAAACAAAGGAGTAGGAGAGGACTTGGCCAGCGAATTAATAGAGAGCAAACCTGTAGCACGTACGGACTGCCTGGATTCGATAGGCCAGCACTTTGACCGGCTTGCGCCAAACAAATTGAGACTATAGCGGGTTGCGCTGTTTCAGATATTGGCGAAACCGTCGCGGGGGAGCTTGTCCATGCTTCTCCATGATACAAAAACCGCGCAACGGGGTAGCCTGAAGGGGGGCCAAAGTGCTGCACTGCTGCCAGGCTTCTGCCTTCTACCATAAAACAAGCGCGGCGCTTATCGCTTTGAGCCTGTGGCCGTGGCTTATTGAATCCCGCAGCGGCTAAAGCAGTGCGTAGCATAGTCCAAAGCGAGCGACTTGGTTGGTTCCGCTGGTTTTAGGATTGCGATCAGCGAAGCGAGTGCTTAAGAAGCGTGACTTCGCTGGCTCGCGAGTTAGGAGCAGATCGATGCGGTGAGAATCGTATACGCTAACACTGACGAAGCAGCAAAAGTCTTGGCGCGTTGTGGTTGATCTTGAGTTGGTGGCAACGGCTGCAGGGATGAGATGGCACCCCGCCCCACCCGATCGGTGGGCTTACATCATCATCATCGCCCTGATCTTGGTGGTAGCACAGTAGTGCCCATTTTCCATAGTGTTCCCGTGCTTCATGCTCATGCGTGGACAGTGCTCGCGCCCGTGAAGATCATCCCAGCCGCATTGCTGGGCTGGTGTTTTGTTTTCTTTGGTTTCCAATTCCAAAAAGAATCTGGCCGCAAGTGTCTCCGTCGTCGTTCCCGTTCAGCTGGCGCCGGCGCATGTGCGACATCTTTTGCCCCGGAAGGAGCACGCTAACGGCATGACTTGCAGCAAAGACATGACAAGAAAGCAGAAGAAAACGCTGAGCTTTTGAATTCTATGCATAGAGAGCAAAAGAGAGACCAGGCCCGACCTCGATGGCATAACAGTGAAGCGCGCAGCTCTAACGTGCTTTGTGGCTTTGTTTTGCTTTTTTGTCCGGTTTAGCTCCTCTCATGTCGCGCACAGTGCATCGGCTGAAGTGAACTGTCGACACCGATGGCGTCGCTTGCAAAAAATGCAAGAGAACACGCGCGCAATGCTAGACGCGTTAGCCAGGTGATGCAAATCCCGCGCGCTGATGTGAGATGGCTCCTCCTTTGATTGTGCGGCCCTATGTATTTGGCGTCGTGTCATTTGGATGCTTCTGGCATTTATTTTATGCGTGTGGCATGCGTATGGTATGCTGCGGGCTGGTTAAGCTGATGGCTCACCGGTATGCCGTGGCTTTGTTGTGGCATTCGTTTTGATCTTGATCCCCAGCCGTGTGTGAAGTTCGTCACAACTGTGGCGCCATGCATTCTGGGCCCGTCTGGGGGCTCTCCATGCAATTTGTAAAGGATAGCGCTGGCTCGCAGTGATTTGCTGGCGCTTTTTCTAACATATCACCGAGCGGGGTACTCGCTTACTGTTTCCATACGTATCGCCTGCCTGCTTTTTCTATATTGCTCGAAGGCCTCTACTTGGATGGATGGAAAATCAATGAGAGCCATCAACCTGACTGCCGCGCTTTGATTTTCGAACTTGATCGATTTGCTTTTATTTTACTGAAGTGATGCCTTGCGTTCTAAAGTCGGAAACTGATGAGAGTGCGTCTCTCGTTGGCTTTCGAAAGCGATGCGAGCCACAGTGGGGAAGTCATATAGCAAGCTACTCCGCTTCCATGGCCATCATTTAATTGACAGCTTTCCCCGGTGTTTTGGCAGCTTTCTTCGGTACTTTGGTAGCCTTCGCCGCTGCTTTCGCTTTCGGTTGCTTTGTGTTTTTTTTCATCGGGTTGCGCACTTTCGCCATTTTCTTCGTAGGGGCAGGCTTTTCCCCAGCGCTTTGCTCGTGCTAGCGCTTTCCATCGTCGTGGTAGGTAGCTTCGGGCGATTCGCTGTTCGCGAAGTTGGTTTGTTCTTGTTCTTTGCTTGCGTGCTTCTGCGTCGATGTTGGTATCGGAAGAAGAACCTGCTGGGAGTGGAAATGCGGCGGGGTATGAATGTGACGAGTTCCCTTCAAGCTTTTCGGTTGCGTATGGGCTGGGGTAGCTTCTCACGCAAAGAGTTCGACACTTACCAGCAGCAGCCGCTTGAGCTCGCTGGGAGCTCTGACGAAGAAGGCGCAGAGGGATCAGAAGTTAGCAAACCCGTGGGGTGCTGCGTAGGGGCTTGGGGTGGTTGGTACGCAGCAGCGCTAAGCTTTTCACTTTCATACTTCTCCAAAAAATTGCGGCGGAGCACGTCCGGCACCGTGAGCAAATCAGTATGGACTTGCGATTTATTTTCGCCCATACTGCGCACGAGTTTCAGCGCAGAGGCATCGCCACCCGTGTGGATGGTGGCTGACGTCGCGCACTCCTTGGCGGGTACTGCGGCTACCAACTGCGTCAGCAGATCATAGACCTGAAAGAGGGAGAGCCTTAGAGGGCTGGGCCATGGAGAAGCGTTTCGAGAGAGAAACACGACGCAGGGGCGCAGAGTGTAGACGAAAACTAACGAAGGCGCCGACTTTAGTTTTTTGATAAGATAGCAGAAATTTTTTTTCTGTTTCTTATGAGAAAAAAGGCAGAACTTAACGCCGTAGGCAGGGGCATGCGCATGCTAGACCATCAGCAGAGTAAACGTCTCGCGTCACTCTACGCCTTAGATGTAACGCCTAAAAAAGCAGAAAGGAGGCCAGTTGTTGACGAAGTGCTGACGGATCGAAAACAACGAGAAAGTTAACAAAATGACGGTAATCAAATGCATCGCCTCGCTTCTTCGTCTGCGTTCTTTGTCTACCTTCTTTGCCTCTCTCATCGTGTCAAGCATAAGAAAACCATCGGCGTGGGCCCGTCTTTCGTCCGTCTTCATGCTCAAAAAAAAGCCAGACTCTCGGGCAAGGAGTGCAGAACTTCTCGAAGCTCGCAATTCGATATAGCTTATACGAGATACTATCAGCAGAGGGCCAGGCGAATTTTACAAACTTCACACCTCCTTCTGAAGTTGTAGCCTGGCCAGTGCCTGTGTAACTCCAGCTCTTGTTTGCAGTAATTCCGGTCTCTTGTTTTGCCGTTCTATCATTATGGAGGAGCAAATCAAGCTCGCGGATTTGTGTAGACTGTGGTATCGGCTCGCCTGGTCACGCCGATGTCGTAATCGGAAGAATAACAGAGTCACGATGGGCGGGACGCGCGCCTACCGCAGCACCCGATCCCTCACCGATTGTACCTCCAGTTCCTACTGCCGTAGCACCCTGATGTGCAGCACCGCCAACTGCACCAGCTGTAGCTGTCGGCCGCGCGTTGACAACAGCCTTGATGGTGATGGCAAGATTTAGCTCCCCTGTGATAGGTGGTTGCGGAGTGTTAGATGATCCGGCATAGCTGTTCCGCGGCCACAAATAGTTCCCTTGTCCACTAGGAGCAGCGCCAGACCACTTTAGTCCCGAAGCAATCAACTCAAGGTCCAGCAATAAACACAAGTAAACAAGAACAACTACCCCAAAGACACGAAAATACGAAGAAGCACAGGAATCCTCGCGTTTCTTGTCGCCTAGAAAGCGTCGCCCGTGTGAGAAATGCATCTTTCTTGCGTCTCGCGATCGGTCTTAACAGGATCAAGTTGCACTTAGATAACGTTAATCTTTGTCTTTTTGACATTCAGCCACACACTTACCGTCTTGCGTGCCGTGTAAATATTTTGGAAATCATTCTTATGCTTTGCCAGATTTCATAATGATGATAATCATCTTCACTTCTTTTTTAGTGGTAGAAGGCGTAGGTTAATTATCTTCCTAAGAGAATTCGAGGTGACATCAAATACAAATTCTTCCAATCGCAAGTTACACTCTACTACTACTTTATTCTACTCGTCTAATCATTCTCTCTTATCCAACAAAATAAATACGCGCTCACTCTCAGACAGTTACGGTCTCTGTGTGGCTCTCTGAGTGCCTTATCACACTGCTGGTGTGCTGACGAACGTGAAAGACAAAAAGAATCTATGCAGTCGTTAACCAGCACGCACCTAATTTGATTCCTCCTCCTCGTAAACAACAAGGAAGGGCACCGATTCGGCTGCGGATGAGTTCTTGTTCTATGGCTTGTCTGTGAAGTGTCCAATGCAAACGATCCTATGTAATATATTGATACTTTAACGGCACAGCAGACTTCACGAGACTACACGTCAGTACGCCACGCCTTCTGCAGCGCTGCTCGTCTTCGCTTCGGCGCAGAAGAGTGATGACTAGCACACGACGACTGTCTTTACTTTTTTTCTTGATGATTGACGTTGACGCTACTCATCAATTTTCACTTGGTAATCCAAAATGCACGGCACTTGGAACGAAAGACGCCAATCTTGCTGTTCCTTAACATATTCTGAGTCACGGCTGACGGTCGTGGTGAAGTTGCTAAAACGAGTTTGAAGCTGTTATTAATCGAGACGAAGTTGTGCTGTTTAAATCCATCGAGAAGAAGTCGCTATAATCAATCGAGAAGAAGAAGAAGAAGTTGCTAAGACCGGTTTATTCTTTTATCGTGTCGCTTGTCGTTGTTTTAATAGTGGGAGTCGACGTTCCTTGCACTGGGAATATAAATCATCAATTTTCGCTGACGACCATGTTGATGCGAAGGTTGGATATCCCTCCATGATTCATTCCTATGATCTATTACCGTCGGTAAGCATGCAGTTGAGAGTTGATGCAGAAGATGTCATTCATGTAGTTGAAGACCGATGTGAGATGCTGCTTGTGATGAGTGTGGCTGAAGTAGTTATGAAAGTCGTCCCCACCTGGACCTGCTCCTGCAGCTCCAGCTGCTATTTCATACTACTTCATGTTCATCATGATGAGAATTTTGAATATGCTAATTTCTTATCGAGATGAAAGTCAATGAATGTTGTTGTCAAAAACTCATACTGCACGTACGTCACCGATCCTTCCTTTGCGTTTAATTTGAGGGTAGCAGAAGAGGTAGGCACGGTGCAAACTGGTCATCGTCAACGTTACTTATTCGAAGAGAATAGGTTTCCCCACCAGGAAGATTGCTTTGCTGGGTCCTCGCTTTCTTTGATCCCGAATGGCCGCACTTGGAGCGGGTTCGCCGCACTGTAGTGTCATGTCTATGTTGTAGGTGAGAAAGCATCCGGAGCACCGTGAGTGCGAGTAGAACAAAAAGTGCTTGAAAACGAAAAACCACTTTTGATACAAAAAACAGATCAATGATTATGATTCGGGATACATAAAGATCATTATCTTGATCTTCCTTTCCAACTTCAACTTGTCTCTATATTGAGTTTGATGAGTAGCTCATACATTATATTTATAAGTGAATACGCGTCTGCCATCGTTGCTGCCGCGTCTATACCCATCACGCCGACTAATGGCGCGAAGAAATTCATATGTGCCCGTTTCTTTCCTTCATCTGGTAGATAGTTGATGAGGTTTTTTTGTTGGTTTAAGATACCGAAGGTCTTTCTGCTCAATTTTCATCTTGGCTTTCGCAAAGCGGGTTCTAATCCTTAACTCTATAGCTGCAGCCTCGTTCAGCGTAAACAACTTTGAGTACCAGGTAAACAGTTGCAACTTGTTTGAGGTACTTAAGCTATCGAGAGTCCTTAATGTCTCACCTTCCTCGAGATATGTCGCCGGCTGCGGCCCGCCGCCGTCTTCGTTCTCACTATCTGAGTCGTCTCTTCCCCACCATTCATCTAGCTCATCGTCATATCCCGCTGGTGTGTGAACCTCAGCACTTGAATCTTCTTCGTCGGCTAGATTATAAGATCTGAAAGGTCGTTCCAATACAAGTAGAACTAGAAGTCGTGAGAGCTAGGATTAATTCTGATTACGGCCTTGTTTTCAGCTTTTTTTCGCCATTTGAGTCGTACATCATGGAAGTAAATTCAAGAAGGCCAAAAAATAGATGATCAAAATGAACGTTGAAATGTTATATATGTTCCAGGGCTCAGGGCGGGAGGCCCCCCCCCGATCTAACTTTTTGAGGGGGGGGGGCCTCCCCGCCCCGGCCTCTCTTTTCGAGGGGCTGCCGGGCGGGAAGGCCTCAAAGCGCCCACTTCTGACCCCTTGCCGCTTCTTGCATGTACCCGACAGACCTGGCAAAGGTGGCAAAGGCTGGGCCCTCTTGTCGTGTTGCGTGTACCCGACAGAGGAGGCAAGGCGGGACCCACCCCCTTGGCGTGCGGCATGTACCCGACAGACCTGGCAAAGGTGGCAAGGCTGGAACCCTCTGGCGTGTTGCATGAGCCCAACCCTACGCCAAGGGGGTGGGTTCCCGCCTTGCCTCGTCTGCCAGGTCTGTAGGGTACATGCAAGAAGCGGGAAGGGGTCAGAAGTGGGCGCTTTGGACCTTCCCGCCCGACAGCCCCTCGACAGACCTGGCAAAGGTGGCAAGGCTGGGCCCCTCTGGCGTGGTCCACCCAAGATCCATCCACAGGGGGGGGCCTCCCTCCCTGGTACATATATGATTGTTATTATACAATCAATATTTATAATTCATAAGAATAGAATTAAAATACTCCTTCGAAAAGAAAAAAATCTTTACTCTGTATTCGCCATTGATTTTAGTTCGGTGCTGCTCTCTGCCTCTGTTGATTTCGTGCTACTTGATGAGGAGCAGCTGCTTCCACCCATCAAAAAATTGTTGATTTTCCCCCTTGTAGCGACTATCACTTTCGCCTCCGCATTCTCTTGTATTGTTGAACGCAGCTTGTCCTGCGTTACCTTCAAGTTGTTGAAGGTTACAGCGGCATACCTGGAGTTGTAGGTCAGTTTTTGTTGTTCGCAGATCGTCTGATGACTTCACGCAATTCATTAAAGATACGACTACAAAATAAAACTCCTCAGCAACAATCATCTCTTCAAACTGTGTTTCTCTTTCTATTTACCATCTTTTGCTGCATATTCCGTCTTTGTTCGCCAAGCCCTCAAAGTGGTGAACTGCGACACCTATGACACCTTTGGTTTTTATCAATGCCTCCTTTGCTGTCTCCTCGATGTTTGGTACATCTGGGAGTAGCAAAATGCTGGTTTCCGTTGTCGCCATCTCGTCTGCAGTAGTTGTACTACAGATGAACGAAGCTCACAGAGCGAAGGTCAAAGACACAGGAAAGTGAAGGTCGTTGAAAGAAAAAAGCTCCTAGCTGACGATGCTTGCGCGGCCGCTGTGGACGAAGTAGATGTTGACTTATTCCTCGTCAGTGTAAAGGGAAAGCACGCCGGCTACTTACAAATCAGCTGACAAGCAGCCTCGGTGTAGGCGTGTGTGCGTCGTGCTAATACTTCTGAGTAGCGTCTTCAGTTTTTTAATTGATGTTCATGATACTCTACTACGTGTTACTCCTGGTCATGTCTCTCCGAGTCCGCAGCGAATAGACCTAATATTTTCATTTTCTTGCAAAACGTTTAGCCGAAAGGAGAGGCTTCAGAACCATTCGTTAGGGTCTACGTCCTCAGGGACCAGCCTGTGTGCCGATCAAACTTCTTCTACTATCGCGTTTTGCGTTCCTCTGCGATTCTCCTGGTCGTCTTGCCACTCGCGACCGCGTGGATGAGCTTTGCAGGAGAAAAGCAAAAATGATCCGGTGTTGTAGTTCTTGCAGGGAATACTCTGCGGTCGCATGAATTAGCGCACCTTCAAAGAGATATCTTCACCTTCCTCCAACTCGAATGGTACAGCGCCAGCAGCTGGTGAGTGTCAAATGACTCAGAGTTTTTCAGGCCGCGAGAACGTAAAACTAGAATACCCAGGAGCAGTGTACGATCTAGTGTGCTGGGTGCGTTCACCTCAAGCGCTGAAGGCAGTGACGCATTAGGAAAAAACGCGTCAGAAACATCATATTTGTCCTTCGTTCAGTTCATTGCTGGCACTTTGAAAAAAAATGAAATCCAGTGGTCAGGAGTGTATTAATATACGAAGTCCGAGTACTAGTACGTAGTACACTGTAGAGAATGCCACAAATAGCGGACATGGAAGTGGAACAGAGCAGTCGGTGCTACTACATCTAGGAAGAACAGTCGATCAAGGACATTCAAAAATAAGCGATAGAAGTCCTTGCCGAACCCTTTAGGCTTGATGATGATGATGATGATGATGATGATGATGATGATGATGATGATGATGATGATGATGATGATGATGATGATGATGATGATGATGATGATGACGAGAGTAAGGGCGCCGGTCAGAAATAAGTAAAGGTGAATGAGACATGAGGTTGGTAGTTGAAGAAGAAGATGAAGAAGAACAAGAACAACTAGATGCTATTTCCAATTTGTACGAGTGCGAGTACTTCCTTCTATGTATGAACGATTTATTAGGGATGATGGAGAGAAGTGGACTTTGTTCTCCGTGGAAACCAACTGACCGAGGTCTGGTGATGTTGTAAGTACTTGCTTGGGGAAGTGCTAGCGGGAGGTGGAAGAGGTGACTTTCGCTCATGAGAGGCAGAGGCTAAATTTGCACTGCGACCGCTACGTGACTTCGACGTCAGGCTCAGGACAACAAGTAGCACAAGACCAAGCAGAAATTATAAATGACAAATTACTACAGGACCATTCATTGACATGTCACATGAAAATGCACCTTGCTTTCATACAGAGAAGGAGTATAACTCAACGTCAACGAAAAACAAAAGCCGACAAGTCCACGCAACACTGCAATCCTGGCATTCTTTGGAGCTTGTTGATGGTTCCCCGTGACTACTCAGAAAAATCTCGGCCAGAACACCCATTGTTGACATGAACTTTGTGGTATATTACCAGAAGAAGAGTCAGATGCACATTCATGCGCAAACGCGAATATTTAGCTGCGTGCCTAGTTGATTCCTTCCGAACATGCTCCCTATTTTTCGACCCCGAATAACAGTTATTCAATATCTTTAAATTATATAATGTTGTAGACCAAGCGGTACAAGACTAACGAATATGCAATCGTTAACGAGTTTCTACACATTTTTTTGAAGACTTTTTCGTTACATGGAAATGCGAGTAGAGATATACTTACCCAAAGATGTAGCCAACAAATCAAGCAAGAAAAGTCCTATCCAAACACATCATCCTATACATCACGTTTTAACAAAGTGAGTCATACTTTTCGAAAAGATTATGATTATGTATCCTTTCAGGTTTCAACCTGACAGTTCTGCACTGGCTCTACTATCTGTTCTGCATATTTATTATATATTAATGTTCTTGTTTGCAACATTAATAATACTGTTCTTAGTGCGTCCTCCCGCTCTGGATAGTGACAATGCGTTCATGCTATTCGTATTCATGGTCCTGCATTCTATTTCCACCGTGATCATGCTGTGGCAATTCATCGGGAAATTGAAATGAAAAGAGCTCCTGAGTGATTAAACAAATTAATGATATGACAATGCAAAAAGTGGACGAGAAACTAATCAATGATCATGTTTGCAAATAAAAATTGCGATACATCGTATTCTTACTCTTAGTGATAGACTTAGAACTACCTTCTTTTACTCCACCACCGCAAAGCCAGAGATATTCATAGATTCATCTTTTTTACACCGTTTCTCATTGATTTCTACTGGGGGTGGCTGGTGGTCTCTCTTTAATCGTAAAAAAATATGCCGACCATAACTACGAGGAGGAGGCGCTGGGCGTAACATCATCGACAGCATTTTTATTTTGACCTCCCTGCGTCGTTACCGAGAAAGGCCTCGCAACTTGAGCTTTCAATGGCTGTTTTGCGAACAAGGCACTCGGAGACTCGAGAGCTGCTTGAGGCTTCAGCAGAGCACTAGCATTCCTCCCCAGCACTGGCAAGAGTGGTCGCACGCCTGCGCCGGGCACCGCACCTAACGTTGGCCCGATTCGAGCCACGCTAGAGCTTGCATGCACTAGCAGCGGCGGCTTGAACTGCAACGCCGGATCAGGCTTCGAAGGGGGCACTTTGCTTCTTGTGATTGTGTGGTCTTCCGATCTGTCGGCTATTTGATGTACGGATGCAGAAAAAGTTGTTTTATCTTTATCGTTCAACATCCCGTCAGAAATGCAAGTGCCCAAATCATGTGCAGAGTAAGTATGGGGAGACGCCGGATCTCTTTTCGTGAGCTGCCCTCTTTGCTTCTGACTCTGAGCAGCATCCTCCTCGGTGAAGAACTCGTCGTGTTGGCTTCCTCGTCTTGGGGGCGTGGTATGACACTGCCGAATGCGGGTGTCATCCGGCGAAGAAACTGCGTGGCTTGGCTTGCTGCCACGCGATGCTTGATAGTAGAAGTAGGAAACTTTGCTCAAAGCACCAGCATTTGAACTTGTTGTTCTCTCCATATTACGATCACTTCTTGCACATTCATGTTCATCTCCATCGGCCTCTACTGATGGTGAGAAATCACACGGTCGTGGCTCCACCAAAGCGCGCTGCGGATGCGGTAAGGTTCTTTCATCTTGAAGATGCGGGCCAGGTGCATATTGGTCTTCGAGGGATACCTCTTCCTTGATGTGATCTTCTTGTTCTAAGACATCCTTATTTCTGCCTGATGTTGAACTTGAAGTCGAGGTAGGTGCAAGACCGAGTGCAGTGATTTGCGGCACTTTCGTTCCATTGTTGTGTGAAGAAGGATAAGGAAGGAGCTTCAACAATGGCGTATTTGACTGCGGAGTGTGGAAAACTCGTCCTCGCACACCCAACTTTGGTGTGCTGGGGGGTGAGCCAGCGCTACGTTTACCAAAAGGAGAGCAGGTTTGCGATGCAGACTCTCCGCCATTTTCAGATCGATTTGCTTTTGGCGGCTGCTTTCTTGTTTGTGCTCCTATAGAAGAAGACGATGATGGAGTTACACGGGAATCTCGTATTGTGCTCGACAATGGGCAAGTTCCTCCTGGTGCGGCTAGTGCAGAGCTCGTTGCCGCTGTTGCTGTGCCGCCAATATGGATTCGAGGCGCTGATGTTCTTGCGACGCTCATCATCGGCACCTGCGGGGATGAGGGATGCTGACGCGTCTGAAGATATCCTTCCGTCTCCAGTTGACACCGAGAATGCTCAATTACGGATGCTCCTGTTACTAGGTTCCGATGCAATACCTGCTGACAACTTCTTATCGACTCCACATTTGCCTTGTTCCACTGGTTTCCTTGCTTAGAAGGGCTACCAGACTGTGGGCCGGGCGTAATAAAAACTGCACCTGTACCTGAAGACGCAGACGGAGAAGCAAGCTGCTGTTGCCTGAAGCCTAAACTTCCCGTATTATTGGCATTATTGAGAGCTGTCGTGGATGATGATTTTGCCATCCTTTTTAGCCAAGAAGTTGCGACGTCGGCACGTGCTGTTGTAACTGTTGATCCTCCTGCAGCTTCAACATTCGAAGAGCAAATACTACTTGCAGCACTTCTAGACGAGGTGTTTGTGGTTGCCGCGAACATTGCAGCGTGATTGTTCCGGACAACATCATGGAAACTTTGGCAGATCTGACACAAGTTCATTCGCTGAAAAACATGCGCACTCTTGCGTTGCATCGATTCCATTGCGCTCACACGGCGCTGGCACTCTCTTGCCGCTCGTGCCAGAAAGGATCGGACGCGTTTCAAATACAGCGCCGACCGCTGCGAATTATGATCAGCACCAGTCATCAGCTCCAAGCGCTTGTCCATACCACCCCAAAACGCATGTAGGAGCTGAGAATGGCGTGGAAGAATAAAGGTGTCTTCGGTTCCGGCAAGAAAATAGACTGGAAGACGCAGCTTGTTCAGCTCCGACTCGTAAGTCAGAGTCTGTATTTCGTATTCATTCTTGATGGCACCGGAAGTTGAAGATGAACCAGTCGAGGATCTTGTAGTTCCTGACGAACCAGAAGAACCTGCTGTCAGATTATTTTCGTGCGGCAGACTAGACTCCACAGGCATTCCACGCCCGCCAGGCTTTTTTATTTGCGCGCTGGGACTACTGCGGAGGTACTGAACTCGCGCTGCTACAACTTCCTCGTTCTCGGACGACGGCGCACTAGTACTACCACGCGAAGAGGCATGCTCTGTGCCAACATCGGCTTCACTCTCAGAAGCAGTTGTACTTGACACGTTTCCCTCCGTTGTTTTCCCAGGAGTGTGCTTGTTGTCAACCCTGCTTCTATTTTGAGCAGTACTGGATTTAGTACTCGATTTTGATGGTGTTCTTGAGGATGCAGCAAGCAATTGCTGTCCAACTTCTGCAGCAGCAAGATCTTCTTCGAGGATGTCGAGATCGTGGATGTCAAAGCCTGCCCGATTCCGCACTGAAGAGCGCACGACCTGCACAGCTGCCTCCAGAATGCCTATCGAGGTCGCAACTTTGAGACCCGCCACCAGAAAGCGCTTAGCGGCGGTCGTCACGGAAGCTCCAGTGTCGTCGTCGTCCTCGCAGGCCTCGGCTATCCTATCACCCGAAACAAGCTCGCGAATCAACTGTCGAAAATTCGAAAACGGAGAGTCCAAAACTAGTCCGGCAATCGGGGAATGCGGAATCGTCGCAGCGCAGTGCTCGACCTGGTCTGGGCCACATGGGGTGCTAGGTTGCAATGAAGGTCTTTGCCGTACTTCTCTTTGCTTAGTCCTACTGCTCCTAGGAGGTGGTGAAAATTTCTTGACGCTGCTCTTCGCGGGGGAACCATGTTGTACAGGTGATGGTGTTGGTAGGCCAGCCAAAAAGTGCTCGATATCTTGGCTTGGCTTTTGCTTTGTTGATACTGGAACTGGTGTGGCGCTTTCAGTTGACTTTGCTGAGAGAGCTGTTCCGCCCACTCCTGATGCTTCGTGTTCGTCCCCGTCTTGAGTAACATTTTCTGGATCTTGCGCTCTCTGCTCCTCGAGCTTCTCCATGTATTCTTTGTGCCCATCTCCGAGTACGTATTTGAAGCAGTACTTCACCGCCGTCACCGCGCCCATACTGCGGCCCCAAAGGAGAATGGGGCCAACGTGTGCGCACGCCTGAAGATACCGAATGACAGTGTGCAAATCGTCTTTCTCAAAAAAGCCAAGACTGACGTGGTCGCCGTCACTGTTGCCACTTCCCGCGAAGTCGAAGCAAAACAGGGAAAAACCTAACGGCAGACAGTAATCCCAGATTTCCTTTGCTTCCAATCGACAGCTACTGTTGCCATGTAGATAGATCACGCATGGGGGAGGAGACCGTGATCCACCTTTTGATGAAGTAGATGGCGAGCGCCCTTTCGGAGTAGCTCTCGGTGACGCCTTGGCGTAGTTTTTGTGTTTGTTTGTCGCATGTGCGTCTCGTCCTCGGCCGTAGTTTCTAGGTGATCGAAAACCGTCTTCCCCTGATTTTGACGTGATTTTCGAACAATAGTTGCTTGCAGGGGCAGCCCGACCTCTCCCAGAAGGCGACAATGAAGAGGCATCCGCGGCAACAGATTCGGATGACGTAGTCATAGCTAAGCAATCCCGCACTTCTTCACCATCGTGTACAACTCCGTCAAGCGCACAGTATATGTGGTCCTCTTGTTCAACATAGAAAAAGTCGTCGTCTTGTTCCTGCTTATCTTCATTCCCACTCCGTCTTCCGGATCGTGTATCCTTGCCCAAATGAGTAGGACTCTGCGCAGCAGAAGGCAGACCCGGCGAAAGGGACGAAGGCGTCGGGACCCCGGGTGGGGACCATACTGAGGCTGAAGCAAAGACAACGCCATTTACACCTGGGCTTGCGCATCTTGTTCCTTCACCTTCTGCATCTTCCACACCAGCATCAGAAGATAGGGACTCTCTTCTACTTCTCGTTCTGTTTCCTTCATCAGGAGAGTGAGAAATAGCATCAGGAGTTGGCCCGGCTGAAGTTTGTCGCGTTGCCAGTTTCGCAATGCTTCGCGAGGTTGAGGGCATCAGCTGCGTGCGGTCTTCGTCTGACGATTGTCCGGCAAGGATCTTTCTCATTTCCTCTTGCTCCTCGGCTTCAGCATGCACGAGGCTGACAACTCGGTTTGTAGATGTGGCGGCAGTTGGGTTGTCTCGTCCGTTTATTGCGGACGAGCTTGCGGCAAACTCAATGCCGGGTGCTGCAGTGTTTTCTCCTGAAACCTGTCGATGCTGTGGGTCTTCTCGTCTCTTCGTCTGTCCACCGTCATGCTCTTCCGGTGTCGTGATCTCGCGATAATGCGAGCAGACCAAGCGCTGCCCACGTAGGTTGCGCAATTCGAGATCCTGTCGCCACCATTGTCGGCCACAGCGAAAGAATGTGCTAGGCCCAAGCTGATGGGCCTTGTATTCACGTCGAGGAGGGCGAACGATGCAGTCGACGATGTCTCCATACGCATCTGTCAGCGACCATAAAGAAAGACCTCCGCTTCTTCCGAACATGTCTGTTGTCTGTTGTTCGTCGTGCTGAAGATGTGAGTATGCTACCTTGTCCGTGTAGTTCTTGTTGTTGTCGTCACGAAGGCATCATCAACAATCATGAACGATCTTCTGTTCATACAACACAACTCCTCGTCCAATAGAAACAACCTCCTAGTGATGCATTCTACTTTCATGACGACGAACATGATGTAGATGTTAAACTTATTAAAGTCATAAGTAATATCAAATACTCCACCAATCCATAGTCAAAACTTCCACAACGACAAGAAAAAACAAGAGCAGCAAAATCAAAAAGAGTTAATAGATGTGCATCTAACAAGGAGGTGAGGCTGCGAGGACCAGCAAAGGCAACAACATGTCAAAGATGAACAGATACAGTTACAGATGGATATGACTACTCTTTGTTATAAGCTTGGTCATGTCGCCTACCGAGAATTTTTACATAAGACCAGTTACAACTCGGGCTTCGAGATCGACACACCAGAAGCAGGAGCCCAAGGTTTTTCAATTTCACTCCGATGCAATTGCAAACATGAGTTTAATCGAACCGATCAACACTGATAAAGAAGCCGCGTCTTCTTCGTTCGAGCAATACGCAATGTAGACGGTCCGTGTTGACATGACGTCGATGATCATGTTCAGGGCCACAGACGTTCTTTCATCCAATCCTGCACACCTCCACACAGGCATCATGTGAACACACGACGCACATGCTCTCCAACAACAGGTGACGAGATTTCAAGAGCGAGCTAGGTAGTGCGAGAAAAGAAGCGAGAAAAAGGACTGTATCTGTAAACCTGAAGACTAAATCTATATTTATTATAATGCAAAACTTCATGAGTGATCTCCGCCGAGGTGTTTCTTGCACGGGTATTCCGCTAGATGAAGTCCAGTTCCCACAAGAATTCGCTTGGATCCTGTGGATTCTTTTGTAAGCCCAGATACCAGGAGTTCTCATCGCGCTCGTAGCCCGCTTTCCGAGTTGCTATATGAAGATCTCCTTTAGGGCGTCTACCTGATTCACCTCCAATCACAAAAAAGCCGATACGACCACGCAAATCGATCTGCGATGCTCGTGGTTTTTTAGCACTCATAGGAAAGAACGAACTTTGCCAGGGATCGAAAATTGGTGTACTTTTGCCTACCGTTCCGTTCATCATGTCCTCCTGCTCGAGGGAAGCCTCCTGAAGTGTGCACTCGCCTATTGCTAAACAAACACAACTATCAATAGGCAAGAAAAATGAGGTGGGCGGTGTAGTTGAGTTGAAGGAAGTTGATGTAGAACTAGAGATTGCAGTTCCGCGCATACTTGTCGTTAGCGAGGCCAGTCGAAATCCTGTTTCGCTTGTGAACTCTTGCTCCAGCCCAACTTGAAAGTGGGCGGCTACCCCACCATCGTTGACGGCTGCCACGACCTCCAATTCTGTTGATGGTGGGACCACTACATCGTCGACAGCGACGAAAATGACGCTGTCCTTAGGATTTTCGACGCCTTGCATTAACTCGGTTCGTTTGTCGTGGTGTCCAATTAACCGCAGCGCCACAGCTAGGTGATCCTCCGCAGCACGAATTGCGACGGCTTCGAAAACACTTGCACGTTCCTTGTCCGTGTGCGTATGGAGCTTGAGCGCAGCTGGCGGAGGGAACATTGCCATCACTGGTGATGTTGATGAGACTTCTTGTTCATGTGAAGATGTTTCTCCCACTCCTGCGGGTCCGCCCGCAGGTAGGTGCTGAAAATTGTCGGTAGTGCTTTGTAGGAGCTCCTGGCTCGGCGCGTGTCGGTCCATATCATTCCACCAATGCACAGCTAGATAACTCTGCGTCCAACTGTTCTTCAAGATAATGCCTTTCCCGTGTTTTGCGCGGCTTACTTTTGCCGACACCTGCTGCAATACTTCAAACGCCATGTCGAAGGTCGTCTCTGGGTGATACAACGCTTTTACGACTTCCCATGCGAGTTTCTGATAGCGTCGATCGTGTGACAGGAGGCCCTTGTTGTTCAGGCCGTTTGGCCGAAACGCGAAGGGATGCTCCTTACGTTCCCACTCCGTAGTTTCGATCGCTGTGGTGATCCCAAACACCTTCGCAGCCACATTTTCGTAAGCGACGTTGAGCGTATTCACAAATTGATCCGCCAACTGCCACACGCAAAAGCCGGCAAAGGCTGCCTCGGTAAAGGCAGAAGCTAGGATGGCTAACCCGAGGATCAATGCCTGTCGCTCCTCGCTCCACGTAAGCGCGTCATCGCCGCTAAGGAAGCCCACGAAGGCACCGCCGCCGGTCTCGCCGAAAGAATGAAGAGTCTCGAGGCCGTTCTCTGAGACCGGAAATATGACACTCGTCTACTCAAACCAACTACTGAACCAAAATGTATCATGACGCTCCAACTTGTAATCACGCTGTTTATCATCATGGTCCGTCATCGTGATCGATATCACAAATTTGACGACTCTACGTTTTTCATTGTGAACATGAGCATGACCTTGACTTTGACAATGAGAACAGGATGACAAAATATTCGAAATAAATCCGTATCCTCTACTGTTGCTCATGCTCACTAAGAAGTCGTAGGCCATACATCAAAACTGGCTTCGATCCGCGACCTTGGATATTGTGGCCCATGAGAGACAGTCGCCTGAAGCTGCTCACGGTCTCGGGCAGGTCTGTTGAGAGATCGTACCAGCCTGGGTAGTCGTTAAACACAATCAGGTCCACTAGGTCATATATTTGTTGGCTATCTCGTTCTTTGTAGCGGGATGCGAAAGTGCGGAAACGATTTCGACGGCTTTTCCCCAAGAAGGACAATGGCGGGTCAAAATGGTCGATGACCAGTAGAAGCTCCTCAAAAAGGGACTTGACAGCCCGAAAAGATGGATTCACTGAGTTAGAACGCAGAAATTTCTGCGAAGATTCTCTTTGTCGTGCGCCTTGAGATGCAGTCGTCAGAGGTTGTTTGCCGTCAACACCTGGATCATTCCTATCCGACTCCAAGAATGCTTGTCCAAAAGTGAAGCTTGACCGCGGGAGCAACGAGCGAAGCATTAAAGGATCACGGAAAGTACCTCGATCGGTATCGGAGTTTGTTCCGCGCCCTTCTGCGTAAATACTAGGGCGTCGAGGGCTGCCAAAACTTTCGGACGATACACTACCAGTAGGAGTTCTTGTTTGAGAGGCTTCTTCATTTCCAAGCTGTGCTGCCATCGCTTGCTGTTGTTCTGTGTCATCTTCCGCAGCGCCATCGCCATCTTCTCTCGCATCGACCTCGTTTAGAAACCCCCACACAGCCACGCTTGGGTGTAAGCGATGTGCGACCACCGTAGATGCCATGGCTTGAAGCTGCGCATCGCGGAAGCGGCCGTCAGCTACGTCTTCCCTCTTCGCTTGCCACGACAATGTCTCCTCCCAGACAAGTACGCCAAAAACATCGCATAAACTGAGAAAGAGGTCGCTTTGCGTGTAGTGCGCGCCGCGAACGAAGTTGCTGTTCAAATCTTTCAGGAGCAAGACATCCCGAAGATTGGACAGGAAGTGCCGCACTAGAGAGTGAGGCGCTTCGTTTTCCGCATCTCGAAGTTCAGGATTGATGCCTGCTTTTTCGATCTTGTTCGATTCAACTGCGGTAGTACATCTGGTATCTTCCGAGACAAAAAGTGTCGATGCCCATGCGTTCGCTTTCTCGCTAGGCAGCTTCGAATCCTTCGGAAGACCCTTTGTGTCTGTGCTTCCGCGTTGTTCACCTCTCTTTTCATCCTTGTCGACCATGTCTGACAATGCGCTAACACAGTTGAGAACAGGGTCTAGCAGACCCAGTTTTTCGAGCAAATGCAAAGAATTCTCAGCAATTTTGGGCGAGCCGTGCAACGTAACGTCAATATAGTTGTGAAAGAGAGACTTTTCAGTGCTTTGCTGTGGTGACACATCCGGTGCAGAAGCGGAAGCTGTATGTTGCATCCCCCGTACTGCTTTTTCGCCCCTTGATGTTGCTGTCATGATCTTCTCGACCAGTGCGGAGTTTCGCATCGGTTTGGCCTTGCCGACGTTTTCCACGACAGATCTCGAACCACCGCCACCTGAAGACTCCTGAAGATACTCTTCTGCCAGGTGGAGCATCTTGAAAAGATCGCGAACGTAAAATAGCCCTTCAAGCAAGGTTCCAGCGTCAAGTGCAAGGAAAAAGTTATCGTGCCGGTTTACACCCTTGAGCTGCAGGTGCTTGCCATTCTGATGAATGACTTGACCTGGCGCCGTCTCAAGAATTCGCACGCCAATCTTCTCCCGCCATTGGTCGAGCAAGAGGACCTGCTCTTCACCCCTGCTGTCTTCCTTAGAAGATGACAGGTGACTACACCGGCCCACAAGGTCCACGGCAACATCGAGAAGCGCAGGTTCATCGACTGACCACAAATTCACCACGGGAATCGCGACTTTGTTAACTGTACCTGGAGATCGCTGCTGCGGTAGCGCGACCCCGTTCACTGACACGTGAACTTCGAGTTTCCTTGATGATTTCTCAGTTCCACTGTAGCCTTTACTCCAGTCACAAGTCGGTGAAAGCTCATCGGAGGCCGCTTTTGATGTCCGGGCAAAGAGATCATCACTTGTCCTAGTAGTTAGCGAGGTTAAAGACGTGGTCGACGATTCTGCAAGGTCGTAAAAGATACCCAAGTCTACACTTCCATCTTCGGTTTTCCTTCCGATTATCTGCGGCAACACGTGATCTATCCAAATCGGAAAGCGACGGTGTATCATCTCGACGGGCCTCACCAGGCCGCCGACAAGGTAAAAGTCAAACTTCTTCTGGTACACGCGAGGACGGATACGGTTATCCGAAACCACGAAAACGTCAAAATCCTCTTGAGTTTTGGAGGAGTCGCGGCTGAGTGGCTCATCTTTCCCAGCAGGCGCAACACCTACATCGACCCAAAACGGTGCTCCGAGTTCATGCCATTGAGTCGAAAAAGCCTCATCACTCTTGCCACTTTTCAAAACGAACACCTTACAGCGCAACCAGCAACCGTGAAAGTACAGCTGTACTGATAGCTTGCCACCAGCAGCAGGTCCTGCACTTCTGCTAGATCGAAAGTATTTAGACGGCAGCTTCACCTTTCGCCTGTACACTCCTATCCCCCGCTCTGTGATCTCCGTTGCTTCTTTCTTTGCATCAATCCAGTGTCGAAACTTCGGTGTAGACGTCTCGAAAACGTGAGGCACAGAAACGGTCTGGAAATGTTTGACAGCGGGGTAAAACGTAGCGTCGCTTTGTCTAACGAGAGTGCGGGTGGGTTCCATTTGAGATTGAGCGTCGTCCGTTGAAGATTCACTTCGCGTTCGCAAAACGGTACGGAGAAATTCCTCATCCTCAAACCCGTCCGCCAGGTTAACACCTGAATCTGAGACTGGTCCAGTTCGACGCGCTTTCGTTGTTGGGCTATACGCGCTGTGGTCGCCCAAGTACTTAAACTCCCAAGCGTGGAGAAAAGTGCGCTTGTTTTGCGACGGTTCGACTTCAAAAGCGTTGACAGTATAGCAACGCAGAAGAACAGCGACTGCCAACAGAAAGACAGCGCAGAAGGAGCGCTCGACAGTCATTGTATAATTTTTTGTCATCGTAGTTGAAACTTCTCCAGCAAAAAGAACGGAGAAGAAGATACTCGAGATAGTTTCGGACCATAAAAGCAATGCGTATGCATCATCAAACAACACAAGTAACGACTTCGCGTACCCGCACACGATGAGCTTGAACCAACAGAAGCAAATGTTGCTATTAAAGTTGTAGTCACTCGTACAATAACATCTTCATCTGAGCAAATTGTCATCCTGAAGGATGGGTAACAACTACCGACTGACTCCAGAAATACTGTAGCCTCTATCTCGCTCGTTAGTTTTGAATTCTCCTCGGTCTGCACTCATAAGCAGGCTCCGCGACTGTTTCATCCCGTGATCCGAAGAAAGCTTTTCCTCTCGACAATCAATGACAATGTATTTTTTGAACTCAATTATATGGACCCCAACATAGTATTGTCACGTGTGCGAGACTCTTCTGAATCTCGTCGCGCAGCTTCTCGTGGCTACATCAGCCACCCGGAGGGGCTTATCAAGTGGTCGAGTGGCTGGTCCCACTCTTGTTCCAGACCTGTAGGAAAGTCAGAAATCATTTGTACATCTAAGCCATAGCCAATAAGTTTCGCCCGTGTTGTGTTTCTGTTGTCTTCATCAGATTGCTTTTTGTAATTATAGTGCGTTGCAACGAATCGATCGTAGAACCCAGCACCCTGACCAATGCGGCCTCCTGTGCGCGTTGAAAAAGCAACCCCCGGCACGATTATGACGTCCATAGTAGCCACGGCTTCGGAATTCTTAGCCAGTCCTTCGGGAGTGCGCAAGTCGAGAGGTGGTTCGGGTATGCCGTAATTGGAAAGAGGCAAATGCTGTAAAACTGTTTTCTCGAAAGCCTCAAGCAAACGCGCGGCGTCTTCATCGTCTCCTAAAACTTCTCCATCTGATGAAGGGCATTGCTCGAGTTCCACAAAACCAATTTCATTTCTTTCGGCAGCGTTTTCATGAGGAGATGGTCCTTTCTCAGACAAGACAGGTGACACCGTTGGAACGAAGACCCGCTTCTTATCCCGCAGAAGCGCAAAGGCTACAATTAGCTCTGTTGGTGCTTCACGCCGGTCAGCGCGACGCATCGGCAAGTAGATGCCCAAACCCTTGCTGTTTTTGTACGTTTCGCTCGCGAGAAAATGAAGCTGCAAATCTTTTCCTTGCGAGAGATAGTTCTCGGAAGTGAAGCTTCGTAGAGCCTGACGCACTCTCTTTCGCAGCTCTTTCTTCATGTCGCAACTTGAACTTTGCATAGAGGTGGTCTTGGTGACGCAACCAGCATTTTCAAGGGAAAACGGGTCAGAGACCGCAGCTGTAATCTCCACTTTTCTTTTCATTTTTCATATTAATCCTCGCCTTGTTTACGTCTTACCTCACATGACGAATTCAAATTCACAACAATGCGCCTCTTTGTATCATTTTCTTAAAGTCTCGCTCGACAATGCTTCGTTATTTGATTTGTCACTCCACACTCTGAGTGAGCGCTGCCGTGTACCGCTTTTGTTTCTGTCTCTTGTGGTCCTGGTCGACCCACCCTAGAGAATCCGATCGAAAGTACTACTTAGGTTGCACTTGCACACAAACATTTCTGCTGCTGCATCGCCTGCTTCCCATCATCGTCCACATTTGAGGAGACTAAAGATGACACACAAACTACAAGCACAAGTCTCGTTCGTGATAAAAAATTGCGGTTAACAGAATACAAGTTGACCACACATAGAACTGCACACCGTTCCACCCTGATGCTGATGTTGCTGACGAGAAGTTAATACAAAATGTTCAGACCTACAAGTACAACCAAACAAACTCTTCAAGAATAGGTTAGCCTCGTAGTTGACAAGAACTGCCTCGGGCGCGCTACTGACACTGACTACAAGTACGTTATAATTTTCATTTACTCACCAGCACATCTTTTCCGAATTGTGCTAACATGCTTCCAATTGTGCCTGTAACTCGTGCGTTTACTTCTGCATTCTCTCGATGCTTCGGCAGGATCAAAAAATTCGAATCCGGCGCCTCGTATTGAAAGCCGAGAGCCAAAAACAGTTCAATCGTGGCCAAGTAGCGCCCCAATTTCTGGTGCAGTGCGGCGTTGTCGAGATTTATCCTACGAAATTTGGCTTCGTCTGGCTGATCGACGAGATTTTTGATCATTTTCGAGAGCGTCTCGAGTATCGGTACGTAGATTCCTGGATCATGTCCGAGAGAGTGTTTCAGTAGTAGCAAAATATCCACCGCTGGCTCGACGCCAGTCAGACCGTTGGTGTATTTGCGATCTGCACGAGCAAAAACGTCTTGCTCGATAATCTCACGCGCGAACTGCGACGCCACGAGCGCGCATTGACGTTGGACACGCGCGGCAGTCGTTGGCGACGCTCCTGGTCCGATAAATGTCTGTGGATGGCGTTCCCAGCAGCCGCAGTAGACGCCGTCGCCGCAAGAGCGGCATAGGAAATCGATCCAAGCTGCTGGGATAACTGGCGGCGAAAACGGGTCATGAACTGGCTCCGTAGGAGCCGGTACTGGAAACCCAATGGCTCGCTTGTTGTTTGCCTCCTTATCCTCCTCAAAAACGATGTTCGTCAGTGGCACGAAGTGATCCTTCGCTTCGCTTCCCCATGCTACAACTACAGGCCTCTGCTTTCCTAGGTGCTCGCGAACTAATGCTTGTTTCTGCTCGTCGCCGAGTCCTTCTCCTGACAACAGTTGCTGCTCGAAAAATCGTATCGGGAGAAAAGTTCCCGCAATTCCGTGATATCCCATTCCGAACCTCCGCATGTTTTCCCGCGATGCGACTAGAATAACTGGCCTCTGCAACACGTTCGCGAGCGCCACCATATGCGCAGTCGTGAGAAATGCGCCTGGTGTCTGCGCGCGCTGCACGGCCTCAGCGAGCTCTTTCTCGCCAGCCCCTGGGTGCGCGAACTCGAGCTTCTCTGCGTACCAGGACTTGTTCTGTTCGATTTCAGCTGCCATCTGCGTCCGCAGCGATTCACTGTGCTCCTCGGATCCAAAAATCGCGAGTGAAACAGCGTTTGTCAGGCAATTGCCGTTGGCGGCCGTCCTCAAGGGCACCAGCGTGTGCGCGCGGCCGCCAGGCTGTCTCGTAGCCATTTCTGCGAGAAACTCTTCGAGGTAGCACAGAGCGCGAAAATCGACTAGAGCACAGGCCAAATGGGCAGGGCAAGCGAAAGTTGATGTGCCATCCAGGCTATCCATGTTCTTATTTTCTTCAAGTGCGCTCCCATCAACACCGGATGTAGCTGCTCTTGATCCTGTCGCCGCAGCAGGCGCATCTCCTGAAACCGGGACCGGGCTGGCCATGGTGATATAAACAACGTCTGCTAGTCAATAACAATATAATCTACTTGACGATCATTTAGATTTACGTGAAGATAAAATTCCAGTCGACACAGGCACAGCTGCATTCAAAAAATCTGCAATTATCAATTCTACGTACTTGTACTTACTTTCCTAAAATCTAACTTGATTGACGTCGTGTCAAAGGCTTGTTTTATACCCGAAAAAGATTCAACATCTTGCCTTTCTCTCTTTCTCTTCCTTGTTTTACTTACTCTATTATTGGATGAATGTAGTCGAGTTATTGGTCTAAGATTTCTCTAAGCCTAACAAGCGTGATAATTCATGATCACGATCTGTCCGAGAGATCGATGTTGCTGACGGAATCGATCCCTTTCTCGTCTTCACTTCAATTCATCACTCCTACTCTTGAAAAATTGAGTTGACCCCTTCCGCACCACTGTGTTTTCTAAAACCACGGCACATTGACTCATGGTGACTGGACACATACGCATACCCTTCTTAGTGTTTTCTAGGTACTGCTAGGAGGGATGGTCCGAACACGAGTAAGTGGTTGATGTAATCTGACCGTAATGATGCTGACATCGCAGTTAAGTCTACCCTGTTTGAGCGTACTTATCGGAACAATGTCCAAGATTGTGAAACGCCACAGAGAAGCATGGGTCAAGTACTAAAGAAGCTGTAAGTAGCGCTAGTGCTGTGACCCACAACTACGTAGGTACTCATTGATCATCTATCCCGTTGCACATAGCTAAAGTCTATAGTAGGTGTAGGTTGACGTTTTTACAAATGGGGAAGCAATCATCTTTACACACCGCTGCATCCAGGTAATTTTGATTTTCTCTTTATTTAGTATTAGCCTTGTAAAAAGTAGTAGTTGTTAATATATGCGTATAATGATCAACATGATCAACTTCGCTATCGTTAGTAGCTAGTAAAGCGAAACCTCATTATTCTTGTTTTTACAAGGCCTGCAGGTGCTTCTAGCCGATTATATTGGCGCGTGTTCAACAAGTATTCAGTTCTTTACATCTTACAATCTGTCCACATGGCGAAAGGAGTGGGACAACGACAAGGGCCTGTTAGTACGTTCATCTAAATATCCTCCGCGATAGCGAGCTGTGCTTCGCTCGTCTCGCTTTTCTGCTGCACCGTGTCAAGAGTGCACTCGTCTTGCTTACTTCGTTAGTCATTACAACCGTACTGATGAATCAGTATCAAATCAGATCACGTACTCCGTCAGCGTCTGAAAAAATCAACGGTCTATTTGAGATAAGTTCGTTGTGTGCAAGGCAAGTAGATTCATAGTCATACAAACATAGTCTTAGTCAATGAAAAAATCAGCAATAACAAAGAGAATTTCGATTTGGTTTTGGATTATTTATTGTCATAATCATAATATATAAAGGATGAAGAAAATGTTTTTCAATTTGGAACGTCCACCGAATAATCATTTCTAGCGAACCCCAACCGAAGCTTTGAAACGTCCGATGACCAGAATCTAGTATGGCATGATCGGGTAACCAGTATTCAGTGGGGAGCAAGTGTTCACACGTGACCAGAGGGTTGCTTCCCGAAGCGATACGCAGTGTTGCCCGTCCTCCAACAAGAAACTTGGCCCTTTTATCGGCTCAGAACTGAGAACGCTGACCGCTGCATCGCGCTCTGCTGGAAGAAAGCTGCCCTCTAGCTGCAGCGACGGCCCTGCCGAGAGCTCCACATCCCACAAAAGTGGTGGCAATCGGTCTAAGAGCCAATGCGCACCAGGAATCCTGTGCAGCGCGCTTTCCGGCTGCTGTGAATTGAGCCACCCAAGATGCTGATCGATCATCGAGACAAGGCCTTTGCTACCCTTGGTCGACAGTCGCTCTGCGGTAGTTCGTGCGTTGTTCAACTTTTCCAAGCTGCGCACTTCTCGTGGCCGCGCACGCGCAGTCACTATTGCTTCTAGAACGAAAAGTTCCTCCGTAGGCACGGGGAAGGGCAGCTGTCGATGATTCACGATATTTTGTACAGTGTGTGCCAAGGGTGGAAGAATTTCGAAATACCCGCGTAGAAATGCCTGTACGAAGGCCACATACGCTGCGCACGCTAGAAGCGACACTACTACATTCACATCATTAAGTTGCGTTAAGTTGCAGCTTTCTAGGACTGCGGAAATTTCCTGCAACTTGTCAAAATTTCCACTCTCCCCTGCTGCAATCTCTAGCAAGAAAGTATCGAGCGCTGTCTGAGCTGCCCACGAACCCTCTCCGACAAGAAGTGCCAGCTTGATCGCTTCTGCCGCATCAAAATTCGCGACGCTCCGCGATGCCTCAAACTGCTTTCTCAGGTCCGAGTGTGGGTGAAGAAGGGACTCTAGTGAGCGCGGACACCGGAGGCCCTGATGAATCAGGTACACGCGATGTCGGTTTGCAGCCGTTTGAGATTGATTCCACAAATCCACCGCGAGGCGCTGAAGGTGATACCGTTCACACTGTTTTGCGAGCCACTCGATAGCCACTTTTCGCTGCTCTCTTGTTGTTGCCGTGCTAGCGCTAGAACCCCCGCCGCCGCCTCCAGTGTCCTCGATCAGTAATTTGTGACATATATGGTACAACAGCACCTCGTTTCCCTTCAAGAGCATGTTGAGCCCTTCTTGCACCATATTCACCGAGAAAAACATACACGCAGCTGCTACGGGTTCTGCATTTGTGTAATATGTTCGTGCGAGACCTCTTGCAACGTCTGTCATGTCGCGACTCAAGGATGCGGGATTGCGTGATCCACTGGCCGCTCCGTTCCCCACAATCACGCCGCCCGTTGCGGTAGTAGGCAAGCCATCCCGCCGCGCCGTAGGAGTTTGCGTTCCCGTGAGACTTGAGGGCGTGCCACCACCAGCAGAAGAGCTACGAAAGTAGAGCCCATCCGTGGCAGCTTTCGATGCAACTAGCGCCTCCGCTGGCATCCCTTCCCGCAGGTAGCCCTCGACTAGTTCTCCAGCGTTCTCGGTCGCCAATAAGGCTACCGCTTTCGCCTCCGTCGTCAGGCAGTAGGCTCTTTTCGATAGATATTCACGGTGCATGCGTTGCCAGTACTCCGTCGATACCATGGGAGCCGCCATTATAGCCTGTTCCCATTTATCCGCAGCAGCCATCATCTCGCAGTACTGTCGCACGTCGCCGATGCGAAGCATCATTTGGGCCGCCCGCTGCAGCCGGTCCTCCTTCTTGCCGCCAGCCGCACTCCCAGCCGCAACGATCCCACCCGCGCCACCACCGCTGACCTGGGCATTGCTCGCCAAAGCCAGGGCTTGTGCGCGCACCTGCGCACAGACTACTGAGTGGTGCCATACCGTCGTGGTCGTGTTGGCTCCGCCACCTGGCTTTAGGCCCCCAGCACCTGCACCGATTCCGGAGGCCCTGTAATTCGGCGACATTGAGTCGCTAGCAGCGCGTCCCGTCACCAAGTCCACCTCGGTTTTCGCGGCTCCTGGTGCTGTGCACGCATTGGTCATGTGCACCTCCAGCATTGCGTCGCCACCGGGGGTGCCGCCAAGACCGGGTGAAAGGCCAGTAGCTCCGCCCGGGCCGCCTATCATTGGCGCGCCATTGTCTCCGCTCGCCGCAGCACCAACACTTTTTTCCAGCAATCCCCATAAATCGTCCATGTTCGCTCGGTGGCTGAAAAAGTGGAACAGCATTCGGTAAACGCGCACCGCGCGCTGCGGGTGAGGAGGCAGATTCTCTATTTTTTGCAAGGTGTGGCGGAAGCCGTGGCCAAAGAGCAACAGATTGTCCGAATTCGGAAAGCGCACAGGGCATCTAGGAGATGTCATACCGCCAAGCGTCACGTACCTGTTGTAAGATGAGAGTATAATCCGTACTCGTAGTAACCTCTCGCTATGTCAGTTTTTCAAGTAGAATGTCACTTTCTTGCCGCATTTGCATTAGTATCTATAATAGAGCAGTTTATAAGGTTTCACAGCTCGCATGGCATGGAGTGCATGGATCACATGGAGTAGCATGGAGCTAAAGGGGGAGCTTCTTGCGCCCCTTAAAGCTCTGCGCTCCATGCACTCCATGCTACTCCATGCACTCCATGCACCATGCGTGCTATAAACTACTCTGCTATAAGTATTTCCCAAATATTAAATAATTCGTTTTCATCTTCATCATTTATTACAGATCGGATACTTCAGAAATGGTGAAAGCGGTTCTTCTTTCGCCGAGCAAAAGAATTCTGGTCCTGCCTCTTGCGCTGGCAGCACGCCCACCATCTCGCGTAGCTCTTGCGGATTCAGAACCGCTGATAGCAAAAAAGGCGCTGCGATTTCTTCGAGGGACCAATAGCGGATGGTCGTGTCACGACTACTCGAAATGAACAGGAACGGACGCAAAGGGTGTGCATGGAGACCGTAAACATCTGCATGATGTTGCCGCGCTGTGTACAACAACATGCCTTGTGATGCGTCCCAAACACGTATGGTCGCGTCCCAGCTTCCTAGCATTAGTAGAAACGTGAAAAATTATGTGCTAGCATCAACAGCATGTATTTGGCGTTTTAGTTCGGCAAACCTGGAACCTCGTGTCCAATAAGAACCAGCCTTAATGACAGCAATATCTGCGTTACTTCCGAGTGCCAGCAAAGTGCGCGCACAAAACTGCGATGGCCGCAAAGGCGTGTGCACTCCCTTTGAGAATCGATATCCCAAACGCGAATCGTCGTATCATCGCTACCCGAAGCCAGAAGGATTAGAGCAGCTGCGAATAGTAGGCACTGCAGTAGTTGCAGGTCTAGGAAGATCATCCTCAAAGTCCTTACAATTTCTATGTATAGACACCTTTTAGTCTTGCTTCTATGAAGTAATATACAACTTGCTAGGATTGCCAAAAAAGAACATAGTAGGTTTCGATACTGCGGATGCCAGGCTACATTGAACACGCGCGCAGTGTGCCCGACCAGAGCGAGAAGCGGTTGATGGTGATGCGGAAAGACCTGTGTATCCCATATTCGGACTTGGCAGTCTTGACAGGCGGTGCAAAGGAGGTGTGTCGTTACGGGGTTGAAGGCCACGCCAATTACAACCATAGGGTGTCGATACTGCCGTCTGGCACACTTCTCCGCAATGTTCGTGATCACAGCCTGACTATCGCATCCTCCCGTAGCTATCAACTTCGGGTCGTCGGGATGCCACTGGAGGCGGTAGGAGCTGAGGTTCAGTGAGAAAGTCTAAGATGATGCTGGGCCTGCGGGCGAGATGGATTTAGTGCGTAAAATTTGTTTACGATTTCTTTATTGTAATTTTGATCCTAGTAGGTCCAAAAACTACTAGTAGTAGAGTCCTAATGGTGCAAACAAACTTCTACATGCAAACATGAAGATGTTGATACGCATGGCTTCCCTCGTGCGGCTTGTACTTCAAGATTTGCGCTCCAGTCTCGCTTTTCCAGACAAAGAGGTTCCCGGACCCAGAGACCGCTGCGATCATGCTGCCATCACGACTGAACGCCAAAGCATAGAGGATGCCATCATTTGCGAAGATCTCGCGAAAAGCCTCTTTTTTGGCTACATTCCAGAGTTTGACGTAGCCATCGTAGCTTGCAGTCGCGAAGACGTTGCAATTCACCGGATTAAAAACCAAGTCAAAAATGGTCTCCGAATGAGCAGGACTCGTGGTAAACCCAGGACGCAAGGACGTCACCTTCGTTGCCCCAACTCCACCAGTACCCGTGTTGGTCACGAAGTCCATCAGGGCAAGAGACCTGATAGTGATTGGTGGTGGTCATTCATCGCAGTCAGGATGAGAGGACAGGCTCACTTTTACTGACAAAGTAGGTAGCGCAGTTTGATAATCATCGGAGCGAACTATGCAGTACCCATTGGTGTAGGCGAAGAATATTTTTTCCGGACTGTTTGTGTGAAAACTCACCATGTTCAATATCGGCGAATTCCCACCTTTTAGTTTTTCTAGCGGCTTCGGCTGACTAACATTCCAAAGGCTCAGGGTTCCGTTCTTCGAGTTACTTGTCAGAAAATTACCTGAAAGTGGTGTTATTCACAGGATGTGCCTGGCGAACTACCCTAGACGGTTTCTTCACAGCTGTAGACTAAAACACGCAGATGCACGCAAATAAGTACGCTCACGCGCATTAGCTCTACCATTCTCCATTGAAGACTGAACATGGTACCGGGCTGCGATGGTAGCCACACGACACTTTGCACTGGCACAGGTTGTCGCTCGAATGCAAAGAGAACCATGCCAGCTTCAGTAGCAAGTAGGAAGACAGAGCCATCTGCAAAAGCCACAACCATGTAGTCGTCACAGAGGGGATCCTTTTCCAGGCACACGCATGTTGGTCCATTCTTTGTCTGCTCGGGATGCGTAAAAACTTTCGTTAATGTTCCCGTCACTGCCCCGTCAATGCCAGTAGGACCGGTTGTTTATGAACAAGAAGGGACCCCGACAAGGTGGAATAAATCGTAGGTAGAGACAATACTAGAAGATCAATATCAAGTACGTATTTCAGAACTACCACCTCCAAAGTGCACTAGTGTCTCATGCTACAACTTATTCTTGTTGAGTACACCATCAATCCATATTGATGTCCCTCCAACTAAGCTACGCAGCCCCGAGGTAGTTGACTTTGAGCTGCTGCTCCCGGACTGAAAGCGGATCTCGAAGTCGCATCTTACGACGCAGCCATCAGTAGTTCCGACGATGATTTGACCCGGTGTATGCCATTCGAAGCAGGACCATGGCAAAATGCCTACTTTCTGTAGCTCCTGCCGGTCGCTTGCCCACACGAATAGCATTTGATTAGAATATCCTAAGGCAAGCACGTCTGCGCCTGGGTTTCTCTGCAAACCTTTTTTGCGTGAGTTCCATTTTAACAGAGAGCAGAACGGTTGCCCGACTGCGCCACCTTCTCCCGCCTTCGCAACGCAAGCCTCTTCACGCTCAAGCGCAACATTCCAAATGCTTACCTGTTTTTTATCTCAAACTTCTCACAACTGTTTCTTCAATGATTTCAATGCTGAACATGATACAACAAAGTCGCATGACCATGAGGATGACGATCATGAGGACGATGCGATGTTGATAGTATATAAAAGATGTTCCCCAGATGTAAGATTATTATGTTAGTTTTGAGTAGTGATTTCCGCATCCACATCCATTCTGCTCCAGCCATTCCCGTTCGCATTCTGCTGGCTGTCTTGTGCTATGATACATAATGAGGTGATTGTGAGTTATGGGAGTGCATGATTTTGAAGTTTAAAAGGGAAGAGGAGGGCCTAAAGGATAACTAGTTGTAGTGAATTCACATTAATCATAACGAAAGACTAAAGGTTAGAAAATTAAAATATGAATCAGCTTTAAGTAGCTAAAAAGTAAGATAAGTTTAAAAAAAGATAAGTTTATGAAGTAGCGAACACAGTGGCACCCTTGACACACAATCGCTCTTATATCACGGCACTAGCGTGACTGTCTTTGTTTTATGCAATAGCCCAGATGGCCGGCCACTGATATCATTATGAGAATCGTGATTGTGGTTTTTGCTCCTTGTTGTTGTTGTCTTCTTGTGTGGTCATGGTAGTTGTTTAGTTTAGTAAGCTAGTCAGCCTAGTAGTGTGATCATGATCCTAATGGTGCTAGTTGTTTGATCGTTGTGCTGTTTGTTCTTGTTGTTGTTGATCTTGATCATTTTCCTAGTGGTGATCATGATCTTCCTCACTATCCTCCTGGTGATCTAGTTACTTTGTTCTTACGTTTGTATTCGGGATCTGGGCATTGACATCCCAGCAACCCAAGAAAAAAAGGAAAAAAAAAATCGAATCTACATGCGGCTTACGTATGGTAGATGAGATTTGCCTTTTAATCCGAATGCAAACTGGCGCTAGCTCTTTTCTTTTAAAAAAGTTTTGCTCTACGTTCTTTTGTTTTAACTTTCTTTACTTAAACCTTCTGCACTTTCCTTTAGTTTTACTTTCTTTCACTTTTACTTTCTTTTACTTTCGCCTTCTTTACTTTCTTCAAAAAGCTCCTACTCTTCCGAACTTGACAGTAGGTCGTTGTCAGTTCGGGTCTTCGTCTCCTTTTTCGCGCTTGTCTTCTGCTGCTTTTTCTTTGGTGGTTCATCCTCAGAAGAATCAGAGGAGGAACTTGTAGACGACTCACTGGAGCTGCTGTCTTCGTTGTCGTCTCCGTGTTGTACTTGTATCGTCTTCTTCTTGTTCGGTACAAGTGTCACCGTTTTGCGGCGGTGCCGGCGTTTTGGTGTCGTGCCCACCTGGCGTAGTTGTGCTTGGGTTTGGCGGCCTCCTGGTCCCATGAATGCAAGACACCACAAATCCTCCTTGTCTTCAGGTAGCTGAATGTTGGGAGTGAGTGCTTTGTAGTGCGCAGCACTGGTTTCCAACACTTCCTCCCAGCGGGTGCGTACTTCACTGGTCCGGTGTAAGATTCGCCCCAACGCTAAGGTTCGGACGTATCGCTGGTACTCCACTTCATTTCGTACGCCAGTCATTTGCAAACCGCGTTCGAAAGCTCGCTGAAGTGCTCGCTCAGGCACAGTGTAGACTCTACCACGGGTCGCCATCTTGATAGCTACTAGAAAAGGAATTATATATTTATAGTATACGAAACTAAAAAATATATATAACTATGGCTAAGCTTTTCACTTTGCATGGTGATGCCGCGTTTTCCCGGGGGGGGGGGCCAAAAACAATTTGCCTCTTGCAAAATCAAAAGACAAAACAGATGACATAAGGCGGGTTGTCTCTGATCGTGTCATTTGTTTCAAAGGTCAAAAATGTCCAAAAAATCAAAACAATTAGGATGATCCAGATGACATGAATTTGTCTCTGTGTCGTCCTCTCCCTTCTAGAACAATGTTTTATGTTCCTTTGTGATCACGCCTAAGCGCGATCTTCGATGCGCCGCAGCTGTAAAACTTGCGGCCGCAACTTTCCTGGCTTCATGATGTCGAGAAGCTGCTGTAGCGATCTAGCTGCCCTCTTTCGCGGTTTCGTCATCGCGTCCGTCGGATTCAATACGCCTGGAATATGGTACTTACGTGCCTCCAGAGTACTGATCTGCTCCTGTAGCTTCTTGATCATCGGAAGAAGCATTAGCTCTGTGATCTGTGGATTAACAGACGAAGTTGACCGCAGAAGCGTGTCACAGTCTGAGATCACATGGCAGCAAATCTTCGTAGATGCAAGCCGTGCTACCTGCATGCGGATTGCGCCCATAAGGTCCAATCCTTCATGCGCTGCGAAAGATTCTCCTGAGAGACTGTTTGTCGTGGCACGACGCTGGATGCGACTGAAGTAGTGAATTATGTGGTATGGAAACCATTCAGCACTTTCGATCGCAAATGGGTCATCTCCTCGCATAGCGGGCGAGAATCCAATCATCGATGCCATTCGCGGTCGTACATCGCCAGATTTGCTCCCCAAGCTCGCGTCGAAGATCAAAATTATATTGAGAACTTCACTCGAGTGGAAAGGCAAATATACGATCTGAATTGGGCCGGTGTAGCGTAGATACTTTACTACTTTGTTTAGCATCACAGTGCCGGAGTAGGTCGTAATCACCGTTGCGGCCTCGATACAATCAAAGATTATATCAGGTCGGGTGAAAATTGCGAGCCACAACAGCTGCCCTAGTGAAGACCGTGCTGCGGATTGCAAAGCTCGCGGCAATGTGTCCTTCTCCTCATAAAGTCCGGGAAGGGCAATCTCGGAAAACTTTTCGTGGTATGCTGCTTGTGAAGCAAACAGTCTGCCCTTGACTCTTGATACTACCGAGCCTAGAAACTTAAAGCTGCTCTCTTTAGCTTTTCCGTTTAAGTTTCCCCTGGGGCCTGGAATTCCGTCGAATGTCCCTACTTCGAATTTGCCTGACATGGTCCGTAACTCGTCGCAGAGTTCGTCCGTACCGGTAAAGACCATGTCGTCGACATGTAATGCCAGCAATGCATCACCATCGCGCTTGGTATAGAAACATGGATCAATCTCGTCTCGAGTCCATCCCTGTTCTCGAAGATGTGCATCCAATGTCTCCCACCACTTTCTTCCGGCTCTCTTCATGCCGTACAGGTGTTTGTGCTTGGCCATTTTGAAGATTTCGCGTGGGCGAAGGGGGTTCGCGGTCTTCGGAGGCTCTACAAATATGTCGTGTTGGTCCTGTTTCCCTTCAGGTGTGTCAGATTGCAAGTATGCAGTCTTGACATCCAACGAACATAGTGGAGTTCCCCAAACCTGCGATAAGCTGAAAATGACCTTAGTAGACCATTTCTTCGCTGTTGGTGCCTCACACTGTAACTTACTTAGGCCTTCTTCGGTGAACCCTTTGCACACTAGTCGTGCTTTGAGCGACATCTGACCAGCGATTATCAATATCTTCTCGGTGAATACCCATCGCGATTGGACAACAATACCCTTCGATTTGATTTCCTTCCGATCTACGATGGTGAAAACTCCATTCTTCACGATGGACGTCAATTCACTCTGTGTTGCTGTGGCGTAGTGAAGGTGCTTCTTCGCGGCTGCTACCGTGAGCTCCCTTCTGACCAGGTACGCCTTTTCGAATTCGACTCCTACTTCGTCGATGTCTGCCTCTGGGCTGTGTCCTAACACTTCGACAACATCAGAGATTGCTGCTAGTGCAATTCCCTCGCCAATGTCCATGGGCTGGGCATCGTCGTTTTCGTTTTCGGCGGGGTCACTCTGGTCTGCTTCTGGTTCACCTTCGTTCTCTGGGTGTTCGTCGTAGTACACCCTTAGGCTTTCGCGCATCCCTGCAGATGTGCTTTTCGTGGGTAGGCGGTACTTCTTGAGTAGCCACCGCAGTTCCCGCACCGTTAAAGATCCTACTTGATCACGGCGCTGCTTTGCGGGTGGTACGGCCTTAAAGTTTCTCTTGTTCAAGTCCTTTAAGACTGCGTCTTCGTCTTCTAGAGGCTCCGGGCTCTCGTCGTCGGCTTCGCGTGGTGCTCTCGCTTCAACCTGAGGCGGCTGTAGCGGGTTCTCTGCCGGTAGGTTCCCCTGTTTGAAGTAGATGATTACAACTAATTCAAACTTTTTGCCTGCTTCTAACTCTTCACTGCTGAAGGGGATTGAGACTGCATTTCGGCAACGTGTATACCCGAAGGCTGTCACCTGAAAAATCTCATCACCATCAGGCCGGCAGTCGTCGATAGAAGGCAGTGCGTCGTGAACGTCTTTCGCGATGATCACACGCGCCACTTTCGCTTCGAGATCTGCTGAGAGAAAGCCTGCGTCGACCTCTACAGGTCTGCCTGGGGTGTCGCAAAGCAGTCGAAACTGTCTTGCGAACCTGTTGACCGTTTTACCAACCTCCGTTTTGTTCATGTCCATGTTGGACAATGTCAGCGGTACTCGTTGGTCGGTTTCCTCGGGCTCTCCGGCTTCTTCCTCGTTTGCGTTACTCGGTGTTTCGTGTCCTCTAGGTAAAAAGATCTGCTGCGCGTCTAATGGCGATGGGCGAATTCGTTTTCGATGCACAGTGTCAATTTTGTCTGACCCGTGATACTTAACTGTCACCATGCGCGAAGATTCACCTGTTTGCCCTGGATCTCCTGTGTCGATGATCTTTGCTCGGAACCACCTAGTCTGACCGAAGTCAAATTTTTGCGGTTTCGCTGGCTGTACCTCGACAAGGTCACCTGGTGAGTAGACTGCTGTATCAATCTGAACACCGTAGACGCATATTTAGCAGTTGCTGCAGTTGTTCACTCGCGTGAACTTTCGCTGCTGCCTGTGCTGCCAAATGCTGTAGCGAGATTCTCTGAACTGCTAACTTACGTGGCAGTTCGGATGGGTCTCCGTACGCACCTAACGTCGAACTTGCGGCTTGTAAGGGATCACCCACGAAGTGAGTGGTCGCTAGTGCCGTCTGCTGTGCCGAGAGGCCGTGTGTGCCTACCAGACTGTTCTTCGCTAACCCGGTCGCCAATAGAACATCGCGAACGCGTAAGCTGGACATCTGATCTAGCGGGATTTCTTTCTGCACAAGTTCACCGATGATCTTGCTCACATGGATATGTTTCTCGGTGAGTCCCGTTGTCGCGTGCTCGTAGTCAGCACTTGTCAATGGGGTACACGGGTGAGGTCCTGTGGCTAAGAACTCGCGAACTGTCTCGTTTACCAACGGCTTGTCGTGTCCGGTGAGGAGATACATGGGCAATCTTCCGAAGACAAACATCCACTCATGGAGCGCGTGAAGCGTGTCTTCCGCGTTGATGTCTCCGCCGTTTTCGTGGGCGTAAAACATCGTGAACCGTGAGAGATAGTCTATCAGAATTAGGATTGCTCGCTGTAAGCCTTTTACTGTGAAGTAAAAGACGTCTGCTCCCACCACCTGGTTGACATTCCTTGCGATGATTCCCGTTTTCGGATGCGGCAAGGAACGTTTTTGGTTGTTGCAGTTGGTACATCTGTCAACTGCTAAGTCCCAAGCCTGTCGGAACTTTCGCGCAAGTGTGTCATCATCTTCAAGTAGGTGCTTGAAGTGAGAACACGCTTGGTCGGACTTGTAATGCCACAACTGTTTGTGTAGCTTCGTTACACTCGCTGCATCTTTGCACAGCTCTTCTAGGTCCGAGCGTTGCCACTCGCCGCGCCAACACACGTGCTCGTCTGCCCAGTGATGTACAGTCACGGGTCCTGGTTGGGCTTCCACGTCACCTGCTAGCATAAGCAGCATGAACATGATCCACATTAAGATCTTGGCAATCTTAAATTTGGCTGCCCAAGCCGCTCCCTGGCTTGCGTTCGTAGCGGCTGCGTACTTTGCAAACGAGCATAGATTTCCGGAGATATCGTATGCGAAGTTTGCCTGTGTGTTGCCTACCATGTTGAACATGATAAGACCTCCGCGGCGGCGAAAACTCAAACTCTTCTTTCCGACTTTCAGAGTGTTCTTCCCGTAGTCAATAATAGCCTCACTTCCAAGACTATCATTGCCTAATAAGAATGGCACTCTTGACATGCGTTGCTGCATGTCTGCTTTTTGGTTCGGCGTTAGTCCTTTGGGCGGGCTGAAAATACGGAAGATTCGCGGACCGAAACCTTCAATATTCACCGTCGCTCGCTTCGTTACTGGACATCCGTCGCCGTTTCCAAACGAAATGCTGCCCCCTGCAGCTTCCTCTTCAACTTTCAAAACACGCTCTGGGTACATGTTGTGAAAGTCGTTGAACCTTGGTTCGGGCACGCAGCTTACGCCGCACCCGGTGTCGATTGCTGCTTCGACTGGTTCTACCTTTGCTAGCAAACTGATCTGGTGCGATAAGTTTGCTGTGTAGGTTTTGTTTTGTCTTCCTCCCCCGTTTGGCTTGCGGCCTCCGTAGTTGCCGCTGTTGCCTGTTTTGTTACTGTTGTAACCTCCTTGACGACGGTAGCCTTGGCTGCCGTTGTTGTTGCCACCTGGTCTGCTGTTATTTTTGCCGCCCCACTTCTTGGGCTGTCGGCAATCCTTTTCCCAGTGTCCCGTCTTCCCGCAGCGGCGGCACTGGTTGCTTGCCAGGTAGGCTGCTACCTCGTCGCCGTCTTCTTCTTCGTCACCCTCTTCTTCGGTGTGCGCCCCCGGTGACTGTTCTTCCCCGTCGTGGTCTTCGTCCTCGTCGTCGTGCTCTGTGAGCTCCTGCTCTGGGCCTTCTCCGGCGACGTAGGCTCTGCCACCTCCGTTTCGCTGCCTTTGTGGTACTCCGCGCTTGGGCGTCCAAGGCTTGCGGCCTTGAAACTTGTTGTTGTAAGCCATGACAGCATCTCCCTGCTCGTCATCGGCGTGGTCGTGTTCTTTTGCCGACGCGTCATCGGCTGCTACGCGCTTTAGTAGTTGGGTCATCACTTCGGAGTTGTGCCCTGTCTGTCCTGCTTTCGCCAAATCGAAGTTTTGGCGAATACCCTGGCGCTGTAGCGTTGTTTGTCCTGCGTTGCAGTATAGCAAGAGGACCAAGACGGCGTCCGTCATATGTGCGGCAAAAGTTCCCTCTCTTTTTACCTCGTTCACGCGCTCGGCAACGTTGTGTAGCCAAGCCGTGATGTCCTGTCCGGCCGTTCTCTGATATCGGAAGATACTGATAAACCGCATTGCGGCCTCAATAGGATCCGAATACTCTGTTTGGCGATCCACGCTTCAGCCACGCTTCAGCCACCCGAGTTCTCATCTAGGGCTTAAGAAGGAGGAAGATGAGTGCTCTCACCAAAAGAGGCAAGGCTAGCACCCATGACTCCAGGGTGCATCCTCTGACGATGCGATGTTGATATATTTTTCCATGCTAGATAAAAATATAGATCAAGCAAGTACGAGGCCGTCGGTTCCAGCTGTCGCAAGAAAATTCGAGTTGTGCTCTGCCCATGCAATGCAGCGAATGGGCTTCGTATGGCCGGTGAGAATTTTCCAGAGGACAGGGTCGTGTGTGGCGCTCTCCTTCCGGTACACATATACGGCGATCACAGAAGCGTAGGCGAAGAGCATAGCTCCCGTGCCAGGATCAATAGCGGTCGTTATCACAGAACGGTGCCAGCTCTGCACGCCAGCAGGTATCAAATTCAATTGCCGCATGATCGATTCTGGTCAGCACATAGAAGAACAGGTAGTAGAAGATGCGAAACTTCCTCTAGCGTCGACTTGTTGCTACAGCGTACCCACTGGCACTCGCCTCAGAAGCGAGAGGAGCAGAGGCGCTACCAACCAAAATCACTTCTAGGACGAGTCAACCATGCACTGGAGTGACAGGACTGATCTACTCATGTCCGACAATCGTCATGCTCGCTTCAAGGAGACTTTCCCACTCCGATAGCGATAGTGCTCAGGGCTAATAATGAGCTCACCACGTCAATGCTGATGCAATCACGCTTCCTCCAACGCTTGCGCCGCCTTTTCCGGATGCCAGACCACGAGTTAAAATCAGCAAACGAAATGAATGAGACAGAATTTGGAATAGATGGACAGAATCAGAAGCCGTGGCGATAAGATGTACTATCTGCAATTTTGCACTCTTTTGTCGCAAGCGAGAGCAGGCGATTCTTGAGATTGAGTGGCGTCATGCATGTGAGAGAAGGAAAAATCGAGAAGGGCGAAGGTCGTGCTCTTGTAGTTGTAACTACACAAAGTACTAGACAAGCAAGCTCTAATGTAGTACAACTAGTATCGTAATTGCTTGTATTCTACTCATGAGGATTAGAAATATGATTGAATGCTAGAATAAGAGTTATCTCATGCGAGATTAGAAATAGATTAAGAGTTATCTGGCATGCGATTCTGCAGGGGCCAAGCCATGGTTCCAGAAAGTCTGGGCTTGTTCAGAGACATTGCAAAGTGGGGCTCGATCAAACATGCAGTTCTTTCCGGCAAGCGTTTCATGGATCAGCAGCAATGCAAGAGCTGCTTCTCTTCTTCCCCCAGGTCAGGTTGAACACATCGACAACACTGTGGTGTATGCACCGACCACTGTGGACAAGAGTCAAATAATCCTGCTCATCCTCGGCGAATAAGCACAAGCAGTAGTAGAAGATATTCTGAGTGAGTGGATGAATGTGCATGGCACAAGGTGTTGCAGATTCAGATCCAGGGGTTCCCTGCCGCAGCCACACTTTTTTTTTGCACGGGATTGTGGTTTTATCTTATTAATTTCTGATAAATTGAGGCTCCATATCATTTCTGATAAATTGACAACGCTCTTTCCTTCCCTTTCCCCTTTCATTTTTTCACTCCCTTTCTTGTGTTAAGAATTATACATTGGCATTGCAAACATCGAAAAAAAATGTTGAGAATCATAACGATGCTGAGGGTCCTCCGTTTACTTCAACATCATCAAGAACAGCATACTAATCAAATTCCGCTTATAGTCTGCTGATGCATATGATGAAGAAATGTATTTCCGATTATGTTCTGCGCATCATAATCAGTCATTCATCCCATGATAATTGCTTATCTTCATTCTTCTTTATACCTGGACCTACTGTATGTATCCTAATTCGAATAAAGATCTTAGATAGATGCATCGCGACGTCAGCTTCCTGGAAAAGAAAATGATTTATTACTTATCACGTAGCCATGAGGGCACGAAAAGTGAGCTTCGGTAGTTTCCCATTCTTACTTTTTTCTGTGCAAAAATCCTACAAACAAAACTTGGCCTCACATCACTAGTCAACATCACGGAGGGACTCGTTTTTCTCTAGTCTTCTTGCCGCCCCCACCATATTATCTACAGCTATAATTACCGCGATGGTTACGTGGGTGCAAGATCAACAGAGCGATAGAACGTCCGAAAAGTGATGACTTGAGTCACTCCCTTTGTTTACGCCTGCTCCCGCGCCGCGGACACGCGCAAGAAAGTCAAGCTGACGCATTGATACTGGTGAAACGAGTGGCGAACGCGGTTTACAGACGGCCAGGAGACGAGCATACTTTTTCTGAGAAAACTTGGCTGCAGAAGACATTTTTAGCATAAAAAAGTACAATATTAAGATTACAATTCTGGACTTTGACAGTGTCAGTGTCTGGTGTTGTTCTTCTTGTTCCGCTATGGTGTCTACATTCAAATCGAATTGTTCAATTCATTGGATACAAACACAAAAATACTGTACACAAAACTAGTTCTACTTGTTCTTTTCATATTCGTAACAGAGTCAGAAATGTTGAGCGCTTACCAGCTACAAATCTTCATTTTGCTCTTTTTTCTTACCAAAAGTGAATCTTTCATAGTCGGCGTTTTCTTATGGTTATGCTGACCTCTTTCTCTATTCAAATTCATGATACTAACTTCTATTTCTTTTTGTATTCTCGATAGTCACTCTCCACATATTTTCATTTTTCATAGCTATTAGCTAAAGAACATTCGGCATATACTCCAGCTGCGCGGTAACTAGATAATGGTCTGAAATGTCGTCTGTTCCTTCAACTTCTTGGCCAGCATACGCATTCTGTCCCATTATTGCTCGGTCGAATACGCTAGAGCACTTCGTGTTGTCATGATAGACATGATCTTCTGCGCTGGTTCTGGTACCATTGTCATCATCTTCGCAAATCGTTGCGCGGCTTGTCGTAGAAGTGCCATTTGTCGTGCGCGCGCTACTGGAGGCTATGCTATTTGTTCTACTTCTTCTAGCTCTTTCGTTTTTGTCTTCAGGCCTAATTGCAGCCGCACCAGGGACGTTGAACCGTAGGTCGAACCGTACGCATGAAGAAACTGCGCGAAAATGCTTGCGCGTGAAGAGAACGTAATCCAATTTCGCAACATCATGGTGCCAGGGTTCGAATCGCGGTATCATCTTGTTCTGCAAGGAATTGCTGCTGAACTCGCCACCACAATCAGCGTCATCACACTCTGGAAACATTTCACGCAACCGATCGTAGTGCGAGCTTCGGTGGATGATGTTCAAATCACCAAGAAGCACAAAGGCTTCCCCATCGTAACGAGGAGAGGACTGAGAAAGACGATGACTAAAAGCAGGCTTAGCATCTTCTGTATCTCCGTTCGCCAGAGAAGCGCGGCGGGCAACTTCCCTTCCAGAAGATGCAAATGAGGCTGAATTTTCAGCATCAGTCTGTCGCTGTTGGAGATGTTCTTCTGCAACTACGAGTTTGCGGTAGCGATTGATGATCTCTCGAAGCTGGGCCAGATTGGCCATCCGCGTCTTCCCATCATGGAGAGACCCACCATAGTGCGCATGGAGATTGAAAACGCAAAAACCTGATGGACAAAGGAATTTTTTGTCAGAGTACATATCCATAATCAGATCATGATGATGTTGAGTGATCATGATTAATAGAAGATATTTTGAATTTATTTGATGAAGTGACTACAATAATAATTTTATGAGGCGCATAATTTGAGGTAATTGTTGGTCAAAATAACAAAAGGGAAGACGAGTACGTACGACGTAGTACCTGGATCGTTTTCGGATACTCGGACAAAGAAGCACTGCACACCGCGCCGCACCACTCTCTCGAGACCGCCTGAAAGCTCCAACGCCACAGAACGGCAGTATCTCATGGAAAATCTACTTAGCAGAAACAAACCATCTCGTACGCCGCAGTGTTTTCGAACCAACCGGCCAAAAAGAGACATCCCCTCTGGTTCGTACTGGTCAAAAATGTCGGCCTCACGACGAAAATCAGCAAACGAAGACACAGCCTTGCCATTACTATGTCTAGATGAGACTTCTTCTAGTACGAGTGGCACGCCAGCGCTATCAACTGCAGGCATGATATCTTCTCCGGGCTCTGGAGTTGATATGAGTCTCATTTTGCCAGCATCAGTAGCCGCATCAGCATCTTTCTCGGCTGTTGTTGTAGCTGTCAATTGTACTAGTCCATCGTCAACGCCATGCTTCTCATAATCTCTTCTCGATTTCGCCTGGTGCGTCGACGCTGCTAAACTCGTATCATCGATCTGGGTGTCGGCCTTCGGCCTGTTCACGTTCTGGTCTGATGTGATTATTTTCTGTCTTCGAAAGTTTGCGAAAGTGTCGACTTCTCGATGCATGGAGGTCCTGTTCGTCTGCGTTCGATGAACTGTGTTGTAGTCCAGCATGATGTCTTCATCATCAGACGCACTGTCGTAAGCGCTCGTGTCCGAGGATGCGACGGAGGAAGGAAGACTGTCCCTAGAACTGCTGTAATCACCTCCACTCGACGCTGTCGTAACACCAGAGCTAGAGAAATATCCTGCGCGGTCTTTGCTGGTTTTACTAGCACTGTGGTGCTGGCGGAGATTTCCCAGATCATGAACTGGTGCTCTACTACGACTTGAAGCTGGGCCAGCAGGGCTGCAATAATAACCACCTTGCTCCTGCTGGTCATCCTCGTCACGATGCACCTGCAAACGGCTCTCATGTAAATTGCGAGGCGTATGTTCATCAGGAACTTTGCCAAAGTCTTCCAAGAAAAAGACACCTCCGGACATTGTCGAAGAAGTTTTGTTGTTCTTGTGCTTTCTATTGTTTTCGAAAATTTCGCTGTGCTTGTTGTAGTGGTCGAGTCTGTGATGTCTCCTAGTCGTAGTACTACTCGTATTAGGACTAGAGGAAGTCACTGCATTTTTAGTCTTGTTCCGTGTTGGAATTCTTTGCCGGGAGCGGAAGGGCAGACACGATCGAAGATCTGGGCTCTCGTCCATTATTTCCACATCTTCGAGCGCATCTTTTGCATCCTCCTCGTCAGGGGTTTGATGCAGGTTGTGGCCACTGCCTGCTTCTCGACCGAAAAGCGTGTTAGAACTAGTGTCAGCGCGCACTTCATCTACAGCCCTCTTTCCAAAGTAGTCTACTGTTTCGGTGTCCTCAGCGCCACATGGTTCGGTCGCCTGTTCGTCTTTTTGTAGCTTATTGTCCTCGTCGGCACAAAGAGGATCATGTACTAGTTGGAAATCATCGTCATCTACCTCCACTACTTCCATCATCTCAGAGTCTAAGCAAAAAGAACCCACACCGGCTGCAGCCGCAACTTTGTTTTCTACTAGTGTGCGAAACTCGGTCATGCTGATTTGATCCCTCGTGTGGTAATGGTGCCTCCAGCCTTCAAGGCGTGAAAAGCGCTCCAGATACCGCACATCGAACAGCTCTTGGAAACCGACTATGTCCAACTCTAAATCGGTCTCGAGCCGAAAACCTAGAGTGGCGGCACGGACATCGTCATGATAACGCGAAAAGGGCAGCCAAGACGCAAAGCTGTTGCCCCAGAGGTGCGTGTTATAACTCCCGAAATTCAGCTTGTGGACCACAGGAGGTCGTTCGAGCGAGGCATCCGCTGAATCCTTCTTGATGTTGTCCGTCATCTTTTTGCGTTTGTTCTTTCTGACGTGGACTAGGGCTGTCTTCCTGACTGGGGACATCTACGGCTACAACTCTAGTAGCCCACCACTGGTTCGTCGTAACGACCCCTCCCTAGGAATAAAGATGTGAAAGTGAAGTAGTTCATGGACGAATTGGAATGGATGTATCCGCTGTCGTATCGGTATCATGGACACAGTTACAAATAATACCAATGAAGGGAGCCAATTAAGTATTTTATCCTAGAAATTCGACCCTACTCTGCGATTTCTGTAAAGAAAAGGCTTCGTGGAATGAATTCTATTGGACAAAGGGCCGTCCACCCGGTGGAGTTTTATAGTAGGCGCTGGTACATACTCTCAGACAACCCAACATAGCACTGCGAATACCTCTCGAGGACAGACCGTGACTACTCCGGGTGTTACCGAATCCTCCCATATATGGTGAATTTTGGATCCACCGAGCGGGGTTGCAACAATTCACTGGATTTAAGATCGTTGAGAATCTGCGCTATCAAATCTCGTACCGAATGTGTTTATCCCATGATCCCAGCCCAAAAAAGGATGGCGGACACCACACAGACAAAGACATTTAGTCAAAACACATAGATAGCCTTATGTTCGACCAGCAACCATCAGAACCAACGATACTTGCAGACCGAGAGCTAACGACCACTAGCGAGCACGTGCTCATCATCATCCTGCATTTGATTGGCCGGCAGCGTCGCACCAGGCAATCAATGCATCATCCTATTTGCTACGTTACTTACTATGTATAAAGCGATCTATTCAGATTCATCATCTGCTCCGTTCTCTTGCTGCTCCCTCCTGTCCTCCGCCTGCATATCTGCACAAGCGCCCACGCCCATCGCCGAGAAGATGAGAGCGGGATGAAAAGTGACCGACGGTTTTCCTCCAAAGAATGAAAAATTTATCAACCTCCTCTCATCAACGAACCGCTCGACCGCTCGTCGAACGATCATACGGATGTATATTGTCATTTATTGTTTCACTTGCTTCTAAAAAATTATCTCTGCTCTCGTACGTCTTACGACTACGTCAGAGGTGACACAAGGACACGCCTGGGGTATTCATTGTAGCTACCCGATTACAGGGGTGGCGCCAGCCTGTACTCAAACGACAGGCGTCGAACAGCAACAGGTGCCAACGATGTGTCGACCTCGACGAACAGGCGCCGGCCGCGGCCGCGTGCTGTGCTGCTTGTTCAATAAACTGTGCTGCAGCGCTGCAGCATAGGATAGGCAAAGGACGACAATGTATGTATGGAGTTATCTCGGTGGTAGACCTAAGACAAGCACAACCACAAGCCAGTGTATGTATAATAAGTTTTTCAGTTTGATATTGTCCAATCTATATCTACACAAGAACTACATGCTGAAAAAAGTCACTCATCTTTCTTTGAAATACAAAGTAACATAAAACAATTATACAATTTCAATGAGTAAGTATGCATTTTTTTGTTCAGATGTTGGACTTGAATAGCTGAATATTATCCAGAGATGCGCCATACTATGCAATCGTGCATCTTCTACCTCGATAGATTATTAATATGTATCATGCTTCCATCTGCATTATCTTACTTTCCATAGACAACTACTACGAGTCATGCTAACCCGTTTACTGAGTGCCTCGAGTGATGTTGTCTGCAGACCATTTTGTATGAATGCTCCCTCCACTTATTCAGAGTGTCGATCGGGGAATGCCGTCCCGCATTTTCCTTCTTACCTCGGAGCGACGGTCTCTCATCTTCGTCCTCAGTCTGCATTGCGATTTGCTCTTGATGAGCTGAGCGAGAATCGATGAAATCGATACGATAGCACACGTACACCGGGACAGCAGAAAGATCAAGCTTCGTAATATGTTACAACACGGCGTCCAGCTAAAAAATAGACAAAGGACTTCACCTGCAAAAATCGATCTCCGTTAATGCATGTAAGTGACGGGGGAGGGTTATCAGAAATCGGGTAGAACTCCATCACGATGGGTGGCATCGACGGCACCGACTGCTGGGTGGGTAGGCTCCACTGGCCGTGGCCGGACTCGCACCACGAATCTTAAATCATATCGACAGAAGATGACGTCACTCGGATCTCCCTCTCAAAAATCAGACTTTTCAAAGCCAAACACCAAGTGAAACGCATATAATCAGTACAACTCCACATGCATCCGCGAAGTTTCAGTTCAACGTCGCGACATTCTTGTTTATAACATTTTCAAAGTTTCTAATTGCGTTTCGCAATCTCGAAAAGGTGGCACATGTCTTGTTCAATGTCATCTCTTCTGGATACAATGCCTCAGCTGTACGGAAAGCGGATTCCGTCCATGATTCACGTGTTGATGTGCTGATACGAGTCACCTCTTTAAACTCCCTACATCGGTCCACCTGGAGATGAATAGAGTTCTTCTTGTCTGCGACGGCGAGACTCGGCTACCGGATCCTCCGCTTGTATTTCCGCCATTTGGTGCTGACTTGACAAAATGAAAGCCACCGGGAAAATGAAGAAGACAAAACAAAAAGAGGCTGCCATCGCATTGTAGAACCCCTCATACCAAATGCCGCTGTCGTCCGTGGCGTTCTCTGTCCAAGACAGGAGAATAGCTTCCTTGGAGTCCGTGCTTACGGGATACAAACTGGTGGCCACATCAAGCGCTTTGCGGTAAAACCTGAAAATTGTTGTATGGTGGATGTGAAACAAGAAGAGTATCCACAACGACAATGGTATCATCGGAATCTATAAGTTTCCTCAGAGCAGCCCCAGTCAGATGATTTCTGAGTCTTCGTTATAATGGCCGAACAAGTGACTGCGGGGGAGAGAGAGAATGCCTTCATGAGCAGCTCTGTAATTCCAACATGCAGGTATATATGCTAGTAGTATTGGGCGAGCGCGAGTGCGAGAACATTCAAACGTATGAAGCTAGAAGTACTTTTCAGGTGAGTTCATCGGCAGTAGCTCCATTATTTCCGCACTATAATCGTGTATCACGACACCTCCACGGGCAGTCGAACTACTCACGTCTCCGCACTGGAACTTATACCTTTCTTCGGGAAGCTTTCTACTTTCTTTCTTGGATGAGCATGGTTTGAAGATTCGAACTCTGCATAGCATGGATTTGGGAAATTGAGGTAGAAGAGGTACAATTACATTACTTCGATCTTCTTAGTTTATCAAAATACCTGTATTCGCAACAGTCGATGCCGACGGCCCAGAACTGCACTGGCGGCTGTGAACTTGGGGGAGTCCCCTTTTTTATTATGGGCGCTACGCAGTAGGTCGTACCCCCACTTTTCAGGCCAACGACCATAGAAAGATCCGGGCCGACATCCGTCTCAAATGTTATTCCTGCGGCATCGTGGAGACCGCTTGCGGGATGATCGGCATGTATTTTCACATACTGCATTCGGTCCAAAAAAGCCTGATAGCTGTAAAAATAGCCCTGCGTGAGAATCAGGCCACATATTAGAAGAGAAGACCAGAGAGAAGGCAGGCGAACAGTAGAGAACGACGTACAATGCTCATTCTTGGATCGAGGAATCTTTGTTATTCACCAGGTTCAAGATGACTGAATCTGAAACGTCCATATAGAACTGAATCTGAAATGAGTTGCAGTTCGCATGAGCTGGCTATTAATAAGTGTAGTTCGTCTGACTTTACCGGTCTCCAAGAAACAAACCACAGCTTGAGCTTGATCTTCAGAATGACTTACTTTACTACGGTAGTAGAGGTACTTATCAATAACAGATGAAAGTCAACTACATACAACTCATATAATGCAGCTCCCGAAGACCGTAGCCGGAAGACACAGGATACTCAGGTGGGAAAGCCGTGGTCGTGATTCCATGTCAGTCATATTGCTTACTGCAACCTGCAAATTCACGACAATGATCCCGGAGGCCACGAAGAGCGTCGTGAGAAACCTGGAAGTTGTAGTTGTGGTGTTGGAGAAAATAGGACGCCGCTTTGAAAGACGAGAGAAAAGATGAACAAAAAAGAGAGACTATCCTTTTCATGTAGGAACATCAAGACTGCGCGACTCTTTCCTTGACGACCTGTTACAGCTACATCATCTTGAGCAGTATAGTTTCACCAGCGTGTTGACCTCCGAAGCTCGACATGTCGAAAAATCAAGGATGTTCTTTGAGATTACGATTACCCCCATGTGTATGTTGCGTGGATCCACAGCAGAAGCATCGCGATGAAGACGACTAATGGCACGAGTTGGTATTCCGCATATCTTCCGGGTATGTAGGAGGCCGTCCTCTTCGATTGCTCTTCTCCGTAGTGCTCTCTGCCACTTTCTGTGAAGCCGAAAGCCTTCGCTTTTGCAAGCAGTGACCGCTCGATGCCTCCCGCTGACGCTCCACACTGGAACTGGTACTCCGGAGGCGGTGGACCCGGCTTTGCGCCCCGTCCTGACGATGGCTGCGTCGGGGGCGGCGCGCTTGGTGGCGACGGATTGGTGCCCATCTTTCTTTCACTTCTCCATCACTACTTCTGTGCGTAACATTATAGGGTCTCGTGCTTTTTGGCTGTGACGGGTTTGCAGAAACAAACAGTTTTAGTCTGCACCGCTCGCCTCCTAGGTTTCATCATGTTAATCCAATAGTGCGGCCTTTCCTGTAGCAGCTTCTTCGCGCTCCCTTTTCGTTTTCTCAAGTTTTTCCGGTTTTCGCAATAACTAATTTGTAAAAGTAATAGTGCGAAATAGACAGTCGAATCGTGAACAACATGACTCCGTCGTCGCTAATGCTAATGTTGACAACCGCAACTCAATTTTTAGAGGCTTCCTTCGCCTCCGGATTTCGTGGTTGAAAATCTCTGGCAATCTGATGCTCAAGCGGCGAACCAAGAACGCGCCGATGCCTATTTCACTCGGCCACAGCTCCACTTCCGTGGACAAAGAGCCGTTTTATCTACATCAGAAGCATTGCGCAGCTTCACGAGCCAACATTCGTTCTACTGCTTCTTGAAACTTTTGTGTCCTTTCTGCGTTCCTCTTGAACTTTATCCCCATAATATGATCTACATAATCCAAAAAGTGTGTTTTTTCTTCGTGGTTAAAACAAGAAAGTACTAAACTACTTGTACCTGGAGGCACAACTTCTGGACTATAATATTGATGTCCAACATCCAAAGTGTCGATCATCTTTTCCTTTTCGACTTTTTTCCGCCTGTCCTTACCAAACGCATAGGGAAGATCTACAAAGTCCACTCCCGGGATATGCACCACATAGCGTTTTTTCCAAGACAGCAGTGCGGAGTTTGGAAAAGCTGCGCGGCCTGCGTCGATCAACGAAAACGCAGCAGCCAGGGATCGGCAGGCGACATGAAGAACAAATGGCTCGAACCTGGCCCATATGACTCTGTTTTTCTCATCAGGAGCAAACCCAGCTCCTGCTGCATCTTCTACAGAACTTTGTCCTAAATACTTTTGTGGGTTCCAATCCGAATAGTCATGACAAATGTGGAACCGCCAGTCCTTACTCCATAGGTCATGGCGTTTGTCCTCGTCCAACTCCTGCCGCTGCGTTCCATTCATCGTCCTCGGGTACTCTTTGTGTTTGTCTTTTCGAGTCTGATCAACTTGATCTTCGTCGTTATCGTGAACACTTGTCGCATGGTCAAGCTCGTTTTTAGTCTTCTTCTGTTTCTGAGCTCGTGCAGTCCAGCTTTTTTTTGGAAAGAGTTGAGGCCACCCTGATGAAAACGAGGCACCTCGTGCGTCATCTTGCTGCTTCACCACTTTGTCGCCGTCGTGGTTGTCTCCTACTTCTATTCCTGCACCAGCCCACCACAGGTATGCTCTGCCGCTACAAGAGCTCAGTGTGTAGTAGTCTGGAGAATCATTCAGCAATGTCGTAAGCGGGATGATAGCGTCGTCCCACGAGTGCTTGCCGGATTTGTCAGATTTGCACAATATGACACTTTTTTCACCTGCAAAAGTTCGAAAAATCTCATCCGGGCTTCGCGAATTTGGTGGAATTACGTTGGAGCCTGTAGAGGATAATGAAGATAGAGACGCGCCGGCACTTGGAAATGTTCTTGCAGATTCTCGCCTCTGGTCTTCTTGGACATTGGCATCTCGTCCTTCTTGTTGAGCAGTTACATGTTGCCTCGCTTTTGCTGCTACTCCAGCAGGAACGCGCGCAGGAGCAGCGTTGGTATAGAAATGTTTTTGTTGGCCCCTTCTAACAAACGACGGACGCTTGTCCCCTTGGTGATGCCATATGCCCTGCACGGAGAGACCACGCAAGGTCTTCGAAGTATTGCGGCACCACATCGTGAAGAACCATAAAACTTCTGTACTTTGAGTTCGGTCACTCAACAACGACTGCAAGCTCAAGCTGCCTTAAATCACTTCCTTCTCTACTGCCCTACTTCGGTCTCGTCCCTGTCCCTCTTTCAACTTACTTATCATCCAGCACGCTTCGCTCAAATCACTGAATCATCATGGTAATGTTGGTTATCCAAAAAGTAGAAGTGTCACCTCAATGTCAATGTTCTCATGTTGATCTTCTTTGAAGTTACCTGGTAATTTTTTGAAAACCTGACTTTTGAACTGTTCAATGATACTCAGGCATATCGTTCTTTTCGGGTGCAGTAAAATCCGTCGGCTCCCGCGCACAAACTGAGGCTCCCAGTGGTGGTCTTGCAAGCATTTGATATCTTCATCTTATGTCATCACAAAACTAAGTACAGATTCGGTCTCAACGAAGGCGCAGATATAATCTTCCCCGAAAAGTCTATATTGTTGAAGGACGAAGAGCACGCGTGTACATCAATTCTCAGGCTCTTGATTTTGATGAGTGAGTGAGCTTCACGACATCTACGTCTGGTAACGGAATCCCGTATTTCGTCTTGTGGTAAGTACGTAAATTTTGTTACAGTCATTCTTCATCATGTAGCTCTTCTATATCCGACAAAACATTCTATACAAAGACCCCCTCATCTTCATCATATGTATTTCCATCGTGCACGAGCAGCTATGCTTCTCATATTCAGTATGTAGACGACGGAAAATGATATTTCACGATTATTTCTTTTACATTTGTAAGTGTTATCGAAGTTGTAATTGATTCGTCCAAACTATAAGTCGTAAACAGAAATAGCTCTTCTTCAACGTACCGCACTTTTATACAGGAGGGACTTGGTGTTCATTTCTAGATTATTGATGCTGATCATATGGCAGTGCCGTCAAAGCTACCACTTTCTGTGATTAGTTGTAAGTAAGAGAATTGTTCTTATGTATGACTTTCTCACTGCGTTACTGCGTGTACAGGTGCGACGAAGCGTGTTTCTTATCTATCTTATCGTGATGAAGATGATGATCTAGTACAACTATCTTAATAAATTCTTGTTTTGCGGTGGAAGACGAACAAGAGTTCTAACGAAGAACGATGGAAAAGAATGAAGATGTTGTCTGTCTTCAAAAGTTCTATCTGAAAGTGCAAGCACGCGGTATTCAATCTTTAGAACATTTTTATGTTATGAGATGTAACATTTTTGAAGAACAAGATTTTGCATGCGTGCTACAGAATGTTATATGAGAATTGAATGCTGCTGGTCTATTCTTATCAATCTATTTTTTCTACATCCAACATCGAGAAAAAAATGTTTTTACTTGATTATTGAACCAGTTTCAAATTTTCTACACTTTAATTATGAACTTTTCTAGCATGTTGCATCAAAAAGTCGTGCAGCTTTCCTTCTTGGAAAAACATCATTGTATGATTCAACTGGTACTGGATGCAGATGAAGCGTTCCTAGTCTCATCGCAAATCCACCCCAAGCTTTTTGCTGATGAAGTGATGCAGCGGCTCCCAACCCCCGCCGACGCGAACAAGAGTATTCTTTCCGCGATTTCTCACTTGGACAATGGGGTCCAGTTCATTTTCCCTCACTCCAAAGCGGTACAGCCCCTTATCGACTTTGCGCACGAAGAACTGCGCCTCGCCCTTTTGCTGGACACGCTCAAGATATGCGTGGATCACACGATCGATAGCGTCTGACAAATCTGGCACGAAACCTCCAGCACTGGCTTGTGAAGACCTGTTACCGCACCCGCTAGCATTCTTATTGAGCCCATCTTCATCGTCATCGGACCCTTTTTCATCTGCATCATCAAGACCAAGGTCAGAAATAAGCTCTTTTTCCTTGTCCGCTGCACCTTGACGTTGCTCGAGAAACTCTTTCAGCTGCTCTTGCTGCTGTAAAGTCAGCGGTACACCTGAGACGATATTTGATTCGCGGATGATCTTGAAACAAGCAAGCTAAAGAGTGAGAACATCTAACGAGTAAAAGTCGTGTTCAGGTTCCTTCCTACTGCTGCAAATTTTCTGATGGAAAACATCAGAAGCAGACCCGCTTCCTAGCCGGTAAAAAGATGTAGATGATCATTACCGTTTTGCCACATGTTCCAGAGATATCCTGCGGCTTCCGGAGTGAGCGGATTCGCCGCTGCACTCGACATCCTGCGAGACGGTGAAATACCCGCTGAAAAAATCCTACTTCCGTTTCGAGACAGGAGATGAGTGCTTTGTTGTGCAGTCTCCTGTTGTGGAAGGGGACCTGTTGGTGTCGTAGACGACTCAAGTCTTGGTTGGCTGCTTGAGCGCGGACGCGCAACTGCTTCTTGTCCTACAATAGCAGTTTCCGTTTCATCTTCACCCTCCACGACAGCCGGAAGTTGGCTCGAGACGCGCTCTCTTTTCCGCAGTGGAAGGCCGGTTTGGGACTTCAAAAGTGAAGATGGCGGGCCGCGAATGCCATTCGTTCCAAGTCCACAGGTGCTGGTCATTGTCTGGATATTCGTCGAAATCAAACTAGGATTGATGGTGGAGCTGGAGTTATTGGTCGTTTCAGTTTTTGCAACTTCTTGCTCTCCGAACGTAGTGCTAGCACGAGCAGTTCCGCTTTTCAAGTCTTCGATTTTTGTTTTGAATTCGATGTTCATGCTGCGCAGCTCGCGACTGTATTGTCCAAAGAAGCTGCCGGGTGTCATAGAAGCGAGATCGACGCCGCGAGGAGCGCCGCTGTCAGTCTCCACGCGACTTTGCCCTCCGATGTCGTCTCGCTGATCCAGATTTCCAGCGCTTGTCGTCTTCTCCTCGTCGCTGCCCTCGACTTGACGCGGTCCTACAACTACTTGCTTCGCAGTGTGATGTTCCTCTCTCGTGTTCTCAGCCTGCTCTTCATCTGGAATGCTCTCGGTCCCGTCATCGGCAGCATCGTTCTCGCCTTTAGTACTTCCATCTACAGGCGCGCTCTCTGCCTCGCTGCCAACGAAAACCCCGGCACCTGCTACCGTTGTTAAGGCAGAACTACGTTTGTAGAACATCTTCGCTTTACATCCAGCTGTATTTGTCAAAATCTGCGTCGATCCAGCAATTTGCTGCAAGCCCCGCGGTGTTGGTCCTCCGAGAGACACGCGTCGCATTATCGGCATTCCAACACCATTGAGAAGACCTCCTTTTTCCGCACCAGGAAGTGGCGAACTGGTTCTCGTTGTCAGAGGACTCTTGGTCTTCGCTTTTCCGTTTGTTGCTGAACCTACTAGTAGTGCAACGCTATTTCCTGTTTTCGCTTTTGAAGGCATCTCCTGTGGATTCAATGCAAATGGCGGCATCGAAGTCGAACTTCCCAGACTAAGACGCGACGCGAAGGGCGACCGATGCGATGGCACAGAACCAGAGGCGGTACCACGACGCGTTCCAAGAAATGCGGATACCGGACGTGAAGCTGTATTCGAGGACAAAGACGGCTTTGCTATGACTTTGCCAGCCGCAGCAGGGCCCATCAAGTGAGAAGTTTGACTCTGAGCGGAATGTGCCAGAGAAGTAGGCATAGCCATCAGAAGATTCGGCCTGCTGGAGGCTAGAGAAACGCAATTCAAGAAATAGCTAGACTTCACAGCACCTGTGTCTTCGCTAGCTTGTTCTTGAAGCTGTCCTAGATCAGCTGATTTATCTGAAGAGCCAACAACAGCTCGAGAGCCTGATTGTCCTTCTTTTTGTTCGGCGCCGTCCTGCTGCTTTTCATCTCCTTGGGCCACTATTTCTGGATCCGATGGCTTCCCTTGAGGGAGCAGCGCGGCTGCAGTGTTACTTTGACTTTCCGATTGTTGTTGTTGCGCTATAAGTCGCGTCAGAGAAGCTGTCGCGGGTGTCGGTGATGTGCCCCCTGTCGTAGACGTCCTCGTGGGAGATAACCCGGATCGCCTCCTGCGTCCTTTCATCAGGTTTCGCAGCTCCTCGGTGCCAGAACTTCGGCTTACATTTGGACTCATCGCAAAGCCTCGACCGGGACTCCCGGCTCCACCGGGTGATACGCTTCCTCGCGGACGCGCCGGCACAGGTCCCTGTTTAGTAATGTAGTGGTATGGGGACGCTCCACCACCACCTGTGGTTGCAGAAATGAGAGTTGCTGCAGTTCCTCCACTAAGGCGAGACTGCTGCTTTTCTTTTTGTTCTTGGGCCTTCTTCTGTTGTTCCTCTTCTTCCTTGAGTCGCGCAGCCTCAGCAGCCGCGGCGGCACCTTGAGCATGCACTTCCTCCGAGACGCCATCGTCGAAAAGGCTATCGGTGACGCTGAGGCGTTTCGGAGAGGGAGAGCTACCTGCTCTGACACTGCCACGTCGCGATGCGGATTTTCTGCCGACCGCAGTCTGTTCTATAGCCGCCTTTGAACCATCCCCGGAGTCGCCTCGAGGAGAGAGCTGCCCGCGGTGATCAGCCTGTGCGCCTTGATGCTTCGCGGCCCATGATTTTGCATGCAACACCCGCTGAGCTACCCCTGCGACGCCAACGCTCAAGGACCGCGCATTAGGCGTTGGACCAATGGGCGTAAAAGCATCATGTTCTGGTTCTCCGATGGCATTCTTGCCAGCATTTGCATTAACTGCGGCACTCGGTGCAAGAGGAGGTGAGCTACTCCGGTTTGGCTTCGCAATGCAGCCCGACAGGCTCTTCCTTTTGCTAAGCAAAACATATGGCTTCACCTCGGTGACATCCGAAGACGCTCCTTTGTCCTTCAAGAGTGACAGCGTTGTCGTATGATCGTCAGCACTGTTCGCAACAGAGCCTGCTTTCGGCGAACTTTTAGTCTTGGGAGAACTGTGACTGTGATCATCCTTATCCTCTCCAACTTCGGTGCAGTCAATCATTTGCGAAGATTGATGCTCATCTTCACCACGTGCTGCTGACCCACTACGGCTTACGACGCTTGGAACCATGACAATGTTGTTCAGCATGACGGCCGGCGACGAAGATTTTCGTGTTGAGCCTCCCTTTAGGAGAGCATCGGTACTCTCGAGGACGTCAGCGGCCGACGGAAGGTGGACACTCGGGGAGCGAGATCCACATCCGATTGAGGGTGAAGCGGTGCGCGCGGTGATCAGCACAGTGGGATCGCGAGCGCTGGACGTCAAGACGTTGTTCTTTGTGGAGGTCGTGCCGATTGGTCTCTTTGTCGCAACGCTGTCCTCGTCATCCTCAGGCGTGCGCGCACTGCTGTGCGACAGTGAGCCAACACGCGAAGGACTGCGAAGCGTTGGACTCGTCATCAGATCCTCTTCTACACTTCCACCTATCCCTGCGGGTTGCTTCGACGCCAGCAGCACCTCCTCGACGACAGGAGCAGCGATACTAGCGATAGATCTAAAGTGCAACTTGCCACCAGCGAGAACGCATTCTTTGGGACCAGCACCCGGAGGTGTTTGGCCGGCCATTTTCTGCGCTGAGACCGGATTCACACGAAAGCTTGGTCCACCTGCGCTACCAAGTTCTCCAACTGGTGCCAGATTCAACAATGGTATAGTTGGTGATCGAGTACATGTGACCGCCGTACCGTGAGGGGAAGCGCCGATTGGACCACCAGAAACTGTACCGCAGACAGGCAAGGTGGACGTTGCAGAGGCTGCTAGCTGTGACTGTGAGTTTGTACTTGTAGTGGCTAATGATTTTTGATTTTGTTGAAGCTTCATGTTCATCTTGTTCAGTACAACAGAGGTCGTGGCGGATGTGGAAGGTGACACAACCGCGGCAGATGAAGTAGTTTTTGCGGTCATTGGATTGGCGCTTTCGTCTGCTTTCTGGTGCTTTACTGCAGCTGCCGTTTGTGTTGTTGTGTTCGCACCGACGGTAGTTTCTGCTGCTGAGGCGCTAGCAATGCGCTTCGGGCTTGAAAGAATCGTCGACGCTCGCGCGTTCTGCGGCGAAACAGAGCGACTGCGCTGCGGCGCAACGCCGAGACGCGAAGTGAAGCCATTGGGTGCACCAAGAATGTGTTTAGCATTCGAGGAGACTCCAGCTCCTCCTCGAAAAGCAGAAGATGTGACCAAATTCGGGCGTGGCTTAGACAGCGACAGACGCTGCTGGGACGAACTTTGCTGAGAAGTTGCTGGAGGTTTCCCGCGATCGGTTGAGCCTGTGTTTGCAAACCAGGAGCCAGATGCTGGAGCGGCTAAGCCGTGCTGCCCTCGTGTGGGAGTAGTGTTATTGTTACCCAGAATTGTCGATGCAGTGGAACCTGGTCTCGTCCACGCGAGTGCCGGCGTAGTTGTAGAAGATGTCACCGGTCCGCCCATTAACATCGAAGGCGTAGTCAGTAGGTTCGCGCCAACAACGTAAGATGAAGATGACGAACCACTTTTCGCGGTCGCGTCGCTCTGACCAGTCAACTCCGCACCGGAAGTAATGCAGTCTGGAGACGCAGTCCCACTCCCGATGTAAAAGTGGGTCGCCCCTCTATTCTCACCAAGAAGGTTCTTGATTCTTGTCGACCCGATCATAGAAATTGATGTTGAGCAGCTAGTTGTGGATGTAGGAGCTACGACACCAGAACCGTCAGCGCCGCCCCTAGCAGCCATCAATGCTCCTCCATACATCTCCTCTACGGAGTGTTGTTCGCGGTCACCCAATAATGTTCCAAATGTCGACTCAGGAACTTGGACGCTACTCTGCTCATTTTGACGACGTCTGCCTACTTGCTTTCGATCAGAAGTAGTTGCGTCTTTATTTGAGACTTCATGACTTTCCTCATTGTTAGAGGAGTCGTCGATTGAGCTTGACGCTTTCAGGTAACAGCGATTGCCCTCATTGAGTCTTGCAGCGTCGTCTGTTAGCCGTTCCCCCGTCCAGCACGCGTTGGTCTGCCGGACGCGATTTTCGTTATCGCAAAACGGAAGCTTGCGCTTGGTAGTACAAGACGGAGATGCGACAGTAGCACTCTGCAGGACCAAATGAGCCTCTTCGTCAGTTCCCGGCTCGACTGGTTGCGCATGTGTACGTGGTAACTGGTTTTGGAGCTGTCCGGGTCGTTGGAGAGACTGGCTGCTCGCCTTTCCCGCTTTCGCTGAAGATGTGGCGCTACTAGAAGACGAAGTTTGGTTTTTGAGCTTGCCGGGCGAGCTTACTCTGCTCCTGGCCTTGACTCCTGCAGCTCCTTGTTGCGATGTTCTACTACCAGTCGGGGGACCAGTGCGTGGCCCTGCAGTCCCCATTGAAGACGAAGGGATCGCTGCTGGCGCACCTCCTTCCTGTTCCGTTTCCCGCTTCGCGCTTTTCATGACAGAAGAATCTTCTAAGCCAAATTGCTCCCGCATCATTGAGGTAGTGCTACTTGTTGCATCTACCTCTGCTGCTTCGCCGTTGGTAACCTCCTGACGATCTCCATGCTCAACAGATGAAGATGAGGTAGCGACGTTCCCCTGTTGACAACTCGCGAATGAAGGTGAGACTGCACTAGCGCTTTTCGTTTGTGACATCCTAGATGGGTTCCTCAGCTGTTGTCTTCTACCCGGACCAGTCGACACAGATTCAGAAGCTCTTGATCGCCGTGCGACAGATACTGCGGATGACGAAGCATTTGGATCTTCCATGGCGTCCGTCCTCGGAGACAAGTCAACCGCTCGCCCAGCACGTTGAGTAGGAGTAGACCACTGGAGTGCACCACCGCTAGGCGACGTCTTAGTAACAGGTGTATTTCTAGTTCCCGCCGAGGGCGAAGGCGAGCGAGATACGCTACGCGAACAACTTCCAACCTTGCTGCCTCGTTGGTCTTTTCCAGTGGTCTCATTGCTATCTCTCCTTTCGCGGGCACTGTTGTGCTCCACGATAGGCGACAGTGGTGCTTGTACTATTTTCTCGGAAATTGAAGGCACAACAGGTATCGTAGGGGCCATCTTTCCATTGGCGCCATCTTTCTGTTTGTCGTTATCACCAGCGTTTTTTGTGCGGTGGGTGTCCTTTTTGGTGTCTGGCATTGTCATTGAAGCATCCTCTGAGCTGACTAGTGAGCGTTGTGGAGTTCCCTGCTGTGATCCCGCGCGCTTGTTTCCTAATAGTGGTTTGTAGTTGTCAAGGAGCCCGCCGAGGCGCTTCTGGGAGCGCTGTAGGCCGCGCTTTTCCTTGATGTGATGCAGCGGCGATGCGGCAGGTGCGCTGCTGCGTGGCGACTTCTGCCACAGTCGAGGCGACGTCGAGGGTGCTGAAGCGCGTGACGATGGCGTGGTAGGCAACGGCTCACGTAGAGACTTGTTGTGGTTATTTTTCGCTCCTCCAAAGTTGATGTCGTTGCGACTCGTTCTTGCCTTACCAGATGGTCCGGATCCTCGCGTAGACACAGGGGTCAAGCTAGATGATGTCGAAGTCCGCGCTGTGCTAGATGGAACTGCTTCACCACTTTTTCTGGCACGCGGCTTTGTTGCGCTTCTGGCAGTGGTCGTAGAAGATACTGAACCATATCCTAGCCGCCATGTTTCCCGCTCGCTATTCCTTGTTACCGACCTAGTTGCATTTTCGTTTTCCGGCAACGTCGTCGACGTGGCATCCTCAGCGCCATCAACCTGCTGGTGTGGCGGGCCGCCGACTCGTGCTACGGTGGCCGGCCTGCTAGTATTCGAAGAGCGACCAACACGTGGTGAGGTGTCAAAAGTGGTGGAGAGACGCGGTGATCTCGAGGCAGCTCGCACACGCTTCGCGTGTGCATCCGCACCGACCACATCGCTCCAATGGGACGCCGAAGCACGAACTTTGGTTGTGCTGCCACGTTTTTTGCTTGCTGTCGACATTTTCGAGGCTGATGTTTGGACCCCACCTGCTGGAGTAGAAACAGCTCCTCGTTCCCTAGGATTGACATCATTTGTCGTTTTAGCACCAGCACGACCATCAATCGGAGAATCATCGTTAGCAAGTCCTAAATCAGCAAGAGTTTGGTCATGCGCAGCAACGGGCTTAACAGCACGACCTTCGCAGCTCCCCTCGTCGCCGTTGTTCGCCTCTAATTCCATGGTCTCGACACAAGCAACAGCACCTTTTTCAACAACGTCGTGGTCAACCTCACAACCATCTTGTCCTCCACCATCAAGATCAACATCGGGAGCTTGATAGTTTTCGTTTTCCTCGACAACGTCATCATTATGTTGTACATTATTTTCAATATGAAGATCTTGGTCCTCTTTATCTACTCCAGCATTCTCCTCTGCTGGAATCGGTTCCGGTTCCGGTACTGGATTATCCATACGCGCAAGCTCGTCAGCAATAGGCTCGAGAGCTTGCTTCTCCGATTTGCTTCTCTTTTCGAGGCTGTTGTCGCTCTTATTAGGAAGTTCAAGTTCCAATTCAAGATCATGCTTCGCGTCTTCCTCTTGTCCGACAAGCGCGACAACCGGAGGCTTAGTCGCATTGCACTTGTTGTCGCTATCAGCAGACCAGAACGATGAAGACGTTGGGTGAGAACGAAAAATCGTTTCTTCTATTCTAGTGCCAGTATCCTCCGCGTCTGCAAGTTTGTAGGGCGAAAATGCACCCTCATCACTCGCGTCTTGCGCCTGCTCTGTCTTGTTTTTACATTCGGTTGTGCATTCTGCTCCTTGTTCTCTGCCCACGTCAACTACAGTCGTTGTACTAGAAGATTGATGAGATTCAGCGGAAGGCTCGACTTCGTCAGCAATCTCAGCAACGCCGAGACTTCCAATATCTTCGTCGTCTCTAATATCGCCTTCGCTCACCTGCATATCAACAAGTTGATCTATCAGTTCTGCTCGACTTTTTTTTGTCATGTGCGGCTCTGTCGGATCGGCTTCGTCCTCCACCGCAAACAATGGAACATTTGTAATGTCCTCCAACGAATCGTCAGCACTGGGCGCAGGCTCCTCGTTTGCAGTACTATCTGCAGCTGCGCCGTCTTCTGAGACAGCTACTTCACTCGAGCTTGAAGACTTCTTACCAGAAGCATTACCGTCAGCTTTTTTCTCTTCCGAATCCTGACGGTGCTCGCCCTCAAAGGGTGGCTCCTCGAATGAGTGTCCTAAACTAGCATTCGTCCCATCGATTTCCACATCGTGTTTCGCTGTCCGTAAGTGCGTCGCGCGCAACAAACGCCCAGTGCGCCCATTGCTCGATCTACCGCTTGTCGGCTCAACAGGCGAAGCACACGTTTCGTCCAAGGAATTGGAGGAGTCAGCATAGGGAAGCGGGAATATGCCACGACTAGAGTTGATCATTGACGTCGTTGAAGATCTACTAGTACTTGAAGATGTTCTTGCTCTTGCCTCTACTGAGTCAACACTTGTTGCGTCTTCACCTTCTGCTGAATGAAGACCTCCACGAGAAGGAAAATACTTCGCCGGGCTTGTTGCTTTGGCAACCCATGCGGGTTTCGGCCTTGATGGACTGCTTTTTGGACTACTGTGGTAGCGCCCAGATGTGGTAGACAAAACTTTTGTAGTCGTATCCCGAAAGCTGTCAGGTGCGGTAGTTTGCTTAGAGGTAGGTTTTTGGTGCTCGCTTGCCCCGCTTGTTATGCCTTTCTCCCTTAGGAGAGGCATAAAAAGCGGTAAGAAAAGCACCTTTAACCTACCCTTAATTTGCTTACCCCCCGAATTCTGTGTCACAGTGGAGGAAACAGCACTGGACGAAGAACCAATGGCGCTTCTGGCTGAGGAAGCACAGCTGGTAGTCGCACTGTCGTCAAACTCAACTAACGACTTCTTGATGTGCTTACGAGAGCCATTACTGTCGTCCTCGGAAGACCCTCCAGGAACTGCAACTTGCAATGGGGACGAAAGGTCTTCAAGCAAGCCAAGCGCACGAAGCTCTTCTCGCTCATTTTCAACGGAAGGTCGTACAACGTCAGCAAACACGTCTTGCACTGACGAACTGGTGCTTGCTGCGATTAGAATAGCCTTAGCCACCGGAAGAAACCCATCTCTTAGAACATCAAATTCAGTATTGGTTTAAGTAACTGTAACAGTACCCCAACTTAGGAACGAAGCTACCAAACGAAATGAAAGCTGTTCTATCTAAGAAATGGGCTCACAGTGCCCGTAATGCAAGAGACAGTGGCGGTTGTCGTTCTGCAGCCAGCGCTGGATGAAGATTTTCATCTGTGTGCTCGACCCACTGCGTTCTGCTTGGCCGCGCCTCGGCCGCAGCCAGGCCCTGCGCCTCCTTGTTTGGCAACTCCGAATCTGTCCAGCTACTCCTGGTCATTTTCCGCAAGTGCAAGATTTGACTTCTTATGAATCATTCATGAAGACCAAAACATAGATGATGCTGAGCGTTGCGTTACATGTAATTCAAAAATTTCTTCTTGGTTACATAGACAGGGAGCAACATAGATCCTTAACCTCCATTTCCTCTCTGTTCATGTTTTTCCAACCTAGGAAACTTGTTGTAAGAAAGAAGTTTGTCAATATAGACAGGAGCCTCGTCCTTTCAACAGTGAAGATTGCATGTACTGTTTGCCTAATCATAACATGCCCGATGAAGAGTCACTAGAACTAGTACAAGAACAACCATGATTTTTACAAACTATTTGTTTCGAAAACTTGTTTCAGTCATGATAGCCGCAGTCATAGTGTCAGAATGGTGAGTATGGGTGAGCAGCAAGTGCTAGAAAGAGCATAAGTAAGTTGCATGCAGCTTCAAGATCAAGGTAGCGTTTCAGACCGATAACTGGACCGAGGCGATCTCAGTATCACAAGAGCTACAGATTAGAGACTTTCGCTTTCACCAATGATAGTTACTTTCCGATCAACGCTTCAAAATTACCGATGGAGATGTCAATCTCAAAGCCGAAGTAAGAACTCTTTCGCATTTAGTACAGAAAGATGCATGTTGTCTTTCTTTGTGTTCTTGTAAGATCAGCAGCTGAAGAGGGTTCACGTTGCAGACAAAGTTCAAGGTGATCTTGGTTGCCTAGGTGTTGTCCTCAACAGGGAAATAAAGCCATGGGTTGTCATCTGCCTCTTATTACTATAAAATATATACAAACGGCCATTGAATATATCTTTTCGGTGGGTGCATCTTCGTTCTAGTGCCTTGAATTCGGACAAATGACCCTCAAACACGTCAAGAAAAGGCAATCTCAGCCGCGTGCGCACTGCCTGCCAAATTGACCGTCTGCTGAAAGTAGCAAGTACGACTCGCGCAGGGAAGATTTCCCGCGGCATCTTCTCTGCGCGGGCTCTTCCTCCCGCGCGATCAACCAGTGCGTCTGAACGCCCAGGCCTTAGTCGCTAGAGTTGGCTGTGGCGTGGCTTCTGATATTGAAGATGCGCAACATGATGTCGGCCCAGCAACAAGAAAATAAGAGAGGCTACGTCGCAGGTGGCACTGACGGAGCAAAATTGCGACCATTTTTTTGTTCCTTTTCGTTCCCACGTGATCTGCCTTGCGATCGAGAGCCATCGAGGAAGGTAAGCTAAGTACTTGTAGAGTACCTCCTTTACGACTTGTTTCAACGGCGACGTTTTTGCTGATATTCCATTCATCAACCTCAACCATTCCTTGGCGGTCGTTTTTTCCAGGAGGAGCTGTGGCAGGATTGCTCCATATCCATCTTGAGCTCGCTCACTTTGCATGGCAGCGGCGCTTCTTGCGTGAAAAAAGGATGACTGTACGCTTCTTCCGAAGTCGTTCTCTTGTTCGTGTCGTAGGCGAGTAGTCCACGCATCAACTGAAAGAGCTCTCGGTAGCGCTCCGCGGGCGTTAATGGTACGGCAGTCCCCATCATCAACATGCGTGACGTTGAACTGCTAGTGCCACTTCTATTAGACCTTTCCTATTAAATTCATCCTATAGCTGCGCATCTTTGACCATCTCTTTCTTCTTGAAAGCTTAGTGGGTACCAAAGATGCTTCTTGTAAGATGATTTTGTGGAAGATGGAGCCTTAACTCTCATGGTAGTCGACATGGAGCTCGCTCCATGATAAGGCCCCGCTGTTATCCTCTTGCCAATAAGGGATCGGGATGCTACAGGCTCGCGTGCTATGCGGTGAGACATGGCCGCCAGCATCTGTTCCTCCAGTCGGTTCGCGCGGTTGGCACTGGCCTCGAATTGGAGGAGTGAAGCCATCTTTGTCGTGTGGTCGTGCGCAAGCGGGTACTTAGCTGGATCATCATACAGCAGTGCTGGCGGACTTCCAAGCCTATTAAAAATCAGCTCTAGCGCCTGCTCCTCGTCCTTCGACGCAAATAATGGCTTCCCAAGTACCAACTCCCCAAGGACACAGCCGGCAGCCCAGGTGTCCACGCCCACGCCGTACCGCGTGCTGCCCAGCAGCAGTTCGGGAGCACGGTACCACAAAGTCACAACACGATTAGTGAAGCGCACGTTCCGCGTCGCAGCTTGCTCCCGCATGAGCTCCTCAGAAATACCCTCCGAAATACTGGCTGAAGTCGGCTGAGATGCGTGAGACATCTCCGTAGCCGGGGCCAACCGAGCGAGCCCGAAGTCAGCAATTTTGAGTTCGCCACTGTTTGATAGGAGCAGATTTGATAACTTGAGGTCCCGGTGTAGTACGTTCTTCCCGTGCAGGTAGACGAGCCCGTCAAACATTTGTTGTGCCAAGCATTTCGCCTCCGCCATGTCCAGCTGGTACCGCTTGTGCCGCAACAAGCCTGACAAATCATGTTCCAAATACTCGAAAACTAGGTAGACGCGCGCGGACAAATCGTCGGGCTGCGGCAGCCCGATGCAGACGTCGTGCAGCCTGACCACGTTGGAATGGGTTAGCTTCTTCAGGACTCGGATCTCGCGCAGAGCTTGGGTCGGGAAGCCTTCTGCGGAAGCGGCGCTTACTAAAATCTCCTTGAGGGCCCGCACAGATTTGCCTGGATCCAGTGCATTCACGTCCTGGTACTTCCACACTCGCCCATAAGTTCCCTCGCCAATGGGCTCGTCACCAAGTGCGCGATACGCGATACATGAAAGGATCATAACTTCTCATGAAGATGAAGTAGAAGCTGCCCACGAACTAAAACCAAGATTTGGCTTTGGGATTCACTAGTCCTTATTCTTGTGCTTGTCGTGGTCGTGCTCGTGGAAGTGAAAGCGGTATAGGAACAAAGCGAAATGGGAATAAAGTTGTAATCTTAAAGTTTTTCATTATGCAGAAGATAGATCTAGAGACAGTTCTAAAAGCATAAGGACACTCGCGTTTCCTTGACGGTATGCAGCCAGTGAGCAAAATGTCCCTGATTTGATATGATCCACGGGTTTGGCCGGGGCTGGGCTGAAACGCTGCTCCCTACCGGATCTGACATGGTTCCTGTTTCTGGAGCTGGACAACAGGAAGTTTTTGTGCGTACCGAAAAACAAGAAAGACGATTAGTGCGAAAGCGCATATATCATCAGCTGCATCAACACAGGACGACGCCGCGTAGAATCGCGAGAGGACATCTTTGTTGATATGAATGAAAATGAAAATAAATCAATCGGTCGCTGGTGTTGGTGAAGGAACTGTCATCAATTTTCGGTATGTGTAGTAAGTGATGCTGATGTTGACATAGACATAAACTATTTTATTATAAAGGAGCCCCGATGGCCGATAATGTAATGCTACTAGATCTACAACGTGCCCTGGTCATGCAGCGCTTACAACGTCGAGGTTTTGATCTTTTTTCATCTGCTCATGCTCATCATCTGGCACTTCCACAACAAGTGCGCTTGCGCATTCGCATCCGTCTCTTCACTACATACAACAATACTTATAAGCAGATTGCTACATGTTGTCCGGTTACTATAATTTGTATTGATGTACTTGTGCTCCATTTCCATATCACCTTCATCTTGTCAACAACTCCGAAGACCACTTCGGCATCGAAGTCAAGGCAACAGATTCTGATTCCGAGTAAAAAGTTCTTTCATATCATTCAGAGCTCTGCACTTCACAACAAACCGTACCCATGTAGGAACAAACATGCGTCACAAACGCTTCAATGCATTCGCTAAAACGAGACACAAGAAGATCAAGCAGTTCACTCTGAAGATGTAGATGGATAGTTTAGTATGGCTGAGGATATCAAAATCAATCTTTCGATCTTGGTGTATGAAAGAATATAAAAGAATCAATGTCATAAGTGTATTTCAAAATACTTAATCAGATACATACATTCATTGACATTCACTTCGAGGGATCCTACTCTCCGTCCAGGTCCAGCATGATAATTACATACAACAACTATGTCCGACTTGGTCGCATGTCTTGCTTGGGGTTGGGAAAAGAAAATTTGAATGTTGAAACAAGGGTTGAAGACATCGATTTCGAGATCCAGCAATAAAGAGTAAGATATGTTGAATCATGTGAAAGGAAGTCAGGAGTAACTCCGACTCGACATGATCTTTCTTAATTTTTAATATCGTCGGAGTCGACGTTTCTGTTTTCCAGCATTCGAGTTTCTGTAAGAGGGTGTATAGATGTTGAAGAGGACTAAACTCGCTACCGGAGTCAAGAATCGGTCACGGACAACGTGAGTATGAGTCATGTTTGTAGTTACTTCTTGCTTTGTTTTGGCTTCTTAGGTTTGATAGCTTTCTCACGATCTTCCCCGTCACTTCTGTTTCCGGTGCCGACGAAGAGTGAGACTTCGGTGAATGAACTGGGCACGGAGTCCGCGACGCTGCCGTGCTCGGGTATAGGTGCTTCTACTCCTCTTTGCAAACCGTCATCAACGAGCACCCCGCGACCGGCGTTTGCGCCTGACGCGGAAAATCGGCCCCCGTTCCCTGTGCCTGCTGTCTGGGCGTTGACTCCTCGGCCCCCACCTGCTACTGTGCTGCGGCGATGAACGTCTTGGTATGGGTGAGTGGCGACGCCCTGCGCAATTGCACGCTCGTTTAGCATGACTTCCCGCAAGTTGGCATCCACGTGCGAGCTACGCTCGCCCGCCGCTAGAAATTCTTGCTGCTGCTCCTGCGTGGTGGCTGCGCCAGCGATCGCATCGAGACGGTACTTGTCCTGATCCAGCTTGGAAAGCTCTTTTAGCGACACTATGGCCTGGCCTTTCTCGTTTTTACGGGTGCCTACCACTCGCTTCCCCTCGTCATTTCGCGCGCTAGACCGACGTGTGGAAGCGCCAGTTTCACGCGCTAGAAGAGGCTGGGCCTCGGCCGCGTGAGCTGATGATCGCCCGTCATCAAAATGGTCCGCATAGTCTCCGCCGGCGCCTCCGCCAGCGTTTCGTCCGTAGCCTTGGGCACTACCAGGTGCGGAAACAGCGTCGACCATTTCTTCTGGTGCATCTGCACCACCATCACCGTCAAGTCCCATCCACTCCCAAATCCCACCAAAGTATCCTGTGGCAGTAGCGGGGTCCGCAACGCTTCTCCTGCCTGTCGCTCCACCCTCTCCCGTGCCGTTCCTCTCAGGGTTGAAATGATCCGCTTTCTCGGTGTCTAGATACGCACCCTTGATGTAGATCAATTCATCCGTTCGCGCACGGAACGCTGTTATTTTTCGGTACTCCGCATCGTACTCGTCGGTCACATCACGATCGTTATTGCGCATACCGTCGTACTCTGTACACTGCCTTCGCAGACGACGGAGCGAAAGCTCAGCGGTGGCATTTTTCCGTGGGACATCTACGAACTTACCGTTACTGTAGATCAGTTTGTCTCGCCGCCGGATCTCAGGACGTTCACTGAAAGAAAATATTTATGAATCTGAAATTGATCGTTGTACCACCCGTGTTCCTGTCGCTCTACCCTTACGTTTTCTACAACAAAAACATAGGTTTTTTTACTAGCAACAACAAGAACAAAACTCTGCAGCAAATAAAAGAAGGCTAGGCAGTTTTCGCAGCGTGACAGGAGTCGGAAGCTCAACTACTTACCTCTACCTGATGAAATTGAAACAACAGGAAACAAATGGTGCAACAGGTATTGAGTACTCTGTAGAAGCTAGTAGAATAGCTTCATTGACATCGATTGCGTCGTGATCGTTGGCTTGCATCTGCTTCGACTCGATTTCCATCCGCATTCGGCGGCGTTCGGCGAGATTCGGTGGCCTGTTGGCATCACCTGCGACCACCTCACTAGCATCATTTGGCTGACCTCCATTTTCCCACATAGTAAGCCATTCGAAAATGGTCACACCCTCTACTGCAACCCCGTCTGGAAGTTGCTCTGCCTCGTGTCTCGCTGTCTCAGGATCACGCTGCCAGAGGTCCCATACCTTAGAAAACTTTAGCTAAACAAACTACCCTCCTCCGCAGCTGGAGCTGGAGTAGTAATTGTATGACAACAACGTTGCATCATCATGATGCTATTTTTAGCTGATTAAAGTAGATTAAAAATGGGTTTTCTTCTTGTCGTTGTCCCCGTAAATCTTATATATTATCTAATCGCACATGACGAGGACCAGAAGAAAACTCATCTGAAGTGCTACTCTACAAGGGATTTCATTTTTGAATCATTTGTGGGTGCCGTAAAAAGAGCATCGAGATATCCTGCTTCCGTATCCGCTGCTGTGGTGCTCTTCCCTGGTCCCAACTCAGCAGCTGCAGTTGTGCCACCTAGTGCGAATTATGTTTGAGTAGATTGTTTACATTTACACACTCATCATATCCCTGCGATTTTTGAGATTGCTACACTGTAATCATTTACTTTCTAATTTTTGCTTTTCAGTATATCATCCCGTAAGCCATCCAAGAAATAGAATTTCTATCTTTTCTTCCAACACATGTGTGTAAAAACATCTTCATCGCTTTTTGTTGTGTTACCGCACCCTCACAGACATGACTTTATCTACTTATACCTATGTCTGTGGGATCCGTGTTGTAGTTGAAGAAGTCTGTGATTGCTCCCCATCTTCTCTCCATCGCTTCTTGAGCAGTTTCAAACCCATCTAGAACGTATTTTCTCTGTTTTCGTGGGTCCCCTACCCAGTTCTCATACGCTTGGCGAAACTGCTCGCGCACATCGTCCTGTTCCGCGACAACATTCTTCCAAATGCGATGCAAACGGAGAGAGGCTACGTAAAGAGAAACAACAACAAGGCCTTCTCCGAGCCCGATCCAACCGAGTTCGCTTGCAGGGCGAAATTTTCTTGTTCCAGTATCGACAAACCATGCACTCAGCACGGCGAACCACATAACACTGAAAACGCTAACAACAGCAACGAGTACCCAGTGTATTACAAAAAAGCAATTGCCCGCACAGCAATTTAGGAGCGACATTGCAGGGTTCGCCGCCGCCTCATCATCTTTGCGGTTTCGAAAAAAGCAGATTATGAAAACACTGAGTACAGGCCATGCCAAGAGGAGAGCGAGCACTACCAAGACGCCGACACCCATGCTCATTAAAAACTCCACGCCAAATTTCGCTATAGCCGGTGTCCAGTTATTCCCACCAACACCAGGAAAATGCCCGGGAAGCGCAAGAGTTAGTGCCCAGATGACAAGGGCTATCGAATGCAACACCACGATGTAACGAGGCAGGCATATCCGCAATACCTGAGCTTGCTTGAATGTTGAACTCGCCTGGGAGATTTGAGTCAGAGCATCATCTTCCACTTGGTGAGCACGTGTGAGATGCTGTGGTCTCTTGTTGTCTGCTGGTGGCTGCCGAGAACCACCCCGAACGGGTTGACCCACAACAGTCGAGGCTCTTGGTGGAGCAGGATCAACCTTCGACGATTTAGCCGGCGCCATATTTTCTAGGAACTAATGCAATGTCCAACTCTTTTTATTCAAGATTCTGATGTTTAAGAACAATTACTTTTGTTGACCTTCGTCTTGGGGAGAAGCAAAGGGATGATGTGTCAATATGGGTCAATATTTCACGCAAACAAATATAATAAGACTAAACGGACCCACCGTCCGACTCAGAGGGTCACAAAAATACCGATAGGCGAGGTGGAGGGGAAGCGGACAGCCACGCACATGAGAGATATGAACTCATCTAGTCATCTTGAAAATGAAGTACAAATACTTAGTAAAGGAATCAAAAGCAGAAAAATTTTTCGGGGTCACTGCTTGTGATTGGCTGATGAATCAATTAATGATCGCTGGAAAACAGAATGATAATCCTTCTTTTGACGGCTCAGACTCACGCTCTAAGATAATTATATTTGCGATCATCTGACTCACTCAGCGCTCCTTCATGGCTAATGCTAGCCAGACAACAGATCGAATGATGCCTCTAGACAGACTCAGACCTCTTCTAGCTCGCAACGAAATCATTTTACTTAGTTAATATTCTAATTCTTCTCGCGGTATGAATTAATGCATGGTATACCTAGTAATCAGATGAAATGACTCTCGTCACGTTGCAAAAGTAGACAGATCTACTGTGCAAACAGATGCCTTGATTTTGATTCATGATAGCTGAGGTGACAGAGGAACTTGCTTCACACCTTTTTTCATGGTTACAAATTCTGCTAGTGCTTGTTCGTGAAGATTGTCATTCTGCACATGATCGAGGTGGGGAACTACAGACTACAATTTTTACTACACAGATTCAGATCATTTTTTCATGTTCATCAGAATTTCATCTTTGTTTGATTTCACCCTCCTACGATCTTGTTCTATCACTTAAGGTCAGACAGCTGCATCGTAATCATATCGATCTTGAAGATTATGAACGGCGCAGTGGAGTGAAAACAGGAACGGGTCGAAAGGTGGAACAACAAGGTGCTTTTTCATTACAGAGGACGGCCGCGGTAGAGAAAGCCTGCAGGAAAGATTGAGCAGCGTGAGGGCAGCAGGCGCTACTCTTAGAAGACGCAAGTCTGTCTGCTTCATGATTTCTCGATTTTGACGGATTCTTTACTGGTATATTTGGATTCGCTGTCCTCCGCCGGAACAGAGATTAGGGTTGAGTCCACCTGAAGAAATAAAAATATCATTCGAGTCTATAGAAAATATCATACACGGTCGAACGAAATGAAGCATCTGTGGCTGTGCAGGGAACGTTATGAGACCATCAATGCAACTCGCCGGTGAGTCTTCCGATGGAACAAACTACACTCGATTTATGAGAAACGCGTGATAAACCACTCAACTTCTTCTGGAGGCGGGGACGGGGTGAAGAAGATTAAGATTCGAAGATGAACATATCAAGCTGCTGCAACCAGCTCCACCATGCAGAGCAATGCATAGGTAGATTAGCTTCCATGTGCCGCCATGCAAGGGTGCGTAACTTTGTCCACAAACGTCAAAAACGAGAAAAGAAACCGCAACAATGTACGGAAAGAAAAGAAAAATTATTGCTCCTTCAAAGAAATTGCAAACATGATTAAAAAATGAATGTTCATCATCGTCGTGTTGTCGAAGCACACGTAGAAGAAGTCGATGGGAAAATCTAGTAGTTCGTTACCACGCATCAAGTTGTATTTGCTCGAGTTACAACTCTATGATGACCCACAATACCGTCAGCCAAGATGTCTGTGCACGAATGCTATGACCTTGTGCGTTTCTAGCATCCGTGAAACTTCAAAAGCTGTCGTTGCTTAATCCTTCTACCGTCAGCGAAATTCCACCACGACCTTTCTACTACTTGCTGGCTCGTCTTCCTACTTGCTTTTCTTCTTCATCCAGCGAAATAGGTAGAAAGTTCCAGCGATGGCTGCCACGTACAATATGCATGCGAAAATGAGGATATCGATGGAGTAACTTCCAACCTCGTCTCTCAAAATGCCAACTGCAGGCCCGCCCAGAGTTTTCATCAGACATTCGAGGGTTTCGAAACAGCCGAAAGCAGTCGCAATGTGCACTGTCGTGAGCGGGTTTACATGAAGGTCGTAACTTCTACCTATTACTCTAATCATAACGCCAATGCAGCTGCAGCTGGTGGCGCTCGTCTGCATTCATATCTTTACCTTCGCTCAACCGTGTTCACTATTGCAGCATTTTCTGTAGCCCAGTAAGCTTCGTCTTGATTTTGAAAATGTATGATCAAGGTCAAAAAGTATAATAGAATTGCTTCAACATCAAGTTGACGTTGAACTTGAAGTTGATAATGTTCGAGAACAAGAATAGTTCTTTTCTTGTTTTTCTAGTTCCGTCCTCGTCTCCTAGTTTTGTGCTTGTCCTTGTTTCTCAAAGACATGGACTTCTAGTACAATAACGTCGATGTACTCTATTAATTACAAATGAGGTCTGTTCTTATTTTTCCGATAATCCCTTACCCTTAGGCATAAACAAGAGATTTGAGGATTGTCGGTTCGATTCCCGACACTAGCATGAGCACGAAAACTGGTGCTTCAACCGGATGAAGATTTGCCGCGTAGAAGAGGTAACAACTTGCCATCGCAATGGCGCAAAAAATGAGCGTTGTCAACGACAGCATCTTCAACCGACCCGCAACAACCTGCTGCTTCGCATGCTGGTCTTCTTGATATCCTTAGATGTAGAAGTCCTTTTCTCGGGAATGCTGGGGTCATTCAAGCTGTTTCGTGCTTTCTACTCTAACAACCAGATCGATGAGATGGACTCCAGAGAAATACAACAAAAATCAAATCTCTTGACATACCCAGCGCCGCCCTCCAGAATACAACGAACTACTACACCAAATCCAAAAGATACTTGAATGCTTCTTAGCATAGTATCTTATCCTCTGGTGCCCATCTTGCTCTGAGGCATGGTTGAGGAAGCTTGGCGGGGATGACCTTTTGAAAAATCCAGCCGCAGGGGAAAGCAATGGTGTTGACAGACTTTTCACACTGCTGACCGAGACGCGTGCCAGCGACCCCGGAAGAAACCCAGTCATATGGTCTGCATACTCCTCTCTCCCCATTAGTTCCCTACTTGCAGCAACTCCTTCTAACGCATCTTGAGCACCCAGAAGCCTCCGTGGCGACGAAGAAGCTCCGTGCTTTGATGAAGTTGACAGACTGGCGTCGCTCCAAATTGTTTCCTGCAGGCGCAGAAATATCAGACCCACAACAAGTGGCATCACGATTGCACCCGAGGACTGGAGCCCGGCAAGGTAGCCCGCATCTAAGAGCGACAAGTGATACGACGACACGAAGAAGTCGACGTCCACATGACCAAAAAGCCGCCTCGACGCACAAAAAGCGCCATGGAACAGCAGGACACACCAGAAACCATCACTGCCATCGCAGAACTCCCGAAGCCACGTTGCTGCGGCAATAGCGTCTTTCTCATTATCCACCTCGTCGATCCCACCTTCATCGCAATCCTCTCCTCCTTTTTCTTCTACGCTATAGCTATTTTTCATCCGTGCTTTTATTTCTGCGTCTTGTATTAGAAACGGATACCTCCAACAAGGCTTCAATATTTCATTTCCACATGTATCACTTTACACTTCACTGGAATAAAACTTTGTGCCTAAAATGCCTCAGAGAAAAAATACGTGCTATCAAGACGTATAATCAATCCGTAATTGCAATAGCCTCTCTCCCGGTGACGCTGCAAGATCTCTGGCACTGCCAACAGAAGAACAAGAAGAAGAATACTTTTCTAACGATGAATCAGGCGACGGAGCGGTCTCCTTCTCCGTTGTGAAATATCCAGGCCACTGATCTGGACTATTTGATGCACTTGGCCTCCCGATACTACTACTAGGCAGTGCCCCAAGTGCTATTATGGCATCTCCTTGTTGCTCTCCGGGAGGCTGCGATGGATACATCCGCGACCCAGAAAAAACCCCTCCGCCAACCACTATCTCTCGACTGTTTTTTCGTGATAGCTGTGGTTGGTATTGATTTTTTTGTTCGCTCACAAGTGCATGAAATAAATGCAGTTTCTTTCTGCTCGAGAAACAGAAAGGCAGTGAACATTACGAGTAATGAACGTTAAGAAAGAGAAAAAGGAACTGAACAAACTAGAAGTACAAGAAAAATTCAATCGCTTCTGGAAAGAAGATTATCAGGATACTATACTGCTCGAGCAGCAAGATTGGTTGGATGCCGTAGAAGGGTGGCTTCGGGCAACGCAAGTGACACTGGTTGAGCGCTGGAATTGCTGCCAAGACTTGGTTTCTCACCCTCACTTTCGTATGGGGGTGGGGCTTGTTCAGCAATGCTGGCAATAGCGTTATTCTTGCCACTGGTGCCCGAGGAGGTTCTTCCCCCTAGCGCGGCCTGCTCGATGCTAGGCAAGCTAATTGTGGGGCTACCGGAGGTGAGTCCTCCTGCCTGCGCAGCCGTGACTGACGGGTCTTTGGTGCTGACCGTGCTCGGCGCCGGCTTGAAAAAGCTCTCGTGTAATCCGAGCTGCTCCTGATTCCAATATGCAAAAAGACCGACGAGCAGAGAAAAGCCGCACCATCCCCACGCCACAAAGAGCGCAGCGCTGTAGTTGCCGTCAAAGTATAGCGTTATCGGCACTGACAGTGACGTTGACATCGTGTTGCTGACAGCATGCACGAGCTCCGAGATTCCGAGCGCCAAGACGAGACAGCGCCGCCTCGCGCGTGCCTTTTTCATAGCAGCTTCGAGGGCTTGTGGGCCTTCCCCCCCCCCTGCCTGGTCTGCGGTAGTCACTGCAAAGAAACCGTGCGCGATGATCGCCCCGCTCATAAGCGAGATGCACCCTTCCCCCGAACCGCTGAGGAACCGGCCAAGATAGAGCAATGGAAAACTGTTCCATACGGTTGCACACGCAAACAAAAACTCACCCACAAAGGTAATGGACAGGAAAAGCAGACACACGCTGGCTGGGCGAAGACACCGATCCACGAGCGCGCCAGCAATCAGCGGTATTACCAAATTGGGAGCTGTGTAGGTCGTCTGCAGCAAGCCCCAATACACACCGGAAATCGAAGGCTCCCACCGCTTATCAGCCGTGAAAAATGGCTTTAGGCCGTCCAATTGCTGCGAGTAGTGAACACCTACAGGCAGCAGACACGCTACCAGAATCGACCCCAAGCGCTCTCTCAGTGGCCATAGTTGCCATTCAGACGAGGACTTGCTCGGAGACATTTCTCACAACTATACCTCTGCCTTAGCTACTTCTGGTACATTGATTTCATGTTGAAACAAGTAGCAATAGACACTAGCATGGTCTAAATTGTCGATTTGAAAATCAACGATACTGATATGGTAAAAATAAATGACGCAAATAAAAATGGCCTTGCATCCGACTAGAAATCATCAGCCAAGACATGTCCTGTGTTGTAGTCAGTCAAGTGGACTTCGACCTGTAGTAGCTGCACCATTACTTCATGAAGGCTTGTTCTTCTTGCTATTCTTGCTCTCTCCAGGTGGAAATGAGGGTCTTCTGTATGTTTACTTCAATTCTTTTTTAGATTTTCATCATCTAACACTCACCTCCACGAAGGATTAGCCAAGGCACTATTAAAGGGGGCTGCTTCAAGGGTGCTAGTTGCATCACTATGCCCTGGATGCTTTTTCTGTGTCGTGGTCCAGCGTCACTTTCACATTCACAGTGATGATAATTTTTAGCTTTTTACTTTTGGCAACAGGAGTTCCTGAATTCAACCGTTGCCGGCTTTGTTGCACTTCTATGATCTCTTCTTGTTCTACTTCTACTTCTTCTTGAGATGATTATTCATTTCTCCAGTCAAAATTACGGTAGTGCCAAGTAGCACGACCGATCTCATTATTTGACAGAGTCGTATCTTCATCTTGTTCATGTTCATGTCTTTTCCTGTTCTTGACAGTGGGTGAATTTGTTTCTCGTTATTTGCTCGCTCTCCTGACAGAATGAGGCTTCCTGCTCTATCTGCTCTATGATCTTCTTCATCTCTAACCTTAACAATTTTCAGAGGACTAAAGACACCAGATCAATAGAATACCGGGCCGACCTGCGCTTCTTGGTGATGTAAAAAAACCGCCGGTATTGAAAGATCTGGCGAGTCTGCGACGTCGTAACCAGATCATCCATTCCCCATTTTAGAAGGGGGTTTGTGACCTCCAGACTCTTCCGAGGAAATAAAATTTTTATTTAAAAATAATCATAATAAATAATGGTCATGCTTCTTGTTTTGCCGACATTGATTTGATGCTTCTAGCATTTTAAGTGCTGCAAACATTTTCACTTGATATTCGCCGTGGTTGACGCCGGAAAGTTGATCATCCTTGTCCTTCCTCCTGATCATTGAGGTAGTAGAGCTAGAGTCACTTAATTACTTACTCACAAAGAGCTCCTTGAATCATCTTTTCGAAAAATCTTTAGGAGCAAAGCGTGGAACGAAAAACCACAAGACTCTTAATTAAAATTAAATGGACTGACTGTGACTTCTAGGAGAAAAATCCAGGTCCTGGTTCTCTTTGTTCTCAGTATGTAACCAAGAAGAGACTCGATCTTCAATCCAGCCCAAAGTAGTACAAGTACGGGTATGGGGATAATATTGCACCAACTACTCAAACGATGTAGGACGAGTCAAACTCAAAGCATTGGTAAGAAACCATCGACTTGGGTGTCACGGTTCGCGACAACCAATGATGAAACCACTCAAAACTATCATGGACCGACAAGTCCGTCGCAGCAGTTAACGAAAAATGGGTATGTGGATGACGTCGAGGACGACAAAAACACACAAACCAGAGCCATACGTAGGACCTTGAAAGGGAATCGTCAAAGGAGAATTGGGGTCCAATCTGCTTTCTTAGAGTTTGGATAGGGCTTCGCTCGAGTCGATTTTTGTGTTCGAGTGTAACCAGTCTCCAACTGCCGCAACTTGTTCGGAGTTAACGAAGAACTGATCGACTTCTTCCGCTGAAGCTAGGTGCCAAATCTTCCCCTCTTGTCCGTCGTCTGACAAGGCGATTTTGGGCTTGGCGGTGTCGAATTCAGTCTCTTTCAGGTTATGAGGAACCACCTCGACACACACGCTCGGATTGTTCGCGATCCCGATATTCTGCGCGAACCGCAAGAAGTCTTCGTATTTGAGCTCCTTCAAGAACTTGATGGACCGCTCGCGGCGTCCGAAGTCGTTCGTGCGCTCCCGAACTTCCGACCAATGCTCTGAGAACTCATCCGCCAACTTTTTCGGCTTCTCCTCTAGCTGCACAATCAGAGCTTGCTTGTATTCCTGGAAGACAGGCTCACTGATACGCGAATTCTCCTCTTGCTCTCCTCCTGGTCCTGCTGTTCCATTTTTCACCTCTGCTCCACCTGCTGGTGCTACCTCTGCTCCTCCTCCGTTAGGAGTAGCAGATGCCTTTGCTACAGTTTTGTCTTCGGGGACGAAGTATTCGGTCTGCATTTTCTTGCAGAAGTCTACGATGCGTTGTGTACAGGTAGATGGCGCGACCTCGGACTGGACGAGATAGAGAATTTCCGTCTTCTGAGAGTTCTTCACTGGCTGGCTCGCCACAATGTAGCCCAACTGCTGCTTAGTTCGCAGTTCGTCGAAAAACTTCTGTGCCGAAATCTGCGTGTACAGACTAGTGAGCATCCACGTTTCCACGGACGTCTTTCCCACCTGCAGACACAGCACAGAGCTGCCGTTGGTCTCTGCAGGATTTGTGCCCAAGATTCGCATGGCGAAGTTTTGACCTCTATTCAGCAAAAAGGTGCTCACAGGTGCAATTGACGTTGGCGGCGCGACCTTCTGCATTGGTGTAGCTGTAGCTGAAGATGAAAATGTATTTCCTCCTGAAGATGCATTTGCTGCTTTGCGCATAAACTCCGCTAAGACCACGCTTTTCGTTTCTGCCTTCGTCAGATTACCCATCGCTAAGCCCTCTACGTGACAGCCAGATGCCGGAAGCATACTCTCGGCGGAAGATGAAGGAGAGGAAGTCGTATCTCCACCTGGAATGACGGGCCTAAAAATGTCTCGACAAATGTCTGTGAGGTCTTCTCGCTTAATATTTTCGAGGATTTTTAGCTTTTCTCCGTATAGCAAAGCATTCTTTGTCATCATCCGGTTGCGCCAGCTCAGCGCTTGGTGATATGGCTGTCGCTTCAACGACGCGTTAAGCATGTCGCGACAGAAGCGCTCGTACACTAGATCATAGATTGCCGGGGAAACCTCACCCCCGCGAGCTATGCGTTCACTCACGGCTCCTAGGAGCACGTCCAACTTGTCGTCGTATCCGCCAACCTGTAAGGAAAATCCCCGCTGGTCCGCTCCCATTTTGTACATGACTCCAGCAAGCTCCGCGTCGTAGCTGTACTCGCTCAGCTCCTCTGCCAAGCACTGACTCCACAGCTCCGTCTTCATCATGTTCGTCGCGGATTCCGAGGTGTAGGGTGAGTACACACTCAGCGCCAAGTAGGCTTTCGGAAGCCGAAACTGCTGGTCCTGCTTATGATACAGATGCAGGGAGGTGCTTGTCGGAGACGAGGAAGAGCTACTGGATGAGGGACTACTTGGTGTAGACCCACCAACTTTTGTTGACTTACTGGTACTTCCGTTGTGCGTGGGTGATGCAGGTTCCTTTGCAGATCTACTCGAAGGCGAAAATTGCTCAGCCTGCGTGACCACGTAACGCTGCGGTGGTGACTCCGGTTTATCGGGTCCACCCGCAAACGGCTTGAAGTCGAGACGCTCCGCTATAAAGGGATTCGGGTGAAACAGGTCTAGAGAAAAGTCGCCTGGGTTATCCCATTTCTCCGAACACTCCGTGTCTAGGGGCAGGATCTTCGAGTGATGCGTTCCGTACCAGTGCTCCTTCTCGGTGCATTCGTCCGTGTAAATCTGTCCGACGCGAACAAGCTGCAAATTGTCAAGTGTAAATCGACTCAGCGTGTCGTGCACAAGCGCCGGATCATACTCCCAAATCTTGGCGTGTGCGGACATCACCTTTTCGGCTGGCACTGTGTGTTCCTGCAAACCCTGCGCTACACCCATGGTCGCGCTACTCGGTTCGGACAAGGACCGAAACTTGAAGCTCATCTCGTCAACCAGAGTCATTTCACGGAAAACCTGGAGATGGAGTAGAAAAACTTCGGTAGTTAGTTACAGAAACAATTGCATATTTCTTTTACAACAAGAATGTAATTCTAATTGCTAATGTGACTCGTACCTGGTGTGACGAGCAAATATAGCGCTCGACATCATCGTGAGACGACCAGTACAGAACTATTGGTGAAGATGTTATTGATGTTGAGATTACAATAAAGTACCTTGTAAAGGACAGCGTCGTCCTTTGGAACTTCGCCTGCGGCGATTTTTGTTGTTTCCTTTTTCAGTTTGGCTATGTACGAGAAGAGCATTTCTCCTACTAGCGGAACGTTTTTTTCGCCTTTTTCGGTCAGCTGGACGTCGATTGCGAAGAAGCAAACTCCTGCCTCATCGAATGCCTGACCGGCGCACAGCTCTGTTGCAAGGCCAGCTTCCTTCAGTCGCGAAAAGATACTACCCTTGCCTTCATGCCCAAGCATGTGTGACAAATACCTGAGTCAATAATAATGGGAATCATGCTGATGATGCTGTGTCTGTTATTCAACGATCACGAAATTAAGTAGAGGACGAAAGAAATTGTGTAAGGTTAATAGTAATACGATATTTCAAGTACTACTAGTGGGTGAAGCAGGCATGAAAAAAATTAGAAGTCTATACTTTGTCGGTTTTGTTTTCCATAGTAGGTTCTGTTCTGGCAGCAGAAACTGGAAGGACACCGACTTTTCGTCCTTCACTGGCAGCACAAACATTTGCGTGCGCATGTTTTCCGAGAGAATAGCATTCTTGCCCTGGCCAATATCCGCACCACGCGGAATGTCCACATCTTTGTTGACGACGTCCGAGAATTTGCCAACGATTGTTTTCTGCAACTCGTCCAGCGATTCTGACCCTAGCAATGACAGCGTCATGACATTAGCCGAGTAGTATTTTGCGTGGAAATCCAGCAAAGCCTGCCTTAGGTCAATATTCTGTGCCTTTGGTCCGTCGAGAAGCGTCTCGTTGTTTCCCGTGGAAAATCCATGCAAAGCATGCTCGGGATTAAACTGATTTTTCATCAGTTGGTTCCGTCGCCACCGGTCGCTTTGCATGTTCTTTGTGTGCTCACTATGAACTGCTTTCAATTCCCGTTCGGTTGCGCCCTCAGTGAACAGAGGGTCGAGGAAAAAACGCGAAAAACGATCCAGAGCGCCGTCCAGATGGTCTTTACCTGATGAGCACGTCGTAGTAGTTGTTGTCATAAAAAGTTGTTTCAAATCTATGAGGTTGTTGAGGCAGAAGAACAAAAGCGTCGAACAACCAGCGTGAAGAGTTCATAGTTTCGATATCTTTTCAAACAACTACAACAAGATATTGATATTAGAAGAGCAGAACATTCATTGTATAGTAGCAGACTAGTAGTACCGACGTCGAAGTAATAGACGGTCTGCGTGCCTGCGGTGAAGGCATTACTGTGACCACCGTTCTTAGCGAGAAATTCGTTGTAGTCGTCCTCTTTGGGATACTTTTTCGTTCCCAGAAAAAGCATGTGCTCACAAAAGTGGGCTAGGCCTTGGATTTCCTTCGGCTCAAATAATGAGCCAACCCGCACCGACAGACAGGCACTGGCTTTATCGCATTTTGGGTCCGATATTGCGCAGACTTGCATCCCATTCGGCAATGCAAAATACCTGTAACTACGATGGTCCTCGACAGGCTTCTCGATATCCTCGACCACTGAACCGTCGACCGGCCGAACTATCTCAAGCGACGAAGTCGCAGCCATATCTCCGCCACCCGCCATTGTGTTGATCCTAGAAGATAATGTTGATGTTGCAGCAAAAGAGGAGGACGTCCGGGTGATTGAGGAACCTGATGTTCCGTTTTCTCCAGTCGTTATCTTGCTCGCGCCACCTTTAATAGCAGTCGCTCCTACAGCAATTTTTGAATCCGCACTTGGTGCGCCAGCTGCTGTACTGAAACAACTTCTGCCCAAGCGCTCGTGGTGAGCAAAAGTGTAATCTCTGGTTCTAACAGCACCAATTAAAGGATAAACGGATCTCCTGCCGCGTTTGCGTGCGATGGAGAAAGTCGATCTTCTGAGAGAAGACGCGAGCAAAGACACACTAGGTGGCACCATCCATCTGCTTCGATGTTATATTTACCTTTAGGATGGTCAACGAGACGATACCAAGGCACTAGCACGCTAATCTCTTGACAACAAGTGAGCACGCAAATCTTCTATCTCTTTACAAGAACCAAAACAAGTACAAGTAAAAATTGGAATTCCAAAGTAGACTATACAATGAGGACAAGTGTGGGGGAAAGGGCAGACCTGAATCATAGCGAGAAAGGTGGTTCGGTGAGTGAAGAGCCGTAGACTAGAGTATCTATATATAAGTATATTCACTTCGCAACAACCATACTGCCTGAATTTTCAAGCTTTTCTTTGTCGCATCACTGCTGTCTCTTTCAGCGTTCTTTCATCGCGTTCCTTTTTCACGATGGATCCGAACACAACAAGGTCACTCAGGTACCTAAGCATATGAATGATTCCACATTCTTCTTCAAAACGCTCATCAACTGCATCACGCCATTGACATTGAGCATGATGAACAGCTGAACACAATACCATTCTATGTCTCTGAGACCCACGTAGAAGTACCAAAATGCGCACGACAGCACGGAGATGTTGCACGTCGCGATCATCTGGACGAGCTCAGCTGTTGCATCTTCAAGTTTAAAATGACTTTTCAAAGATATTTTCATCCTGCGTGAACTACTGCTATTTTTGTCGGCTATTCATTTCCATTTACATTTTGATGAACAAATTCTGTACATGTCAGATCGGAATCGGAAACTCGTTCTTTTACCCTTGCTCTAAGGTACGCGAAACACAAGTAGGTACTAGTAGACTCTTCAGTACATTGTAACAATTTGTTTTCTCTCATGATCCTCGTTTTCATATTTCAGAACTTTCTGGTCGTTAGTCCTTTGCTTCAATTCTCAGTATGTAGTCTATATATTTGTAAGTACATCATGAATGTTTAGTGATTGAAAAAGAAACAAGCGAGTGACGATGCCAACTCAGTTGGAATGGTAGAGGTCGGGAAAGGTTCCTCCTAGCGAGAGGGGCATCTCATCCTCGGTTTCCTTGGTCTCAAGACTGTTTTTCGAAAACTGCCAAACGGTTTTTCGTATGTAGGTGGTAGTATCGTCAGCGGGAACGCAGCTAGCCCACAGTGGTCGGCCTGAAAAATTTGAAAAAAAGTACTTAGGTCACATGAGTATCCGCAAAACGAGTATCTATTTCAATATGCAGACATCAACTTCTGCCACTACCCAACTATGATTCTCAGAAAGATTCCGCTTCCCTGAAATCCATAATATCTTTGCCCTAAGTGTTGTTCTCCTCTACTTCTTCTTCTACCACGACGTCGAACGAACAAGGATCGATTATTTACCAAGATAAAAATTTTTCTTCGGAATGCATTGTTGCTCTTCGATAAACTCGGATTTTCCCAAGTCTGCGCCAGTCGAGTCGGTCATCAACCCATAGATATTCTTGATCAAAAAACCGCCACATTTTGGGTTCGTCTGGCATATGTTGGCACACTTGTGAAACATCATATAGCCCTTCTCAGAGAATGGCAGCTTTACCTGTTGGTCGGTTTTGTCGGCGTGCAGGTGAGAGTGTGGGTGACTTTTCATCTTCTTTTCCAATATCATAATCCTAATCTTCTTCACTGTAACTAAGTAGAAGTAGAAAAAGTTGAACACCACGATTCCTTTTTGATTTATTTGAAGATCATGCCTGCTAATGGCATCTTACCTTTAGTTTTCATGTTTTTGGTCACACCTCATCTTCTTGATGACACCTTGATCTTGTGTAAAAATGTCCCTTATAGTACCGAATCGAGATTGTCAGCTTGGCACTCCCTATACGGTTTCTCCCAGAAATAGACGCTGAAGCGACCCACGGTATCACCAGGTGCTTCAACCGCTGAAGATGTGTGGGCACTCACTTTGCGTGCTTGCTTTTCCTTGAGCACCTGAAGCAGCAAGTTGTGTTTTCGTTTCCCTTTCTTCGTCTTCGCTTTCTTGCCACTCTTTGATTGTTTCAGCGCTCGCCTGTCATGCGCAGACGAAGAAGATGCGGCGACGTGTAGCTTCTTGTTCTTGGTTTGCTCATGGTCGCTGGAGTGCTCATGCACATGTCGGCCAGCGTCGCGGTCACTGTTGTGATGCGCCTTCTTACCTTCTCTTGTCGTGTGATGATGTTGATGAGCCTCCATTTCGTTGAATGATTGGTCTTCATCATCATCATGAAGAAGATGTTGAAGACCTCTCTTTGAATGATCAGCATCAGCCATGGTCGGACCCTCATCATCGTCTTCATTTTCGTCCAATTGGTTTCGGTGCTGATGAGAGGCCTGGTTATGTGGATGAGAATGACTCTGATGCTCCTGTTGGTGGTGACTTCTGTGCAAATGAGGATGACTGTGATCGTCTTGTTGTAGTAGTTGGTGAATATGTAGTGGGTCTGGTTTCCTAGATTTCTTCTTCTTCACAAGCTTGTGTTTCTCATCATGATGACGTGACGTCGGCACTTCCTCTTCGTGAGTGCTTCTTTCATCATCGTCAACGTCTTCTTTCACGAAGGACTGCAATTTCGTTTTCCTCTCTGTGCTTCTAGCAGGTCCTCTGACATTATCTTTCTCGATATTATCTTCATCATCTTCATTATCCTCTTCTCTGTTTTTCGACACGTGATTTATCAGTTCTTCTATTTCGTGTTTATCTTCATCCTCGATTTGTTCATCTTTTCCCGGATGATCACGATCAGCTGCGTCTTCTATAATCCCCGACTCCTGATGCTGATCGTATGCATGATCATGCTTCTTCTGCCGTACCGTGTGTGCGTTTTGTCGAAAGTGGGCGTGGCCTGGTCTCCTGTGGTCTCGCTGGTGCGCAATAGATTTCTTCTTGGAAGACGCTTTGCGCAAGGTTGAAACCTAGGTAGAAGTGGTTGACTAAGTAGAAGAGAAGACAGTCCTATTTTTAGTTCTAATACTTCAATGTGATGAAACTTAAACGGAAGATGGCTCCAGATGACACAATGGGAAGATGGGAGGTGCCATTCTGAAGTCACTTTTTAACGTTGTCTTAGTACCTCGCGGTCGACAGGATGCAATGACCATACTCGCCATGGAGCAAGAGACAGCAGGAGTCTCAACGTCATTGAAGGCCTCGGCAGCATCAACATTTTTGCTTGATCCCCCGCGCGTCGTGCTCACCGTCCTCTTGTCGTCCTCTATATTCGAGTCTCTGCCCGCTCCCTAGGTAATTCGTTACCTGCGTTTGCTCCCCTGCAGTGCGTGATAGAGATCATTGGAAGATGCTTCGGCATCTTCAGGTAGACCTGCTACTCTGACACAAAATGCATGTCATCTACTCAAAAGCCCTCAAAAAAGTGACACGACTAGTCTGTATGATGATTCAGAAAACTGAAACTTTAACTTTATTATTTAGGATACGCATTCTGTATGTTTTAGTGAAAGTAGACTAAGAGACTCTTTCTCTTGACATTCGAAGAAATCCACTCCCAGTAAAAGCTGAGGGCATTTTGGAGGTGCATGTCCACATTTTGATAGAAAGCGCTACTCCTGCGGACAACTCGTGCCGCTATGCCTATGGCATCTACTTGTTCTGGAGTTGTCAACATGTTCGATGTAAGTTTGCCGTGCGGAAACTGTCATATTTTGCTCTTAGGCCGCCCTCGACCTCTGTGCAGGAAACATTTTTGTTGGTGGCATTTCCATTTTGACAAAGACTTAAGACGTCCTGAGAAAAGACTAATTTTTTTCTAGGAAGACCTCTTGCATAAAAGTATGAAATTCAAACTCACAGGAATAAGTAATTGATATGAGGGAATAAAAAGGAATCGATATATAAGAAGGCACGAAAACTAGTTGTAGTAGCGTGATGAAGACTAACAAACTCTAACAAGGTGAGAAAGATAATTTGACGTAGTAGTGAGTATCTCCAAAGCCCTTAATATCATCTTTTGTTCATTCCCCGTGCTATTTAGATGAGTTGTCCTTGAAATTGATGGGATCATGGTGCCGCATTTGCATCTTCGTCTTCAGGTTTGACAGTTACTACAGCTGACATGCGACGAAAGAAGCTAATTCCATCTAGACGTGGACAGATTGGATCCATCGAAACCGGCCCTCGACGCATGACGCACGCTCCAACCTTGCCAACGAGCTTGCCTTCTGCGGCACGACTCGGAGGTAGTTCCTCGTGCTCGTAGACAAAGCCGCCACAACCTTCGTTGCCCGTCACCACGTACTCGGAACACTTGACTTTAGAAGAGCAGGTATCTGAAGAAATATCTGTAGTTGTAAGTACTTGTACTTGTGGTTACAATTTGCACTTGTGGGAATCGCTAGTCAACAAGGTAGACAAAGTTATATTTGTGAAGTGATTACAAATGAAGTTGTTAGAGCAAGTGGAGTTGTACTTTGCCATAATGGTAATGCACTTCGCCAGATGCTCGCCTTCAGTGTCTCCCACCGCACGCAAGTAGACACGGTTTTCTGCTGCACTACCTCCTGGCATATAAGAGGAATCGTCTTCAACACCGCAATTGTACGCTACATACTCCACAAAGTGCGTCATCACGGCGCCCATCGCAACAGCGGCGGGCAAGTATGAAGGGACTCAAACTCTTCAGAAGAACAAGAGCACCAAGGACAGAAAAAAATGGTCTTCATCTTGGTGTGACACGGAAGCGTAGATTCTCGGAAGTACATAGTTCTGGATACTTCTACCCACTGCGACCATGACTAGGTTTGATTTGATACAACTTCGAATAGCGTCAGTGTAACATAAATTGGCTGGTGCAGGTGGTAACGTCGTTGACGTTGTGCTTGTTGTCGATGAGCTCGTCTCTGTTTGCGTCTCCGTCGTTGTGCTTGTTGCAGTTTCTGTGACAGTCTCGGTACTCGTACTCACCCCTGTAGTGCTCGCCTCTGTAGAGCTCGCCTCTGTCCTCGTGCTCGCCTCTGTCCTCGTGCTCGCCTCTGTCCTGGTGCTCGCCTCTGTCCTCGTGCTCGCCTCTGTCCTCGTGCTGGCCTCTGTCCTCGTGCTCGCCTCTGTCCTCGTGCTCGCCTCTGTCCTCGTGCTCGCCTCTGTCCTCGTGCTCGCCTCTGTCCTCGTGCTCGTCTCTGTCCTCGTGCTCGCCTCTGTCCTCGTGCTCGCCTCTGTAGAAGAAGATATGGTCGTCACTGCAGCCGTGCTGCTCTCTGAGGACATTGAAGAAGCCGTGGAAGCTGGCGCACCTGAGCTTGAAGTGGGTGCGCTAAATTAGAGAAGGATCTCTCCGAACGTGCAAACTTTTCCAAAAGACACGTACTTACTTAGACGAAGGTGTGAGTGTGTGTAAGTATCTATGGATGCCTTAACCAGAGCTCGGCTCTTCTGAGGTGGTCGAATTCCCTGGACCCTGTCTTGCTGCCAGTACTAGGTGTTGCAGTTTCTTCATCGTAGTAGCGCTTTCACTCGTTGTCCTTGTCGAAGCAGCAAGCGCATGCTGCCGTTGATGTCCTTGCGCGACTGTGCCTATGCCCGTTTTTCTAGCAAGTACATTTTGGTGTGCTTCTAGCGATACAAACAGAACCAGAGAGACGAGACGGCGTGATCTTTTCCCTCTCCCTCCTGCATCTTCTCTATCTCCTACATGTAGCTCCTTTACCTCCTTTGGCTCCCGATGATCTAAACCGTGCTTTCGGCTGCGGCGATGATGACGCGACAGACATCGTCGCGACGGACTTTGAGATTGTGGAGGAGCAGTCGTGCTGCTGTCAGAGAAAGAGACCAGCATTGTGAACGTGATCACCAATGAATTCAAATTCTGAAATTTTCCTATACAGTTGTTGATGCTGTACGCTGACACTGCAGCAGTCGTTAGGGCCACATTCTGGACAATAGATCTTTATTACTCACCACCTACAGATTTTTATGAAGGGTTCTTACAGCACTCGTCTGTGTTTGACATGGACTTCTTAAATTGTTGTCGTTCTTTCTGAGTTTTCATATACCAATCTTTCAGTTTCCGCCCAAAGCCTTTGTCTCAATTTCTTTTGCAGTTGTTAGTACCCTAATTCCCAATCGTGGATCGATTTGGTTTCTGTGTGAGTGCGTGCGATAAAGAGGAGAAGGAGATTGCTCTCTAGTATAACCCAAGCGGACCTCGAAGTCATGATGATTACCTACGCCTCCTTTTCGACAAAAAGCTCCAAAGCCTAAGTTCTCTCGCAAATCTGAACGGAAGTCAAGACTCAGCTCATTTCCATTTGATGTAACTGACAACTTCGAAGCAGACAACAGCGGTAGCATTCGCTATAAGTGAACGCGGAGGAGAGAGCCGCGAGGTCCCGCCTCGTCAGCATGGTGGTCGTCTTGGTGATCATTCTCAGGTCGAAGATATAATACCTTGCACTCCTTAGTGCCTTTTCTTTTTCAATGGGTAAGGCTTAGAGAGGGATAGTAGTTCGTCCTCCCGTGTCTGAAAGAGAAATGTTCTGTTTGAGTTGATTCGAGCTTCAGCTTGAAGTCGCTGTCGCAAATGGTAAAGGGAAAAGTTAATGTACTTATTAGATTTACAAAACAAACGTTTGGGTCGGTGTAAATGTAAACGCGGGTGATAGCCATGAAAAAGAAAGGTCAGCATTAGCCAGTTCCACAAAGTGCAGGTGTGCAGATTTTGATTGTTCCCAAAATGAAAGCGATGTAAAAAAGATCGCGACTGGTCCAACTGCTCACGAAATCGCGAAGGGTAGCGCGCCGAGTTCAATCGCTTGCCGTACCTTCCTCAACATTTGTTTTTCGGTACTGTAAGGAGGCATATCGACCGTGAGCATGCAGGTATGCGCCGCCGGCAACATCTCTTCATCTTCCCCTGCGACAAAACGAATACAGATTTTCTGCCGGTTGGGCAAGCCCGCACGTGGAAGTCGTCGCATCGATGTAGCGAAGGTAAGGAATTTCTCCAATGAGGATTAGAAATGTAGAGGAAGAACATCAACATCAAGCTCCTCGAGAAAATCGCATACAAACGACAATGGAAATTCTTCATGACCGAACACCATCATATTCACCATTTCGTCGCAGATTGTGAACTCTTCTCTTTCTCTTTTTCGAGTGTAATCCTATACTTAGTACTTGTAATCCAATGACGATGATGCAAAGCGTCGAATGCGAGATATTGAAGTCATAATCAGCCGTCGTCAGCTCGCTGTCAACAATGGTTCGGAAAAAATCTTGTTGTTGAAGATATCCGAAGTCTGGTTTGAACTCTATGTTCTGCAGGATAGTTGAGCCAGAGAGTTCCGAACCCTCAACAAAGAGCCGAAGAAAATCAAGTCCGGAACGCAAGAAAGGCACGCTTTCCCCAGGTCTCCCAAGAAAGAGAGAGTCGAATTTGCCGAACATCGTTAGTCCATCCAGCAGGGATGCATAGGCGTCCCAGCGGTACTGCGAATCCCCGACGTACTTGAGGTAGATGTCCCACAGTACAACCCAATCGAGGAGACCATAAGATATTCGAAGGGCGCTAACGCGGGCCCTCGTCAATGCTGCTGGAGGTATTCTCGCCGCATCTTCTTCCGTGGCCGCGTCATACGCGAAGAACCATGTTGACGATTGTGCGTCTTCATTCTCTACTCGGCAAAGTGTCACAGGCGTGGCGGAGTTCGTGAGAAAACGGTAGGCCCGCGGGTCCAAGAGATCTTCAAAGACATCAGTCCCTGCTTCTTTAAGCACAAAGTGGTACTGCTGACGAACGCCTTTTGCCCGACGAAAAAATTTCTTCATTTGCCGCTCACTTGTAGTCACCACGTGGTCGTCTTTAACAGATACGAGCGAGGTAAACATCCAACGATAGGAGCGCTCTTTCTCCGGATCATCTAACAATGCGAGGAAGCAGTTCAGATGCTGCCGCGCCCAAGCGTCGCCATGCCCTCTTCTTATCTGAGCAATTCTCGCGAAAATAGCCTTTTCGGCTTTGTTGCTCCGCGCAGTGGTATGACGAGCGTCGTCTGTCAAGGAGGAATCAAAAGGAGGAGAAGGCCCAGTCGCTGGTGTGACGTCATCTGGTGGCAGCCTTGGCGCCAGTCCAAAGGTGGCAGCCCAAACGAATGGTGAGAGGGGTGCCGGTATTTGGTGGCAATGAATGACGCAACGAAGACTCATGAGTCCTATGGCGACCCAGTTGTTTTTCCATTCCAGTCTGCAAACTGGATCCTCTACACTGCATCCGTCCGCTGACTTCTGAGATCTTGTACTTGAGGATATTGGCCTTTTCGGAATGTAACAGCCGTGCATTTCATCCCATTTGGGTTCTTCTTCGCCAGTAGGATCTTTGTCTTGTTCTTGATCAATACTCGAGGACGAGACAATAAAACGGCCCCTCGACTCAGCGAACATTTGCTCAAAGAACAAGTGGAAAATTTCTCGCCGGAGACCGCCACCATCGACTCCACTCTCACCATCTAGCAGTGTGCGCCACTCGCCCAACAGGATGTCTTCTTTCCATTCGTGTATCTTTGATGACAGGATCTGCTTGAAAACCTTCTCGCGCTGGAATAGAAGGGGCTCCTTGCTACAAACGTAGCGATACTGTTCCCGCAGTCGACCGAGACTCTCAAAGACTTGGGATGCTTGTTGGTCGCGACCACCACTCGTCTCGGTTCCCATGACTCGTTGCGACGGTCGGTGTTGTACGCTTCCTGCCACATTTCTGGTGTAGGAAAAGACTGGATGATTGGTAAGGTCGCCCTCGCTACTCGTCATGTGATGAAGTCTCGCACCTGGGTCGCTCTGCAGAGTGCTTTGCATGAAATCCAAAGCGTCCCAGAGAAGAGGCGCTCGAGCAAAACGCTCTAACAGCTGACCCGGCACTTCTAGGAGACGAGACACTGGATTTCGCGGAAGAGTCCGCACCTCGAAGCCTTCGGTATCCGTAGGCGAAAAAAGAGTCTTTGCGAAAGTTGCACCCAGCGAAAAAACGTCGGAAAAGTTTGACCAAGGAACTTTTTGGCCGAGGTTTCTGGCCCGTTCCACATTGATTTCTCCGGAAGGACATCTCGAAGACGAAGAGGCTTCTTGAAAAATCGAAGGTGAAGTTCGCGGTTGTTCTTCGTCAGACTTCAGCTTTGCCAAGGCGTTAGCTATTTCCGGAGCGAAATAGTCTGCGACTGAGTCTGAGACTGCAACATTCTCCGAAGATATCTTTTTCTCTACAAACATCTTGTCTGCGAGAAGACAGGCGGCCTTCTCATCATTACACAGAGCCGTCTGCCAGCCGCTAGAAGACTTTGAGTCCTCGCCAGAAGGTGGCTCAGTGTCCATCAACGAAAAAAGATCGTCCTCCCCAGCAAGCGTCTCCATGTCGCAACAAGAATACGAGAAATCTGATAGGTAAGCATGTGGTGAAGCGCCGCTTGACGCCAATGCTTCATCCAAGACGATAGTATCGACGCAGATTTTTCGATGAACGATGCCACATGAATGCAAAAAGCGCATCGCATCCGCGATCTGGGCGAAAATAGCAATTACTTGTCGCAAGTAACATTTTTCGATACCAGCCGTGTAGTCTTCTGGATTCCCGCTGTCAGCGGAGGTACTAAGATACCCTTGCTTCGACGTCCCAAACAAGGCCTGCAGATGTTGTCGCAATGTGTAATTATAGCTCCCTGATCTAGCGAGCGAAAAACTAGATAAACCTGCACCCAGATCCATAGCACCATATGAGAAGCACAGATGGTAAAAGCGGCACAGCCCGTCTTGTTCTTCTTGCTCGCACGCTCCACCAGCAGAGGTTGTTCCACAATTCACCTCCTCCACGAAATAACCGTCGGGGCTCAACACATGCGCATGGCCTTGCGTTCGGGAAAGACATGCAACTTCCCAAAGAAATTCCGCGACGCGATCTTCTCTCCATCTCTTGAGTACAACATCGCAGTGTGCTTTTGCTTCATCATGACCAGCAGCATCTCCACTCCTTGGAATATCACGATACTCTTCGCGCTTTTCAACACCTCCGGAGAAACTCGCGACAAGCGTAGTGTCATCCAGCTCTGTGACATTCTTAAAGTTCTGGTATAGTGAGAAGTCTTTCATGTAAGGGATCCCGAATTGCGATAGGTCAATATCGTTCGCTAGATTTCCATCAACATTCGCGGCGTTGTCATTCTGCGCCTCTACTTTTCCCAATTCGAGAAGCATTTTCTCTGCGTAGCGCGCGCGATGCTCCTGCGTTGGCAGAAGATTTCCTAGCTTGCGTCGCAATATGCTCGCCACGTTCTCTTGGCCCGCTTTTTGTGCACGTTCAAGTAACAGCCAAGCACTTGCCATCTCTGGATTCCCGGTAGGGCCTGGAGAAGACTCTCTTCCACCACCTCCGCTTATGAACACCGGAATTTGAACAAAACGACTCGGCCGGACGATAAGCAGAGGCGCAGCTTGCTGTGTTGGTGTACTGCGAGCTGTAAGATCCAAGACATCACTCATGTCAGAAGCTTGCTTGGCCTTGTCTCGAGATGGGGGTCCTTTTCTTGCTAAAGAAGCTTCATCTTTATCAGCGTTCTCTTGCTCTACAAGAGATGCACCAGCGAGCGGGACTTGTCTGTTCATCTTCATCAGACTCCATTGATTATACCCAATAGAGCGATCGGTAGGTGGTAGAAACCTGTCGGTCACACACGTGATTTCTTCGTCCTGGTACTTGTTGTCGTTACGCTGTTCGGAATCGTGGTCTGACATCAATGCAGAAGAAGTGGATGCCGAACTAGTCCAGCTGGGCGGTTGAAAGACACCAAGGAAAATGGGCAAAAGGAACGTAAACCACGCAGCTGAGCCGGATGTGAAAGGCCCTGCACTGCTAGTGCTCCTCCTCTCTTGACGGCGCACATCTTTCAGAAAGCGGCGCTCGAACTCAATCCGCACTTCGCGACTGCTTTGAAAAATAAGGTGGCAGAAAGACCTGAAGGTGGTTTGAAGAAACTGCTCGTCCTCGTGTGACGGTGGCGCGCTCGAGGTGGAAAAGGATGTCGTGGTACTAGGCGACAGCACTATTTTCTCATAGAGGGCGCCGACGTGCTCATTATTGAGAGAGTTTACAAAGAGCATCAGCTGCTCGAGGAGGACGCAGTTGAGCAGGCTTCTCTGCATCACTAGCGACAAGGCACCGGACGCGGTGGTGGAAGCATGTATTTTAGCGCTTTCAGGATCTGCATCTGCTTCGTCTCCGGCACGATTTCGCGTCCTCCGAGACATGCTTCTCGTCCTACTTCGTCTACCGTCGCGATGCCTAGTATCGTCTCCACCACGTCCTTTTACAACTATGTCACTCGAGCGAATCGAAGGCTGGATAGCTTCAGTCACGAAGTGGTCTACCAGGCGCGGGATGTAGCTATCCACCTCTTCGTCTCTCCTCTCAAGCAGGACACGACCAAGATGAGTTAGCATCTCCGCGTGAAGACTCAGCTGCTGCCGCATTTCACGCGATTCGAAAAGTGCAGCTTGTAGAACAGTTGTTGCCTCATCTTTTTCGCGAGAGACGTCAGCATCGTTCTCTCGAGATTCGTTACGATTTTCGGAAGACACCGCCAACAAGTCGTGCGTTTTCGTCATAGATCCTATTCCATCAAGCTCGTTCGCCTTTTCCTCCCAAGCTACTGTCGGTGTCGCAGTTGCCGTCGGAACGCAGTAGAGCAGGTGGAGAGGCTTACTTGTTGGTGGTGTTGAGGAAGATGCTTCGCCTGGACCTGTTACTGACCTTCCACCTGCTCCAGCTCCACACTCTGCCACGATAACACTCCTCGATCGCTCTTCCATCGAGGCGCAGGCACTCAGCGTCAGCAGGTGCCGCAGCGTATACCAGTACGCATTGAAGACGAGGAAGGGAAAAAGATCCGGATCGTAGGTTCGGGCTACCAGCTGCGCTTGACAGGCCTCAGGCGCTGAGAGGTACCAGCGAGTCAAGACAGGGTAAGCATCGTTAAGCGCGAATGTGTTCAACAGCTGCAGCAGCACAGCGTCGTAGAGCAGAGTCGTCACTTCATCAGGATCATCAGGCCTCTTTGAAGCCGCACTTTTGCCCGATGTCTCCGCCAAACTCGACTCCGTAGCAGCTACTTCCTCTTGTTCTTCGAAGAGATACTGGAAAAGACATTCTCTCTGTTTACTTGAAAGACTCCCGCGAATGAAGTTACACACTGCTTCGCAAATGCCGACTCGTGTAGCAGCTGCGGTTGACTTCTTGCCTGATCTGGATCCTGCAGCAGCGTTCCACTGTGCTCGCAGCAACAGCGCCTTAAGTTGTTCTGGAATGAGCATCCGGACTATTTTTGCGTCCGTTCTTGGCACGCCTTGTTTGTCGTCGTTCTGCTCGGGATCCTGACAAACGAAAGCTAGAGTCACTGGCGAAAGTCCTTCCAGAAACTCCAGTAGTGCTGCTAGCAACTCGCCAAGCCTTCGCTGCGTGTCTGAAGCGCACTGGAACACAATCTGATGCAACACCGTTTCCTGATACCATTCCTGCAAGAGAAACTGCACTCTAGAAGTACTTTCTTCTTCGGAAAGGTGACGATCCTGGAAGGTAGAAGTGTCAGTCCTGTTTGGCGCACTCCTATCCTTCTCTGCACTGATTTGTTGCCGTACACAGGCCACACACCAATCGAACGCTTCATTTTCCGTCTTGAGCGCTCGCCGGTCACGAAGCGCAATAGAGCCAGACCCAATTTTCGCAGCAGCAACATTGAGACTGCAAAGTTGCCGCATCTGCAGTACTTGCTCGTTCGAAAACCAAGTGGCAAGAATTTCACTGGTTTGAGAGACAAATCGCTTGAGGTCATCGACAGACGGAACTTTCTCGTTGCTCGTTACCGCGCGTAGACGACTCTCACTGCGTCTTGTTCTATTTGTTCGCGTGTGTGCTGCGGGCGTGCCTTCAGTAACAGCAGCATGCTGTTGGTCATCTCCGCCATCGTCAACGAGGGAAACGTCAAGAACACTCATGTCATCATCCGAAGCAAAATTTGTTCGACCCTCTTTATCGATCCCCGCATCGTCCAAGCGCGAAGCTTCCTCTTCTCCTTCAACACCTCCCGCAGCTGCAAGAAGTCCTGACGCTACAGCCTTTGAGAAACTCGTTAGGGATTCCGTGACTGCATCATTGTACCTGGAACTTTCAGTGTCTCGTTGGGAAACTGTGCTTTGACCATAGCGCTGCTCGTTTCGCATTGGTCCCTTAGCAAACTGGGCGGCCTCTGCTGCCACGACCCGGCACATGGCGAGTGCGCGGCAAGTGAGAGTGCGCGAACCGGGACTTCCACGACGCAAGGCGTCCAGCACGGGCGTGGCTACACCAAGCCAGGCGTCCGCATGCTGCTGCGTCAGGAAAACGTGCAGAAACTCCGCTCGCCAAACTAGCTGTATTTGCAGAAGGGTCTCAATCAATGTGCACGCCTGGTCAAACAACGTCACGAGCAAAGACGACGACGGTGGATTATTCTGAGGACTTGTACTGGCAGTATAGTTTGAGTGTCCATCTCGAAATCCGAGAGCTCCTGTGTTCCCATTTTTAGGAGACGCTGCTGCGCTCGTCCCTAAACTTCTCAGTGGCGACAGATTCGCCAGAAATCGCTCGTCGAGGTACTTACGCAGCAGAAGGAGTAGAGATTTTGCGAACACAATAGAGACATCCAAACGAGGCGCAGCTAACAGCGAAAGGCAATCACAGAACAGCGCATGAATCTCAGGATCTGACGTCGACCTCGACGCCAAACTACTGCGAAACAAAATGCAACGCCGCTGCAGGTCTTTTTCTGGCGATATTCCTGCCGAGCTAGGCACAATGTTGCTACTGGTGCGTGCTGAGAACTCGCCGCTGCTCAGATAGGATAGGCCTGCCTCAGAGGACATCGTGTCAAGTACCCAAGGAAACACAACAACTAGTACTGCAACTGCAACGAAACGGCGACCCTTAGTTATATATATATACCCCAAACGAGTTGCAGTGGCGCCCAATGCTAATCTGCTTGACGAGCATGAACGACGCCACCTCCAAATGAGACGTTGCCCAGAGTTCTCATCGGGTCCTTGCGCGTCAACTCCGTGACTTGCCCACGGTGGCCTTCATCTGCTTTTCACTCCAGGCACTGCGCGTTGCAACGTCGATTTGATGCTCGCCTTCGACGTTGGCAGTGGTGATGGAGGACGAGGACAAGGAGCGTACCACGCGAGGCAAAAATCTCCCGACTCCTTCATCTGATATCCTTTTATTGCTTTTATTCTTGTTTCAACATCTAGAACTACCGAACGCCGTGATGCACACGCATATGCAGCTTCCTACGTCGTATCTCGTGTCTAATAACTGTGTCTGCGACTCAAGTCAAACTAAGCCCTCCTATTGTTTATTTATGGTTTTGCTTGCTCTTCTTTCGTTAGAATCATGATATGCAGCAAGTTCAAGTTCAAGGAAGTGGGTATCCCCGTCTCTCTGCTATCGCTGCAACACCTTATTTTTTTGAGTTAGGACTATATGCCGCCGCACTTTTAATCATTTAAACATGTCTGTTACATAATTAAACAATTTACATACTGGGGGCGCATAGAGCGGTACATTCGGCCGAAAAGTCCAGGGAGCACGTACAGGATAGATTTCGCTCGCGCTAGGAGCTTCTTGTCTTTTACTTTTACCTTCTTCGACGGTGCTGGAGTTCCTTTGAGTATACATCTGCAGCGGAGGAGGTGCCAATGAATGTTGCAAAAGTGTCAAAACATGTCGACAACATATTGTTTTTTGATTTGCCAAAAGTATAATTTTGATGCAGGCCGTTCTTCACCAATCAAAGATTAAGATAGACGATAGAACTTGTAAACTAAAAGAAACACAAGAACCAGAAGATACAAGTGCAACTACAAGTACAAGCACAACCAACAAAAACTATACAATTTCAAGATCAATGGGCCTTGCATTTAAATGGAATCCGTACATTGTCAACCCAGAAACTCCTCGCGATCGATTTTTGAATATACTTGCGATGTCAACACCTCTTTTATGGACTTACGTCTATCTACGAACCATGATATCTATGCATATTCATTAGAAAAAGATTGTTGACGAGACCGCGACGAAAACTTAATACGCCCCGAGGGTGATTACATTTAAGAACTGAGAACTAAAAAATCATACACATGCATCTTTCGACGGCATCAGCATTAACATTAAGGATGATGATAAACAGCAGCAACATGTTGGATGTCTCGCAAGAGACAATTAATTTCAAAAAATCTTTATTATATTACGAATTCGACTTCAATTTTAGCTGCATGAACAATATCCATATCTTTACTATCACCTGTGCATGTGTACATTTCTCATTCTCACTTAACATGTTCATCTGGTTTGCTGGACATCGACATTAGTCAAATAATACTAGATGCAATTATGTTTTTGTATTTCTATCTTTCTTCCTTGCTATGTGTACGATCAAATATGAGTTTACCTTTAGTGCATGATTTCTCTGTCTGTGAAAATCCTCGCGGTCGTCGCGAAAAAAATTTTCGTACCGTCACTGCAACTACAAGCGCAACGGGGGTCGTTCGCAAAGTGCAATGTAGCTATCTGCATTCGGAGGATGCCCAGCAAGTAGCACCGCAAACAGGTTGGATCGTACCGGGTGAGTTCGTACTGACTGAACGTAAGGGTCTTGTATTTCTCCTGCTCCACGCGAATCACTCGACTCCTGAAAGGCATCAGGTGCACTAGTTGTACCACCACCACCACCTGCAGCTCCACGAGAGCGTTGCTCTTCTCGTGACACCCCTCCATCATTCTCCCGCATCCCACGCCACTCATTTTCTCTTGTGGAAGCCTGTGGACGAGTCGGAGGGTCGTCCTCGTCGTCTTCGTCAGACAATGAAGCATCATGATCCTCGTCAATAAAGCCATAGCCATCCTCTTGTCCAACTTCGACATGATCATGAACTGTAGCACCTTCAGGAGATCCAAATGGGGAACGTGCTGGTTGAGACACACGGGTACTATTGCCACTACCTCCACCAGCGGTAGTAGCTCCAGTTTGAAATTGCTCAACGTTAAACTCGTCTTGCTCTTGTCGCTCACGGCTAGCAATTGTAGTGCTGCGGACATCGTCGAATAGTCTTCTTCTCCCCGGAGACGGGACGATGAATTGCGGTCCATGTCTCGTTTCCTCGTCACTCGACGCGGTCCAGTTCCCTGGCTGCCGACGGCCCCGCCACCGTCGTGAGCTAGGACTTGCTCGACCTGTGGTGCTGTGAGACCTGGTGGCTGTCGGATTAAAAAGGTTGTTCAATGTGGAGGTTGATGTAGGAGCATGGTAGATGCCAGAGTCACTACCTGGTGCGTTAATCGCAGCACCATCCCAAGAGCGAACAACTTCGTTGCCTGCAGCATCACCACCCTGCCTAGTAGTTCCTGATGGTAAAAACGCATTAGCGCCTCCACTTGGAGGCCGCGCAATCTCAAGAGGCCTACTAGATGGCGGAGGTGCTCTACGAAAGTACTTCTCAGACAGCGCCGCGCTAGTTATCTGCAGTCGCCCCAAGTGTTCGCCCTGCACGCCAACGATGTTGACGTGACCTTCGTCCGTGGCTCCCGTGACAAAGCACTTTGAATTCGCGAAGTAGACACTGCGACGGTAGCGAGATGTCACGAGAGGTCGCCGGAATAAATTACTAAACTTGTTGGCAGGCGCATCCGGGTAGCCAACCTGGTACTGCAGCAAGCGCGTGTCCACCCCAGAAGCGAGAAGGAACCGATCGTCAGGTGAAAACGCGCACATCACATTCAGACCTCCAGTATGCAAAGTACAGCAGGGTCGGTCATCGCGTTGCTGTCGCAGATCCCAAAGCTTGCAAGTGCTGTCGAAACTCGCCGTTGCAATCAAATGCGGATGCGTGTTCGCAAACCGGCTAATGTTGATGAAATGCTCGTGCGCACTGTTGATCAGCTGTGACGGGTTTTTAATTTCATTTTTTTGGAAAATGAGGGAATAGCACCAGAAAATTGGAGTAATAAAGCAACTTAGGGTAAAACAGTCTTATGATCGTTTTTGTGGTAGTGATCATATTCATGTTCATGTCCTCATGAATTAGCAATACCTTGATCGGAAAGTTCCTGTTCATGTCGAAAACGCCTAGTTCATGGGTGAAGCCTGAGGCAACAAAGTAGTCGTTCGTGGCATTCGCGGACAAGGAGCTCAATTGGTTGAAGGGTTGATACAAATGTAGTTTCTGCAGGCCACCAGAGGATGGATTCCTCTGGATCATACAGATCGACCCACTATGTGCCGCTCCAATCAAGGCTCTACCGGGAAACAACTGCAACCACGATAGACCAAGCAAAGGATTCGCATCGATAAAAACGGTGTTGCCAACCTGATCGATTTTGATAAGGACAAGAACATCTTTAGTTTTATTTTTTTGCTAGGTTAAGTGCAGCCGGGTCTCGCGTCAGTAGAATCATGACTCATACATTAGTACGATTCGTTGGTGTCTTCATTATTGATGTGCATGTGGTGGAATCTTTTCCAATTTATTGATTGATAGAGACAGACATCACAGATACATAGCTGTGAGTGTACGTACTTACTTAGTTTTCTAAGGCCTCAGCAATAGAAATGTTGCGCAAAGTGTTTGTAGTACCCGTTTGTCCTCCACCATATCCACTACATAGACGCTGCCGTGCTTGTCACCGACCAGCATTAGCCTGTCGGGCGCAACCGGTGAGTACTCAAACTGGCGAGCTTGCTTTGTGGCTTCAAGCACACGTGGCCCGAGCATGCGCGTCTGGGCAGCCGCCAACTGCGCCATCAAATAGTCGTCCTCGGGATCATATTCGTAATTAATTGCGAAGGGAGATTTTTTTCCCGTATCCTCGTTTCGGTAAGATGAACTACGTGATGTTCCACGAACTCCTTCTCCGGAGGCCTGCTGCGAAGCGGCTCGGAAACCAGCCGAAACCTGAGGTGAAGCAGGCTGCGATCGACGACTTCTGCCGACGGGACTGAGGGGTGGGCTCTCGAGAGCTGTCGGCACAGCATGATCATCACCATCCTCGCTATGTGGGTTTGCTCGATTAGCACTACTAGAGTGCAAGCCGTCGGTACTTAATAATACATCAGCTTCGCCGGTACCAACGAAAAGCGTGCCAGGTGTGGCAGTTGCCACTTGACCATCTTCTCTAATCTCCAACTCCAAGTCTTCTCTACGGTCGTCATCGAGCGAAGAAACGACAGCGATGTCATAGTCATTCACATCTCCTGTTCTTGACAAGGCGGAACCACCCGAAGCCAAAACAAAAGAACTAGTTCTATTCATCTCGTTCGCTTGATGTTCTTCCCGAGTATCATCATTCGCAAAAATCCTACTTCTCAATCCGGAGCCGGCGCGAGCGAGGAGCTCGCTTCTACTATTACTCGATGTCCGTGGACCATCTACGTGTTCAACACGAGGACCTCCTCTGCCTCTTGTTCCACCAATTCTAAAATCATCGTCACTGCCAGAAGACAATCCTTCAGCGCTTGAGGTGTACATATCCCTATCTTCGGACCCACTGGCTATTCTAGGCGACGCTAGTCCCGGCGCTTCAGTGTTCCTACGCGCCACACTCTCCACGTTATCGAGCGACCACGCGTAGTAAATGCGACCTCCATCCGATTCCGACGCTGCTGCACCAGGGCCTGACCGCGACCCGGCTGACACATCAATGTGATCATCCGTTGCTGTTCCTGTTGCTTGTTGGTCAACATTATGAGCCTCCACCAGCTGTCCCCGACTGTTGGAATTCCTGAATTGATCAGCTAATGCGAGCTCTGCTAATGATCGACTAGTATCACCGGAAGCGGCTGCAGCGGAAAGGCTCTCTGCTAATCGCGAGGCGGATAAAATCCGCCGTAACTCCTCACTGCGCGGACCCACCGCTGAAGGTGACGCACGTGGCCCCCCAGGTGACGAGCCAGTGTTTATTCCGACACGAACCCCTGTAGAGCTGGTTCGTCTACTCCTTGGAAAAATCGTCAGAACTTCCTCGCGCCCGTTTGTCCTCCCAAGCATTGCTCTCGGTCCATTATTCCCGCCGGTCGTGGCACCTCTGTGGCCTAGCGGTGAACTTCTATCTACAGCAGCTGCCATAGCGCCTCCTCCTGTCACATCCCCTAGATTTGCCCCAGCTTCCACTTCAACCTCCTGCTCTAGCGACGTTACCGAATCCTCGTCGTCCCCGGCTTCAAGAAAAGGGTTGGTCCCGTGACCGTATGGATTCGTATCTTCTGCCTGTTGCTCCATGTGCGCTTCTATTTCGCGCTCCATCATCAGCAGCAATCGCGCCAGGTCTTCCTCGGGTATACCATCGAGTTGCGACGTCAACTCTGGTGCGCTCCGGAGGATGTCCCGGAAGCGCTGCCGCAAATTCATATTCGTCGTAGACGGTGACCTAGCCCGTGTCTCCGGAGGTTCAGCTCCGGGAGACGATCTTGTTGAAGTTGGAACAACTGTTCGAGTTCTGCCTGCGGTACCTGGTGGTCCCGCCACTGGTGCTAAAATTCTAGATATTGTTCTTGTGTTAGCATCGCGAAGGGGGTCTCCGGCAGAACTCGGCCCCGAAATTACCGCATGAACTGCGGTCTCAACCATTACCTCAAGAATTGGTGGATTGATCCGAGCTTCGTCAGTTCGTTCCTCATCATCTTGAGCAGGAGACCCTGGAGAGTCCTGCAGTCGCGGAGCTACTAGTGCTGGAAGCCCTACGTCCACGTCAGGCAAGTCGTCACTAAAGCGACTTGCAAGACTGCTTCGGCGGCTCGCGTGTGCTTCTTGTACTTGAGGACTCACATCGACCTGGACTCGGTGATTCAAAAGTCCAGTACCAGTACCCGCATCTGTTAGAGTTGATCCCTGTCCACCTCCACCTAATGGTGATTCACGATCTTGGTCTTCTAGTGTAGTTGGAGCGTCATCGGTATTTGACGAATGTCCTCCGGGTCGTGGCAGCGGTGTTCTCTCGCCGTCTTCATCTTGAAGTAGATTTTGAAGATGTTGATCCTCTCCGTCTTCGCCCTGGTGCAGTATTCGACTACTTCTTGAAGGCGCTGTGGTCGGATCGCGATCACCAAATGCGGACGCAGCTGACATGTTGTCTAGCATCTGATCTGAGGATATGCAGAAGTCTGCTCCGGAGGACGATGTCGCCACCCGATCTGTTGAGGCCGCAGAGCCAGAAGCCGCCATGGAAAGGGAAAAGGTGCTGGAAGAGGCAAGCGAGGCGCTATCCTCAGCCTCACGCTGTTGCCGAAGTTGATCGTTGAGGAGCAAATCCATGCAGAGCATGGACTCGGGATTCGAGTTCAACGGCTCCATGGGCGAAATGCGAGCAATGCTGCTCATCACAGACAAATCTTCGGGAGAGTCGGGATCTAGAATGCGTGCGTCATTCAACATGCTGAAGTTGCTCGCCATGCTCGTTGTGGAAGCCGCGGCGCCATCTCCTGAATGCTGATTTGGATGTTCTCCGTTCTCCTCTGTCGATGAAACGCCTGCTCTGGCGTGCGCTGCATGAGGGGCTACCACAATCCCGGTATCATCAACAATGGATGACGTACTAGCAAGGACAGGATCACTAGGAGCAGACGCAGAAAAATCGTCAACGCTGGAAACTACAGGTGGAAGCGTCAATCCAGTTGAGCTATCAACTCCCATAGCAGCTCCATCGAAAGACGCTGTAGCTAATTCTGCGATGACTGCGGAAACTGTACTCGTATCTGGCATTTGCGGTGGTGCTTCTCCGTTTTCGATAACAGCCGCTGGTTCTCTCGAGTCCGGCCCTAATCTTTCCGCATGGACAGTAGCAGCACCAGCAGGAGCGGCGCCACTGCGAACTTTCCGGACAGGAGCACTTTTTTCGTTTTTATGTTTGATGACTTCCCTCAGAGGTCGTTTCTGGTTCGCAACAGGACTTCCTCCACTGACCTGGCGTGGTACCCGATGTGCTACTGCTGATTTGGAATCAGCATCGGAGGCACTGGATTCCTCGGATGACCGCCATGAAGAACTCGACGAGGACGCAGCATCGGCGGGCAAGTCAAACTCCTCCGCAGCAGAAACCATACTATCGTCCTCTTGCGACTTGTCCCGCTCCTCCGGTGACTGGAGGTTGAAGCCTCTTCTTGAATCTGCGACATTTTTCCGAGCCTGACTCTGAACAGCATGCTGTCGATCTCTTTTTCTACCAGAACCAGCGGCGCTCGAAGATGGCGACTGGTTATTCGGTGTCGTTTTCCTCCACCTTGCTCCCGATCCTGATGTCGGGGACGTTCTTCCTTGTGCGCCAATCCGCTGTTGAGCACTCGTGGAGGACGCAGCTCTAGCTAGCGCATCTGTCACAGCCGCCGGCCCGTTCTTACTACTGCCCGAAACAAAAGGGGAGCAGCTGCTCCCACCGAAGCTAGTAGAGCCTCGCAGGAGGTCCCGCCGCTGATATTTGGGAGAGTAGAGCAAATCCCTGGTCCAGAAGCAGTCACGGTCGTTTTCTGTGTCCCACCAGAAAGCGGACTCCAGTGAATACTTTCCCCAGTCCTCCCGCACCTCAAATCGCTCTTCCTGACACACAAGCTGCGACCACATCATCGCTGCGCTACTGCTGCTTGTGGATGGAATCACGCTTCGTTTGTTGACAGGAGAAAAGCTGCCGCTAAGTAGATGCGGAGGAAGATGACCTGCGGACGAGGCAGAGGACGCGTTGCTCGACGCATTCCCGCCAGAACCATGACTACCTGCATTCGCAGAGGACGAGTAGGAAAGGTTTCCATCCAGCATACTTGCCGCAAGCTTGTTCTGGCAGTAGCTCATCTGTTCCGCACCGACTGCAGGCCGCGCCAATCGTATCAAGTCTGCGGCGCCTCCTCGTCGCTGCACTAAGACCAGCTCCTCGACAGCACACCAGAAGAGGGACCGCAGCGGCGCGTGAAGATTGTCGTGAAACCCTCGAATTTCACGAACACCACACAGACGGCACACACGGTAGATCAGCGTGGCCAAACTGCGATGATAGCCAATGGGTATGTAGTGCACCTTTGGCCGGCGAACTGTGTTATTGTTCGTCTGCTGCTGCTTCGTCGCCTTCTTTATCCGCATGGATGCGCTACCTTGCGACCACGACGGCGTAGCGCCTAAAGTAGCCGCTTCGCGGCTGTTCGAGCGCTTTGATGAGCTTCTACTGGGAGTTGCTAGAGGCTCTTCGCGAATGTGTCGCACGATGACTAGGCCCTCCCCGGGTCTTATTCGCGGCCATCGTTCTTGGTCCAGGACCAGTCGCGGCGCCATGGTGCCCGTGGAGAGACATTGCCCACTAAATGGCAGCCCGAAGAGCGTTCCAGGACGCATCGGGTGATCCACTACGAGATTCGCTTCTCCCGAAACGTACAGGTCCATGCCATTTGCTCTCAGGATATTTGCAGGGACCTGTCCGTTCTCCACGAAGTTTCGCACAAGCTGCTTCCAGTAAATGGTTGCGGGTCTGTCGCTGGCAGGAAGGGAATAGAACGCTTCTTTGCGCGCGACGGGCACGCACAGCTGCATCGTGTAGGCCAAGTGTTGCCACAGTTGTTGCGCCTCTTCGCGCGAGACAGCCTTTCCGAAAACTGCAAAGAAGCGGCCGAGAGACCTGAGATCCAACCACAAAGCGACGCGCGCCCAGAGTGGGAAACCATAGAGCAAGTCAACTGGAGCGATATCCGAAGATCTACTGGCAGCTTCAGCTTCAGCGTGTTCTTGCTGCTGCTGCGCGAGCGAGAAGTTTAGGACATCGAATTCCGACGAAGAGGACGGAAGATCGACGACTCCAGCTGCTGCCAGATGCTTCAGACGTGAGTAAGGAGAAAACTTGTTCGCACCTGGGAAACTCCCGAAAGCGCCGGCGCTAGGACCCACCAGATTGAATCCGAGAGGACCACCAGAATGCGCACCGGAAGAAGCGCGCATGGTCGGAAGAAGTCCCGAAGAGAAGCCTCCCATTCGAGTAGACCCCGAAGAGCCGATTCCGCCGCTACTTGTTCCAGAATCTCTCTGCATGCTTGAAGAGCTACTGCCTCCTCCACCATGGACACCAGAACCTCCTGCTCCTACTCCTGCCAGAGTATTTATCGAGTTATTGTTCACGTAGCCGACGCCCATCAGGTCCTCAAATGTCTTGCTGACATTCACCCTCTGCCGCATGCTGCTGTATCTCTGTCCGCTCGTGGTGCCATCCGGCGACCCAGCATTCAACGTCGGCCTAGTGGGTGGCGGAACTACTGGCGCAGCGCCACTGCCTCGACGACGCGGTAGCTCATCCGGCACATTGGACGGACTGCTCGGAGTCGAACTGGTGGTGATATCCGCTGGTCGTACGCTCTTTATGCCCTCGAATGACCGCGCACCTCGAGGCGCTAATGGCGTCGTATCGTAAATCGAGGAACCTTGTCGGCTCCCGAGTCCACTGCCAGCGGTTGCCGCTATCGACGACGTGCTATCCGCGGAAACTGGCGTTGTATCGTAAATCGACAGACCCTCTTGTGAGCGCAAACGCACGACAGCACTGGTAGGAGGTGGTCTTTCCCCTTGTTGTACCTGAGCAGTCGTCTCGTCAACAGCGCACCCCGTAGCAGGTGGCGGAGAGTCCAAACTCACGCTCTCTGACCTCTGTGGTCTTGTTCCTGTAGTCCCGGAACTATGATTCAGTTCTGAAGCTATGCTTGTCGACTGCGCTAGAGACTGCAGCCCACTGGAGAGACATGACGAAGCAGTGCTACCGAGAGCAACCGGCGTCGTAGTTGAGGCTGTCGAAAACGACGGCTCGATTTTGTCTGCCTCAGTTGCATCAGGCGCATGCGGAGTGCCCTCCGAGCCAGCAGGGCCACTAATGGACGTCTCTCGAACTGAAGACCCCGACATGATGCGTTGTCGAGTCGTGCGCGCCGTAATATAAGCCTGCTAAGCCTTGTTGCAGTCGTGAGTAATCATACCTGTAGACTCGCGCTCTTCAACGAAATAGCCATAGCCATCTCCCCGGTCATACATCCGCGCCCTACCCTTACCGACCCTATTTCCAGACCTACCTGACGCTAGTTCTTCCTACCGTTTCATTGTAAGTAGAACAGCAGGTGCAAGTGGTTACAACAAGACGAAGATGTAAGTAGTCGTCTAGTGAGCGTGATAGTAATCATAATGATCTCGTCGTCGTCGTGACGTCCTTCATAAAAAAATAAAAAGTCCACCAATCAACAAGTCAATATCTGTTCCAGGGTTCAGGGCAGCGGCCCCCCTCCAGCGCGGGGGGGGGCGTGGAGGATTCCCGGGCTCCTTTTGGAGGCGTCTGCAGGGGGTGGAAGGCTTCCAAAGGGGCCCAAGGGGCCTCCTCCGCTCCCTTCCAGCGGCCTGCGTGTACCCTACAGCCCTCCGATGTGCTGGCCCCTCGCCGCAGCAGCAGGGTGCCGGGTGCGGAAGGCCTCCGAAGGCGGCAAAAGGCGCAAGACTGGACCCCCTGAGCCGGGTTGCCTGTACCCTCCGGGCCCTTGGTCATCGGCCTGCTGGCTCTTCCCGCGCATTTGATGAGGGCAACCCAGCAAAAGGGGCCAGGCCTCGAGACCTCCCGCCTGCGAGGGTCGGCAGAGGCCAGGACGTCTGTCGGGAACACGCAGAGAGGCGCAAGGGGCCGCCCGCTCCCAGTTTTGACGCCTTCCACACGGCGAATCCGCGAAATGCAGCGCGGAAAAGAGCGCGCAAGCGCCACCACAGGGCCATCCACAGGGGAGGGCGTGCGTCCCTATATCATTTATGGCAAGGAATTCGACACAAGTGAAGTGGTGGCATATCATCGCTCTACACTTTCTGTCGTGACACTCTTCCTTTTCTGCTGCGCGACCGATACTGATCTACCGATAGCGATACTGCTCTTCTACTCCTGCAAATTACCAACTGAGAGAGAGAGAGAGAGAGAGAGGGACCAAAAGTAGGAAACTAGAGTATTAGGTACGTCATCATGGGTAAATGGTCAAGATCGTCGTGTTGTATGAGATTGAGAATCGAAGACCGAAAAAATATTCACTTTATCCTGTCTTTCCGTAGCCAAGCTTCTGCTTGCATGAGAGCCCATGCTGGCAATTTGTCTTGAGAGTATCGATATGAGCAGTGCCGACATATGTATTGACCGAGTTCTCAAGAACGCGTGAAGTATCTTGACCGAAGCGGAAATAAGCGGACACACGGGAGATCGAATTCATGATAACTGTAGCTGCGATGTGCAAGATGAATGTTGCTGAATTGGACACAACCGAACCGCAACCTTGGGGGTAGAGAAACGAAAAACCGGCGATCGCTTTCGTCAAAATGGAGTGCGAGTGGAGAGACAGAAGGGTGGACTTGCTTCTTGCGGTTTGATCATGATATGGGCTGTTGCGCATTTGGGAAAAATGATGCGGCAATGATAGATATAATTGGTTTGACCGCATATACCACACTGCGAATACTACACGACGCGCAAACTACTTTCAACAACTTCTACTAGGAGAAGATGAAGTACGACTGGTCTTGCCAGAGATCACACACAATTCCGGAGACAATTGTCCCCTGAAAAAAATGCTCGTTAGGCACCATTTATCGCGGGATCCCTCACCATAGACATATTCGTGAGTAGCGAGTCCAATTGTATGCTGCTGTGGCATCCCTCAACGGCTTTACAATTTGCTTCCGCGAGAAGGCGAAGATACTCGAATTTCTGAAATTCGGGACAGTCGTAGCTCTTTATGCACCGACCGAGAACTTGTAGTACATGCTCAACAGCGTATCCCTTGTCCACCAGTCCGTTCTGGTAGTTTTTTTAATGTTACGAGTGACGAATAGGTGGAGAACTCAAACTCAATGAACAGCAATTATACTTATAATCGACTCTTAGTTATTGAGATGCGTAGGGTAGTACGAGGAAAAGCTTCATTCCAGCAAAATCGAGATATGTATCTCCAAAAAATGGCGTACCAACTTTGCGACGCCAATATCTGCCCGCGCTTTTGAAATGCATTGGAGGGCTTGATTCACGATGACCGGGTTCGGTACGTCGCACACACGATAGACATTGTCGCGGTTCACTAGGCCAAAGCCCGCATGGGCACTCTGTAGACCGTTGATCGCAATACGCATATCCCCGTCGGCAATGAAACTCAGTGCGCGTATGCCATCCTCCTCTGCCTGAACACCTTCCATAGCGATAACTTTCCGAAGCCTTGCCTCTACCTCTTCCGATTTGATCTTTCCAAAACGCAAGATAGCACAACGCGACTGGATCGCCTCGATGACCTTCATCAAATCCAAAATCGATTGAAAATCAATCGACAACGAAATCGCTTCCAAATCTGAGCACATAACTTCTACTCTAGAACAAGAACTGCTGTGGATACTTTATTTCATACCAGGCAACATATTAAAAAAAGGAAATGTTCTTTAGATTTCTTAGGCTGTGCTTCAGATGTTGTTCGTAGACACATTTCCATAAGTCGTTGTAACTATACCTTCGTACTAATATTGCATGCCAGCGCGAACTTGGTATGCAGAGCGTATTCTTCCATAATGACACGTAATGCTTGCTGTGCTGATGTAGTCATGCTATCTACTTCGTCTAGAATCACTATCTTCGCAAGTCCTGGAGGCAGGTTGAACTTCGAGCGCGCGAACGAATGAATCCTCTCTCGGACAACATCAATACCACGCTCATCCGACGCGTTCATCTCGAGGACGGCAGTCTTGCATAGCCTGAGGTGGTGGGTGATATGTCGAAGACAATAGAAAGTCGTGGTAGAAAAAAATCTCCAAATAACTTCGATGCCTTCCACCGCGTCGCAAAGAACGGGTCTAGACTAAGATCAAGATAATGATACGCTCTTGCAGCCCCTTCATCTCCGCGGAACCACCATCGACTAATTGTAACTAGAGTAGAACGTCGCTAAATGCTCCTCACAACAAGCGACATTAAAATACGATCGTTAGAAGTACTCCGGTCCCAGGATTTGCTTTGCAAGTGCATGTATGCAGGTATTAAAGGTCAGCATTCGTTGGTCACTGACTCTGAACGGGAGGGACCCCTCATCTCTCTCCTGTGTTTTCCCTCAGTCGCCCCCTGTTCTCTCAAGGGGGCCCTCTTCGATCTCGGTGACCCCAATTAATCTAAATGGTGACCAATGAAAGTTGAGCCTTAAAGGTAGTCTTCCCTACACCTGGAGGCCCACAGAGCATGAAGTTGGTCATTCGACTCGGGTCTCGCCGGATCACATCAAGTTGGTGGATGAAGTCCTGGTTCCCAACGATATCTTCAAGTGTCTGCGGCCGGTGCTTCTCCAGCCAAATGGTGGAAGAAGAGGAAGAGCTAGATGAAGACTCGACAGACGACGACATTTTTCTGCTTTCGTTGAAGATCAGGGAGAACGAAGTGCTAGAGGTACGAAGCTGAAACAAGCCATGAAATGCTGGAATTGAAAAAACAATGAAGGCTTACAACTGTATCTTCAATTGTATAAGTACAACTTATTCCACTCAACATTAACCTATCTTTTCTCGTCGAAGTTTGAAAACGTGGAAGCGCCCGCCGAAAAAACCAAAAGCGTCAAAGCTGTGGGTAAGTCTAGAATCTGTCGAAACTGTTCTATGCAGTTTGTCACGTTCATCAGTGTGCTTGCACCTAAAAACTCACCTATTGAGTAGAAGACGTTTTGATCCAGCATCGCCAAGCAGACTTGCTGTAAGAGATCAGTCACACTCACACGCAGTCGTGGCACAGGAGTAGTTTAAGTCGGGATCATGATCACATATGACTTATACAGTCGCAACACTTTTCTTGTGGGTTCGAGGAATGAAGACGGGCAGCTTACCGAGGTGTCATTCGTGCATGACCATAATTCAGCGTTTCACTGACCACATCCAGGTATGGCTCCAGCTGTTGGTAAGATATCGTGGAGGACCATATCGCTCCACCTGGTGTAACGCGCCCGGCTTTAACTTTATGATACACCTTCAAAAAGCATACTCATTTTTGACACTTTCACACGTGAGGTCTCGTTTCTTCTGGTCGTCTAAGTGCCATTAATACTAAACGGAATGCGGTATAATACATCGTGATACCAACAGGAGCGTGCTCATCTATGAGTGCCATGCTGCGATCTTTGATTGTTCATCTACAACTAGAGCAAGGTGTAGGACTACATGTACATGATAGACGACCAAAATGGAGATCATGCCTTCAGATTAGCCTAAAAGCCGACGGTACGTCTTCCCATTGTCTACGACGGGTACGCTGACCGTGGTCAGCGTCCAAAAAAAATCTGCGAATATGATCACTCCACCAACTAGAATCACTCCTACTTAATCTGAAGAAGCAATGTCTTTTTCTCACCCCGTCTTCTGTCTTTTCGCCTCTGGTTCTGGTGGTTTCTCAACTTTCTGCGACTCCGTGAAAACGGGGTTTAGCTGTTGAGACACGCGAATAAAGCTGGTCCGCCTTGAAAGCTCCCGAAGCTCCTTCGCTCCTACGAATGCTTAGATAAACTCTCCGCTTCATGTTCATGTTCATGTTCCTGCTACAACTAGCTACTTATACCATAAAACAATGCATGGAAATGGATGATGTTTAATCAGTATTTCAATTACAAAGAGAAAGAGAAAACTGTATCATTCAAGCATCTGAAAGGTAGGAATTCGAGAAATTCTGCGAAAAAGAACAACGCAAAAACCAACGAGATGAATCTATTGGTATCGTCGCTAGCCTTAATACGTGCATGCGGAGCGCAAGCCTCCTAGGATGTCCTGTATGGTGCTCTGCACAGGTCCGCGATATGGGACACGAACGGTCTTGCCCTCCGAACTTCGGTACTCCGCGACACCGCCAGCATGCTTTTGCATTGCCGTATCCGATGACATCCCATAGAAGATCTTGTGGAAGACACCTGATGGACAAAGAGATATTAGGAGAAAAAAATAAACAATGGTGCGGAAAACCTCGAGCTACTTGTTGCTTCGAATCCCTGAACACGCAAATTACAATGATCGAGACCTGATGAGCTAATCACTATCTGAATCTGTTACCGGGCGAACTTTCTGTGACAGTTCCACCGCTTTCATCGTGGCCTGCCAACATCCCGCCAAGCATGACGAAATCGGCCCCGGCGCCAAATGCTTTCGCAAGATCTCCTGGGCATGTGCAACCCCCGTCAGAGACTATGCGTCCTCCCAATCCGTGCGCAGCATCAGCGCACTCCATCACAGCAGAGAGCTGGGGATAACCGACGCCGGTCTGTTTTCTGGTTGTGCACACGGACCCTGGTCCGATTCCGACCTTGACAATGTCAGCGCCACTCATAATCAGTTCTTCCGTCATCTCCTGCGTAACCACGTTTCCCGCAATTATTGTGTGGCCCGGATACCTAGGATTTGATACTGAAGATTTCCCTGTACGTAGTTACAACGCATACATTTTTGTTGATCGCTTGTCTCGACGGCCCAGAGGAAATTCGAAGTTCTTCTTGATATGCTCTTTTGGCCACGACAAAATCATCATCGTTCCACTATTGTTCAAATTCAATACTTGCAAACCAGTTACAACTGAGCAGTGATCGATACTTTTTTCGCGCATCGCGGATGAAGTTCACGAATGGCTCTGCGTACCCATTTGCAACGTCTATGCAGATGAAACGAATCTTTGGAACTGCCTTCAATATCGAATCCAGCTTCTGCATATCGGCGGCACTAATTCCGGTCGAAGCTGCGATATACTTGCAGAAATCTGCATCCTTGTCAGCGACAAAACGTTCCCTGTAAGATGACGTAAGCAGTACTAAGCACGACGTAAAAAATGTTGATGTTGGAGACGAGTTCCTCCAGTAATGTTCATGTTGTAGACCTAGACGAGGTCAAGTCTTTTATTCATTCGACGAGCAATCGCAATTGATTTTGTTTGTTTCTTGGAGGAGTTTGTTGAATTCTTTAACAATCGCTATTTTTGGTTGTTTTATAGAGTGCCTCTTCATTTGAATTTGTGGTGGAAATCAAGCAAACGAATTTGCATGTATCGTTGACCTACGCCACGACGAGTCACAACTTTGTAGCAATACAAAGTGGTTCACCTGCAAGTGGTCGTAGTGAAACAACTACCATTCCGCCACAGTATAGTGCTTGTGTACCGCGGTAATGACTTTACGAGCTGCGAGAACATTCGCCATTTCGAACGTACCGACCGTATCCATGTTGGCAGCGATTCTTAGAAGTTCATCATACTAAGTCCGTTACTACCACCTTGTCGTCCTTTCATTCATTCTTACGCTTTTTAGTTATGGTGGGTGACACACTAGGACTAGTTAATGCCTAGTACTTCGTAAACGTAATTGATAGTCGTCCTTGTTCTATTTCTTCTAGTCGAAGTTGATCTAGTACATTCGAAGTTGACATTACTATCGGCACACCAGTCGTCCATTGTCCTCGAGGTCATAATATTATCGGCACACCAGTCCATTGGGCCTTCGAGTGTTTGAAGGTAAAGCTGCGGTCCACGGAAACCTGAGATCGCGAACTCAAAAAGGACCGCTTTGGACGTATGAGGACGTCCTTGAAGTCCAACTTTACATCATTCTCAATCGTCGGCATCTTCTTGCTCTTGTTGAAGTTGTAGATGAAGCAAGTAGTGCTTGTATGATGAAGTAGAAGCTTACAACGAACGATTTTTCAGTTTCTTAGTGATAGTGTAATTTTCTTAGTGATAGTGTAATAATTGATCTTTTTCATCAGGCGAAGTTGTGGAAGTCGATGCTCTGAATCTAAAAAAGCCTTTCCTTAATAGCCGTACTATTCACATTGCATTCATTCACTCACTCGTTCTCACAAGTAGAGAGAGTTTGCGCATTGATGAAGCCACAAAGCAGAGCTAAACTCCATCTCTCGGATGCTTTTAACTACTGATTATTTTCCGCTCTCGACAAGCACCTTAACGTTATCCACAGCGCGCAAATCGGTACCAACACAGCGGGAGAAGTCGGCGCGGTAGAAAAAACATTTCATTCTACTTCATGTTTCCCAGCGTCAATCGGATGAAACTCGTGTTGTGCAGCTCGCTCTAAAGTTCCGTCGCGAGCTCACTGGAAGAGGAAGTGGAACATTCAAGAGATTAAATAGTTCACTCCTCAGAACAAGGCCACTGTTAATTCTAGTAGTAGTAGAGACGTGAATAGAAAAAGAAACAGCTGCAGAATAAAAAATCTACCAAGGTGGTACTTCTTATCATCTTCTACTCCTAATACATATTGAATATTACTAAGTAGGCGCCGTCCTTTTCGTAGTCATGGGAGCCCCAAAGGCCTCCCATTGTTCTAAGACTACAGGCCGGCTATCAAAAAAACACATCAGCTACACCTGCAGCCAGCAACGTAAATAGATCGTAGTGAAGAAACGGGCATCCACATACATCTTTTTTACCACGAACGATTCGAGTTCATTTGATACGAGCATACAAAGTCGTAATAGTAATTGTACATTCTACCACCTCGTGTTTCACTTTCTTCACACGAGAGCGATTACGCCGTCGCCCTCGCCGAGGACAAAATTTCGGTTTATAGTTCTGAAAATAAAGTGTGTGACAAAAATTTTAGTCTTACAACGAAGATTCAAGAATAAGAATGTTGTCGGTCATCGTGTGCGTGTCTAATACTGTGAGTGTGTCATCAACATCATCAAGCCACAGTAGAAACGATAACCAATGAGCACACTACTTTTTGCAAATCCTTCTATCCTTCTCGTTATTGAAATATCTGGGTTTCCTTCTCCTCGACTGCGAGGGCTACATGAGCATAAGCGGGGCCAGCACCTGGGAAGACAGAAAAAGCATGCAGGGGCGTGAGTGCACTAATACCTCTTACTTCATCTCGATTTTCGCTGCTTGTCCTCTCCACATTCTCAACAGCGGATGAGTCATCCCATACAACAAGCCTTGTCTCCTTGTGTATACGAAAATCGTCAGACGCATAACTGATGCTCTCCGTAAATGGATCACTCAGCATTTCCCATAGCTGCTGGGGCGACAGAATTTGCGTAAACAACGCTTCTATCGGTTCCTGTTCATTTTCTCCCAAAGCTTTATCTTGAACTAGGTCAGGGTAAGAGACTACTGGTCGCGGCTCCACTTCTGAAGAAGCAGCATGAATATGAAAAACGTCATTATCTTCTTCAACTTCATGGAGTCGTAGATCTCCAGCGGAAGCTCGATCATGGCTATTTGGTTTTCTTTCATGAGGAAGGTTTCCAGGTGAAAAAGGTCCAGACGTTGTAGAACTCCTTCGGTTCTGGTTGTTCACCCGCAAAGCTTTAACCCCGTGCACCTTTTTGCCTGAGCAAGAAAAAGGCGCCCCCGATCCTTCGAACCTGCACTCCCGCGTTAGTGCGTACTGCAGTACGACCAGCAACTGCCAGTCAGCACATAGCTTCAACGTAGGAAGCTCAGTTGACGACGAAGAGCCTTGTCCTTCATCTACTCCTGAGACACCAGCGCGGCTGCAAAGCTGTTGTGCACTGTGCCTGTAGCGCACTTGACGTGCTGATTGTGGTTCTTCATCTAGATCATAAGAATCGACCTCGTCGCGGTCGTGAGGGTGGTCCTCGAGATGCTGATTGAGGTTGTGACCATGCATATGCAGATGATGATCTCGACGAGGATAATTATCGAGACCACGACCCTTTTGACTGCTCGTTGACATGGAGGTTCTTGTGTAGCTCATGGGAAGGGCACCAAAGGTATCGACATTCTGGTCATGCTGATACAGCCATCTCCCCGTTTCAGGGTCACACACTTGCGAATGCGTCGGATAGATTTCTTGTCTCAACTGCTCGTCGTTAGAGCTTCCACGTTCGCATCGGCATCTACCTTGAGAGTCATAAGTATCCTTGGGGGCTTCTTTTTCGAGTAGAAAAATTGCCACGACGGATGTTCATGTTGGTGCTGAGGAAGATGCTTGCCAGGGACTATTCTCCCCTTAAAAACTCCATATTTCTCCAACCTACTGTCATATCGCCACTCGCTTGCATCAAGAAAAGGATAAATGCAGCTCCAGCGGCACTCAACACGTTCATTCGGACGGGTATATAAAAGATTTAAATCATCATCTTCTTGTTCTTCATTTTGATGTAGTTCTTCATCATCATGCTCTTGTTGTTCTTTTTCTTTATCATTGACTCGCGGATGACCTCCTGGCTCGACACGACTGCTGTCAACATCATGTCGTTGATCATCAACAGGCACATGTTCTTGTTCACCATCGTAATTTTCCAGTCCTCTCTTTGTATCACTTATTTCAGCAACGCAATTCGGACCTTCAACATTCATGCGCCTGTCGTCAAACACATCGCTTGCAATTCTTTAAATTTAAGTTTCATGTTGGTCTGCTCTTGCACTTTGTCTTGCACAAGCGAACCGCCTCTAGCCCTGCTCCTTGATGTTAGTGTTAGTCCTCCTCTCTGAACCTCGTCTGCCTTGTGCAGCTGTTCAACAACATCTTGTAGTTCAACATATTCATCCACCTCGGGTACTAGAGTTAGTACTGCTTGTATTTCTCCGTGACCGTACATTACTTCTTCGTGCACTAGTTGGTCATGCTTCAAAGAGCTTCTTGCTTCAGAAGCAGGCCAAGCTGCACTGAATGCCGAAATTTCAGCTTGCGTCTTTCCTTCTTGATCATCAACGTCGATACCAACCTCCGCGTTTCTTAGAGGCACCGCAAAAGAAAAAAGTATCTTTAATATATTCCATCTTATACCAAAACCCCACGGACATCTATTTCTAAATCGAAATGAAATTAAACATGTTGCTCATCTCCTACAGGTAAGTACTCTTGATGTAATCACAAGGACATCTTTCAGAAGTTATTGCTTACTGGTTTATTAGCTATACATAGCTTTTTGGACCCATGACAAGGAGTTGCTGAAAGATGTGCTATTCTTTTAGTACTTCTAAAGTGGACTCAATGTGCGGATGTTCGTAAATCCCCTTCGACTCCGACACGAAAAAAAGCAGGTATACCGTTCCCAATGCTGGCTTCTTTCTTAGACAAACTTGCTATTTCTGAGCGCTCGTCTTCTTGTTGGTCAAGAGTTGCATCTCCTTCATGTTCAATTCTGGGCACCACATGTGTACTGAATGGATCATCTCGTCTGCTATAGTTCGCCTTAGACTTGGTGACGGTTGAAAGGATCTCCTCAGCGTCGCGTAACCGGATCCATCTTGGACAACCTCTTCTCCTGTTATCGTTAGAACTATCAGTAATTCGAGGTCTATCCTCGTTGTTTACGCAGAAGATGAGCTTTAGGGGAGGAACAAAACAGCAAGAGGACATCTTCAGAGATGTGAGACCTGAGAAGTGTGACTTCCACCACTGAAGATACTTATATTTGCATCAACTTTGCAAGAAAAAGAAGTCTTAAGCTTGTTCTGGCGCAAGTCGCTGGCTAGGACCTGCTGTGGTGCGAAAAAGCAGGCACAGAGAAAGAAGACAACTACGTTTGCCTCGGCGCATCTACAGGCGCACGCTATCATGGCTATAATGCGTTTGTTCTTCAACAGATGCATCTCTGTGTTCGGCATTTATGTTCGTATCGATGCGTATTGCAGTAAACATGAAGAATTTTGAAAATAACAAGTACCTACACGTATCTATGAAAAATGTCGTCGTGATCATGAATGATTTTACAATGAATAACAATTACAACGCTTAGGCTTAGGTTTAGGTACTACTTATAAAAAAACATTATCATTATCGCAATCGTCAACACTTTCAATCATCATACGTTCGAATCAAAGAGAGTAGACGTGTTGAAGACATCAACGACGCCGTAGTGATCGACAACGCCGATGCAGAAAAACTCTAGATACTCCAGAATGGAGTCGAAACGCTTTGCTTTACCTGTAGTTCAATGTTTGTAAGAGGGGAGAAAAATTAAAATGGGTCATGATTGAAGATCGATTTGCAACAGGAAACAAACATCTTCCACCGCGTTTTTTAGGAAAGCAAAGTCGAAAGATATACCTTTTCATGCAGCCAAAACATCACATCATGGCACACGAACGATTAAACCAAGGCACCACTACATTGAGAAACAGGATCGCTGGTGAAAGGATCCTTGTCTACTTCACATCGTCATCCACATGAACACGCGGCATGAAACGGTCCTCGACGACTTTTTTCACGGAACGGAAATGACTATAATGATGACAGACAAAAACACCTGTTTTTTGGTTGAACGGGGTTACATCAAACAGCACACAGTACAATCCCCGATGCTGTGACCCTGTGTGTTGTGACTGTCCTGTTGATCAGAGTGGAACACTGAGAGTACTTCATCAGCTGGCGACTCGTTTCCTCGCTGCAATTCATTACCACTACCGCCAACGCCACGTATAATCACGCGCAAGCAGTGCTCCTCGAGTACTCACTAGCTAGAACAAGACCTGTGCATCTCCCTGCAACATCATACCGAGCGGTCAAATAGTAATAGATGAGACCACGTCGGACCGTGGACACGCATTTGAATTGTTCACGACGAAAAGAAAAACTAGCTCAAAAACTTTCATCAGCATTCTCAAATCGAAATAGATAAAACTTCGATGGTAAACATTGATCAAATAGACTAAATAATTGCTTGTGTTTCATCTGCTCAATACTCTTACTCATACTCATAGGGTGAGAAACAAAATCGAAAAAGTCCACAATCAGAACCAGTGGAGACTACTCGTAGTTCATTGATGGAGTCTGTGTCCTGTGAATCGCATTAAGCTTGCTAGGATGCAACAATAATTGATATTTCATACTACTAGATCATCATCGTGTTCATTTAATGTATGCAAAGAAGTTCTGTTATAGTCATTTCACCCTCCCAACCTCATTGTCATTGCGTTTTTTCACTCATATTCGTCGTGATGAGCACGACTCAACGTAACGGTAACCAGACGCAGTTGTATTATTAAATTAAGTACTCTGACATGTTTGTGTCTGATAAGTTGCCTGTTTGTAGTACCTAACTTCAAAATTGAATTTTTTTGAAATATGCAAGACGCCTACACTCATATGTTATCTTGGCCTTAGTGTTAACAATCCCCCCCAGTGGTATTGGTAACTAATATGCGAATAGCCCATGCAGTGATGTTGATATTAGGAAGACCACTCTCAATGATACGCTAGTCAGTAGTCACTACCTTTATCTCCTAAGTCTCGAGCAGTTCTTGTAAGCGCTCTAAAAGTTTTCTGGTCGTTCAAAGGGCACCTTTATCGTTGCCCTAGGTGCTAGAGGAATCGTGGGATGTTTCTCGAGGAGAACAGAGGGAATATTGTATTTGCCCGGACCCGGTTCGTCGGCGCGCTGCTTGCGGCGCAACTCCTCCATATCGTCCGGAGTGAGTCTAAACTTGACCTCCATAGTGCGTACGCGCGAAGGGTCGTCATTGTGCGTTGGCAACGTGTAGTGCCCTGGGCCAGGATTTAGGAAATTGTTGTAAAGATTGGTGGCTCCACGCCTTGAGAAGATCGAGAAACCTCGAGAAGGCGTCCGCAGTGGAAAAGGGTGGTAGTCGGGGTAGCCGTAATGACCAGGCCCAGGTTGTCGTTTGGGCCCACTCTCGTTCAAACGGCCCGTGTCATAATCGTTGAAGCGTTCAGTGCCCGCGAATATCTTCGTGTGCGTAATATACGGCTCAGAAACGTAGCGAATGCGGTCTTTATAGGTATGTCCGGGAGCTGGATTATCTGCGCCAGGAACAAGCGTCGAATTGCGAAGAAGTCTGCAGTTTTATTAACATGTTTCATCGAAAATGATAATGAGTCCGAGTCCCATTTTTAATATATCATTTAAATGAATGCTGTATTCTGTAATAAAGAGGTTGTACCCGACAGTCCATTTTGGTGGCCTTTTTTGATGTCCACCGTGCTTGCGGGAATAGCCGTAGTAGGCAGGCACCGCTGGCCGGTCATGAGAATCCCAAAAGGCTTCGCGTGGTTTCGGTGCATGCCACCTCCCTCCGAGCGACCAGCGTGGTGGCGTCGCGTAGTACGCGTAGTAGGAGAAGATCTGATCGTAGGTTTCGTGTTGGCGAACGCGATTTCGGACTGCTTGTGGGAGCTTGTCTCGCACCTTGAAGAGAGACTTTCGCCGCTTGCACCGCTCTTCACAGATGCGGGCGCCTGCACTTTTCGGCCGTTTCCGCGCAATCACAGGATACACGCTTTCTCCAAAAGGAATGGGCCCACCGCTGCCCGTCAAGAACCGGTTCAAAATTGACTCTGGCAAGTGGGTGAAACGGTCCATTTCGGGGCCAAATAGTGAGTGTGTAGGTCCGCGTCTTCCACTTGGGGATGCACAACCTCTTTGAGCAGGGCCATGAGAACGCAAACCTGCACCTGAATGGTCCGGACGGTCGCTGCGTGGTGCGTGAGCGCTAAAGGGTCGCCGTCTTGACGACGTTGCTGGCGTGCTAGTCGTGTCTTGGTATGATCCAGAAGAGGTAAAATTGTAGTACTCATCTTCAGGATTGAGCAGTTTCGTAGGACTACTCGAGGAAGAGAATGAGTGATGTCTTATCAAACCAGGTTGCGTCTGTCCATCCGAACCCATGCGAGCCGTTGGAGGTGCATGGTGGCTACTTCTGTCCCGCTGCGTGGTCGCGCCACTTCTCGCTGAAGACTGAGCCGAAAAACAATCCGAAAAACAGCCCAACGTTTTCTCAGCATGCTCAACCACGGCTTCGTCGATTGCGCTCGTCACAATCTCAGCACTAGCTTCTCCTAACATGTTCACATTTTCCACCGCTCTTTGTCCTTGTTCGTCTAGCTCACGACCATCACGTACTTTATTGCTCCTCGAAGATGAAGAAGATGGCTCTAGCACTTGACTTCCGTGGTTTTCGTTCCCTGCGTCATGTGCTCCCGCTCCTGAAATAATCAATTCACCTGTTGCTGCTCCTACATCTACAGCTCCTTGCCCTTTACCTTGACCATCCACTGCTGACACACCAGGTACTTCAACTTTTGGCTCTGTTCCCCTTCCCGACTCCCTCTGAGATAATTCTAGTACATGAGATTCTTGACGAGCAGCCTCATCATCTGTAGTGGTTTCCTGACAGCTCGTGGAGCTCTGCGGCGCTTCGACCGTGTGAACCCCATCCCTGAGTCGCGATGTGTAATCGCCATGTACATCTGTGAAGAAGCGTCCCGCTATCGAGAAGCCACGCGCGCTGTAGGTACAGGACGACGCGAATCCGGAATGGGAAGAAAACGCTGAGCCGCACGGTTGCTTTATGTGCGTCAAAACTCGCAGAACGTCCTCAGAATCCGGCACACTATGCCATATTTGTAGAGCCGTTGACGATGAAGCCGCTGTCATTCCTCCCCGTAGTGTCACATCTCGCTGAAATGATGGAGAACTCGCGCCGCGCGCTTGTCCTCTCCTACGCGTACAGCCCCTCCTGCTCCTCGCTCTTGTATCCTCCATGTAACCAGCACTATGATCATCATCCTCTTCATAGTATCGGTAGTCTGCGTAAATTTTTGCTTTCGTTAGTGGAGAAAGCACTCCACTATGAAGCGCTGCAGCTCGAACGCGTCTTGCGTCGAGTGCGCCTTTTCCCCAGCGACTTGCGGATACGGGTCGCTGTCCATGTGCAGACACGCTGCGTCGCTCTGTCTTGCTCCCGGATTTTGCAGTTGCAGTGCTAAATGATGAGGTTGCAGCAGCTGGTGCTGGACTCCCGCGTACCATTGCAGAATGAGACCTCCTTTTATTTGACCTGTCACGTCCACTACTGACGCTTCGCAGCCGGTTTCTCGACTTCAGGTGATTCAGCTCTAACCTCCTGAAACTTTCTGCAGCTCCAACGGCTTCAATGTCCTGCGTCGTCCAACTTGTCATACTCGATAAACGTTGCCCCAGTTGACGTTTTGCACCACATGATGACGCTGGTCGTTTCCGTCCCACTGGTGCGCGCTTCAACCCCGCAGGTGCCGCTGAGCATGGGCGCAGACGAGTTGTGATGGAGAGCGGCGATCCATCTGATTCTTTGCGTAGTATCGGAGACGATTGTGGCCGCTCCCTTGACGCGGCCCTTGCTTCAGCATTTTCCGACCGTAATGCATCTCCATCACTTGCGCCATACTCAGTAGCTCCCTCTTCGCCTCTGAAGACTTCAACGTCTGACGATGTTGAGACGGGACGTCGTCGTTGCCATCGACCTGCATTACTTACGGATAATGGCCGAAAAGCTGCAGATGTGGGCCGTGCTGTAGACACCGCAGACCAAGGCCTACTACCAGGCGCGCTACCACTCGCCATAGAGTAGGACCCGACAGTAGTAGCAGTTCCGGGGCGACTCCTGGCATCCTCATCACTCAAGTTTTCGGGCTCTGTAGTCGGTGCTCGATTGAATGCAGTACGCCGCCCACAAAATGCACTCCTAGGACGAGTAGGGATGGACCCCTCTGCATAATAAGGCTGCGATGGTTTCGCAAAGCCAACGCTGGGTGCCGATTTTGGGCGCAATCCCTGCGCTCTGGGAAGCAATGCGTTTTTTGATTGAGCACTTTCATTATCTGAAGGATTCCAACCATCTGCCTTCGGTACCTCCTCGTCATCTCCATCCGTATAGACACCGTCACTAGATTTTCTCACTCTACGATCGACCATACCAATCGCCATATACATGCGTCGTGCACTGAGGTACATTTGCCGGACCGAGCTGCGTGCATCAGCAGCAGCCTGTGCCTCATCAACACGAAACTTTCGGCTCTTACGCACTTCTACTGCACGTCCTCCAGCTCGGAACGCAGATGCCATCGGTTTTCTTTCCAACATGTTTCTTGTGTGACTGTAAAGGTGGAGCCTGGTGTTGGGTAAAAGAAAATGTTCCCCGTTTTGTGTGGACGTCCACCGACTCCACTACGGTATCCTACCCAATAGAAAATGTTGAATTGTCACGCGGTCATTCCACCATGGATGTGGGTAATCCAACAAACGAAAGCATCAACCTTAGTTCTATAGGGCCAGTAAAACGGGGGCTTGGTGGAGATCGGTAGTTCTACCAACCGTTCACCGATGGTGTAAGATGACATTGACGAGATAATATAGTACATTGCATACGACTTTCCTGATGTGGGTTTCGCGTATGAAAACCGATATTCAGTTCGTTTTCGCATGCTTTTCTACGAATGCAGAAACCGAAACTTTGCTTGCTTTACAGATGCGTTAAACTGACCGATCATGAAAACAGTACATTATATCCACGAACAACACTACTCAACAACTATCCTTCGCAGCAGCCTCAACCTCAGCTCTGTGCTGGGCGTACTTTCATCATTTCGGGGAATTTCTTTTGTTTACACCACAAGGGCGTTGACATGATGAAACGGAACTTTACCGTGGAGCTACACCACAGCAGATGGGTTCATCAAGGCCTACGTCAAGTGAGTGTGAAAACACTCATGATTGGACAGCGTGTGGATGACTCAGTGTTCTACTAATGAATTAGTGGTTGTGGTTCACCCTGCTCAGGTCTTTAAAATGAAAAGCTTGTAGTAATAACATGCATGGAGCCACCTCAAAACAGATCAAATCTAAAGAAAGAAAGGAGTCCTCCTCGATTCAATCCTAGAAGTGACCTCTGTGGAAATGGTCTTACACCAAACAAAGGTATATTTCAAGAGATGCCTGTGACAGCCTCCCCCGCCATCAACAACAAAGAAGCCATCGGTAGAATGGTCTTACAAAATATCGTGCCTTAGGGTCTTAGTTCATCCACGACATTTCAGTGCAGTAGGGCCTTCTTTATGTCTAGTCAACCATACGTGTTGTTCTTCCATCTAGACCAATCCCAACTAGTGTTCGTAATCCAACAACTAGTAGAGGGAGCTGAGATAGCACCGCAGTAGGAGCATCATGACAAAGTGATCATACATGATGATTCTAGTAGCATGCATTCGTGCTTGTATCGACATGTCCCTATTGTAATCGACGAAGTCATCTTCTGCATTAGAAAACCTATGCTGTGTCATGGTTCGTGGTGCAGACGACAAAATACCAATCACTTTTTACCGTGTAAGTAAAAATACTATCCAACCTCGAGGTAGAGAGTGTTTCTGGTTCATCTGGTACAAATCTCGTCTGCAATTACAACATGACTCTCCACGTTTTTTTAGTTCCAGTCATCAATGTCCCTAGTTTTGTCCTCATCAACACCTAGTACTTACTAGTTGCAGCTCTTGACGAAATTCTGGGGTATTTACTGACCGGGCATGCCGATGCCGGTGAAGAGCTGAGCGCCACCCTGAAACTTAGCCATTTCAGCCTGCATCTTGGCCTGCATGTCCTGTTGCTGCTTCTCCATCTCGAATTGCTGCTTCTGCATCTCTTCCTCGGCCTTCTTCTGCTGGTACTCCATGGTCAGCTGCATAGCCTGCTGCTCGAGGGCAGCCTTCTGCTGAGCAGCCTGCTGCTGGAGAGCCATAAGCTGCTCCATGCGCTGCTGGTCCAAAGCCATCTCCTGCTGCTTGATCTCCATATCTGAATGTGAGTAAGAAAGGATTTCTTGGTTTCTCCATTCGTGAAAAGGCAGTGCAAATTCCTAACGCTCAAATCGTATGAACATGCTCAGGTTTGAAAACAAATGACATCTACAGGTTACTTGAAGACCGGGATGCCTTTTTGCTATATTTCGATGGATGTATCAGGCTTTTTATGAAGAGTATCAGCATCTATACCGATCTGCATGATGAACTGCTTCTTCTGCTGATCTGCCTGGCCGAGAAGATATTCTTTCTGGTGCTTTACCTGAGCTTCGAGGACGACTGTTCCCTGCTTCACCTGCTCGTCAAGCATCTTCATGTAAGCGTCCTGTTGGTGAAAATAGGAAAGAGAATCAACACACTGGTGTTCTTGCAGAACATGAAGATTGTTGAGATTTTCATTAGTGTATAATTAATCGTTTTGTGGTGAGTTGATCTGGAAATGCTCCGTGTTGTTGCGCTGATCTCGTCGCGGTTGTGAAGTGCTGCGCAATCACTCACACTTGCTCTGTGCGATACGTGGCGAAGATGGCAGCGAAACGGCGCAGGTGGGGAGAACGTACTTCCACCCATCTTCGACCATAATCATTCTTTCATCCGCCTTTACGGTAGTTGGCGGTTTCTTGTTTCCGAATTCATACCATGCATAACGTGATTACTATTCTCACGCTTCAGCCACTTCATCACATTCTCGTCGGGAGAATGTCTTTCGGTGTGGTCGGGTATACTTTGATGTTGATGAAACGCTACAACTCCACGTGTGACAGCGTTGTTATCACGACGTTTAAGTTGACGATGTTGTAGAATTGAACCTAGAAGTGATCCACACACTTTACAAAAACATTTTTTTGCAACATGATAAATATTTAGATTTTTTAGATATTTGATATCAGCTTCAGTTGCGGTGTATCTTCATATAGGAAATCCATAATCAAATCTCTGTGACTGAGTAGCAAGAATGTTGTAGTCCTGAACCTTCTGCTTCGAGATGGTGGCCGGGTCCGGCATACCCGCGGTGAGACTTTGCGGGGGCATCATCATTTGGGTTCCAGCCATAGCCGACATTGTGTTGGATCCTGTGGGTCGCTGACGCGGACGCAGAAAAAAAGATGACTTCGTCTAGGGAATTCCTAAAGACCCGAGTAGGATTTTATTGTCAGAAAGATTTTCAAACAAAATAGGTTACAACTTCGGATCAAAATCAAACAATGAATACGATGGCAGACATCTCAACTCATTGCAAAATGATAGTAACGTATGCCACGGATTGACCGCTCGGATAATCAAAATCTCCACGTCCTTCAATACACATTTGCTTTTCAAATTTCTAAAACATCTAAATATCAGAACGGAAAGACAGGCACAACCTTAAAAAATAAACTAGCTGTAGCCTTTACTATTTCTTTGCTGATGCGATGGTTCAACCTATCTAAAATTTGAGATGAACAGCAGCGTCTCGTGAACATTATCACATCTTCTAAAAACGACCGACTGTGTCTCATACCGAATCTGTACATATATTGGCCCAAAATGGCATCTTTAGGTGAACACACAGTCCCAAGAATAACCGCACCGGGTTTTCCTCGATGCTTGCGTTCGGTTTCAAATGAATGATAGGAACGTGTCACAATTAGTGAAGGGCTTTTGAGTCCTTCTTTCTCTTCCGCATTTGCCTCGAGAATACTTGCTGGCTATCTCCCCATACCTCTTGCTTGGGTTCTTCGTGTCCTGGATGAGAATTCGGGATCGATCCGTATCACGAAAACTAGTAAATCTTTAGATTTTTTAGAGAATCGCGGGTTTTGCAATGAAATGGGGAACACGACGCTGATCGTCTTCGAATACTAACAACTTCTAATCGTGTGTGGTGATACTTACACGAGTGATCGCTGAGACTGACATAACTGCCAGAAAGACGGCAAAAATAGTTATGTTGATAAGTGATTCTCTTCAGTTGTAGTTTCAACACGTCGACCGCGTTTACTACATTGGCGCACCCTCCCGCACGCAGCACGGTGCACCCGTTTCTCCGACCGGAATATAATCAAAACCCTGCCTCAAAAGACAGTGGCAGTTACCCGCGTTGTGTAAAAGATGCGCATACCAAACCTTCGTGTCCCAGCCTTCAAGTGAGAGTGTGATTCCAGCGTCTTGATTTGGGATTTCGTCGTAAGTGTAGGCGAAGCTTGTGCAATGCAAGGGCATCGGCGGCGCGCCTATCGAACGAGGCCAATTTGACTGTTAGAAATGGCGATAAAATTATTTTCAACGAGCACGAGGTTGGAGAGGAACAGTAAAGTATATCGGTGACGCCAAGGCCGTATGCTAAGAAAATCTCAGTTGTCTCTCCATCGTGGACAAAACGAAAAGCGGGCTACGAGTGATCTAGGTGGTGTAGTTGATACTCAACGGGCTAACTATGCCGACGGCTGCAACAAGTGCTGAAGGCATTGCCATACCGCTCGATGGCGACTCCCTCATTGCTTAAAATCTCTGTTGTGATCAAGGTCAACCAGTCATTGTCTCATAATGTGTTAGCTTCGCTCCGCAGTCTTTGCACCATGGAAAAGTCTGTCTTTGGCTGCAGTTGTTTTCGGCCCATGTTACATTATCGACGCTGGAGGAACAATTCAGAGTAGTCCCGTTGAAACCCGGCGTTGCAAGAGGAGCATTCTGCGTTTCGTGCGACCACGGGAAAGCGAGATACTTGGCTGTGTAACTTTGGTTGTTGGGATCGTACGCGTCTGCCGTGGAAATCGCACGCCCCGTTCCGTTCCACTCCGGAAATCGGATCGCTGGAAATTTGAGTAGAAATACGTGATCAACGTCAAAGGCTGAAGAAGTCATAGTCTCTAGCTGAGCCAAGAAGTATCCTATCCTACTTTCGTTTATTTAAATGCCAAAAAAACTACACTAAATTCTTGAACTAGAAGTTATTAGGTCTGTTACTCTTACTGGGACTAGATACCAGTCAATTGGTTGCACAAACCGCGACAATGTTCCCGACATTGACGTGACATATCGTGGCTCTCGCCACCCGCGAAATAGTTGAGCGTCCATCCCCAAGCCTCGTAGCTCCAACATCCTTCCTTCGTTATGTATTCTACCGGACATTTGTTGCCCCACGTCATCCGTTTTTTTGATGTAAGAGTTGAGTTAGCTGAGGACGATGCACCAGAGCCAAGGCTGAACCGTCTGTTTTGCTCAACTTTTTTATGCTTCTTCTTTGAGGTTGAAGTAGCGGCGCTGCCGGAGGTGCTTTTTTTACTTTTATTGACAGGAGTCTTCCTTGTCTCTTGCCGACTCCTCTGATTCACTGCAAGACCGTGATTTGCATCCTCTATCATTTGTTGCGCTTCGACTTCACTCTTGAACATGACGTGTTCTCGTGATGATTCGTCGATGTTTTCCTCCTGTCCTTGCTCTCTATTGCTGGCAAGAGAAGTAGAGGAAACGGCAGATTGTTGTTCTTGTTCTTCATCCGGATTATCTTCTGCTTCTGTTCTTCTTGTTCTTGTTACCGTTACTTCGTTATTATGCTCGTCGTATGAAATACTTTTGGAAGATGATGGAACCAACAGCCTGTGGAGTTTAGCATCGAGTGCCGCCTTATTTTTCATGCGGTTCAGCGTCGATTTTTGGTCATCTTCTGCCACTGGTGAACCCTGAAGGGGAACTTGAGAAAATCTTCTGTGGTGAGCTTCATTATGAAGAGACAATCCGGAAACATCGGCTGCAAGACACGAGAGAGCGAGCAAGCGTGTTGTTCTCGTTGTTGTTGTCAAGTTGCACAAGACTCCCCCTGCTTTGTGCGAGAAATCGAACGTCTTAAGGTCGCTTCTTGTACTTGGTCTCTTCCGCGAGGAGGAAGATGCGCTACTACCGAAAGCGAGCATCATTTTAGTATTCTCTTTCACTACCGCAAAATCCACCGCTGAAATCAGGTCTGTTCTTCTTCTTGGTGTGGTGGAGGTGTGGGGTAGTGACAACTCTCTAGCCTCGTGTCCATCGGAAGGTTGTGGAATTGATGCGCTAATTTTTTCATCTGCTGCCTCGATTCGTTGCTGTTTTTGTGCAATGGAGCGACTCTGCGTATTGTAGTGATACTCTTGTCCGTGGTGAGTCGTTTTTCTTATTCTAGGAAAGGGAATGCCTATGATCTTTGAACATATATTTTTTTTGTATTCCTCATACCTGCGCTCCAACAGCGGCTACCAGCACACAACTACCTTCGATAATGTATAAAGATATCTAACTATTAGTCTTTCAAATTCATGTTACCATATCTAGCGCGTCCATTCCAAGAATGCTCCTGCGAAGATGTCTGTACCTCGTCAATTTTCTTCTGTAGTTTTCTGCTAGCAATATTTCTCTACGAAGTTATAAGCCTGCCTATCGACATAAAAAAGTTTATAATGAAGAATATGAATAGGCGACGGCGACGCGTTGGCGTTCGTAATTCCATATCTATCCCGATTATCTTCAGGCCCCCCAACAAGGCCAGTCATGCTTCCTTTTTCCCGCGTGATGGAAGGCATCTCTCCACCTTGTTTGGATCCAGATTGCATGCTCAGTTGTTTCTTGGAATGGGGATGCTTCGTGAGGGAAAGGGATCGTGGAAGTGCTGACGGGAATTGTCAACTTGGACACATCACAGCAGTGTGTTTGTGTATCATAATCCGAATAGTTCTTTCTTTTGGTCGTAGTATCTCTATCTCTTTGAGTTCAAGAATTACTTTTCCTTGAGCAATCAGAAATAACAGAAAAACACTAGGAATAAGAAAGACGAAGGGGATCTGGATCAGAAAAGCAAGAAAACTAAATCAGTAAAGTCTCGATAAGTAAATCCAGCTCCCGAGCGTGTGCCAAATGCATTTTCATCCTCTGATGAAGAAGGTAGTAAATAGAACGGGTTTCAAAGTGCTACAACGCTATCCTGTTCATTGAGCAGCGTCATCATCAACGAATCTCAGCAGTACTATCACCGCAGCGGCGCTGCTTCACATTGTGTTCCGCTTCCAAATATCCCACCTACCATGCAGCACCACTATTATCATTCTGCATGATTATCATGGGCTTGCTGGAGTAGTGGGTACCTCGGATGTTGCATTCAGCTCACTTGCGTTCGACATGTTGGTTCCATTACCGATGTAGTTCGTCTCCTCAAGCTGATCCAACCAAGGCGGCGTGTACTTAAAACCCGTAGTGTTGTGTCGGACGTCCTTGCCCAGGCAGCAAGGCATCGACCCGAACATCGCCGAAAACTGTTCTAGGATCAAACTTGTGTTAGAAGAAGATGAGTGTTGCTTCCCTTGTGTTCTTCTCCTCGTGACTGAAAGTCGCAGCTCCTTGAGAAGAACAAAACCGTTCCAAAAAAAAACGTTGACCAAACTAGGACGGTGTAAGTAGTCACAATATAAACACTGCAATTGCAATAGCAAGCAGCACACCTAAATATGACAAAAAAAGCTTTAATAGCGTTGCCATAAATCTACAGCTTTCAAAATTCCCAGGAATCCATGGTGGTGCAGGTCCATGCGGCGTGATGATTGTCGTATTAAAAACTGCGCTTTCCGGTCGCCAACGATACCTGCAAAGCGAATTTCAATTTACCTGAGCTGATGATCTTAGCAAATTCTACTAGCAAGATACTCATACTTCTAAAGGCAAGTCGGAGGGAGAGGAGTACAGCGACAGCAGCAGCTGCATCTTCTCAACAAATATTTCATAGAACCTGTAACCACTGCATGTCGTAGGTGGTTTCGGGGACGCCAGACTCCATCGCAAGAAGGGGAAATAGGTGGAATTCATTGTGCCATCCGTAGCTGTGCTGTTTCCGAAATCTGGTGGTAGTACAAGGAAGTCGGATCGGGAGTAGGTGTACGTTTTACTCTCCGGAGAGCCGGGCTCCGGCATTTTCCCTGGCCCCTTTCCAAAAAGCAAGTTCGACGAATTCCCGCCAAGGTCCACGCCGATAGCCGCCAAACCATCTTTACCGTTGGCCACTGCGTGAATACGGTTCATATCTCCGCAAACGCTAGCGCAAACAGAGGAACATGCGGGCGCGCCTGTGAGCGCTTCCGTATCTCGGAATGTCGGAGTGAGCCCCCAACCAGTCGCTGCATTGCACCCCTGGCGAAGGAAATAGCCATCCGGACAAACCGCAGTCGTGTAACCACCGCCTTCGAGCACCCTCGTAGTCGTAGCAAACGAGGAAACGGCAGATGAAGCAACTGGTGGAATTGCGGTTGCAGCAGTGGCAGTGCCATTTGGTTGATCCTCTTCAACGGCTACATCGACATCGGATGTTGCACCAGATCTAGATCTAGAGCCAGACTTCCTCCTAAAAGTAGAATGGCCCTGCTGCGCAGAAGATGTCGACGACTGTATTAAACTCGCCTTCTTTTTCAGAAACGGCGGTGCGTCAGCTGTCCGTATCCGTTGTGCATGACTGTCCTTTACTGTTCCTGTAAATTAGAAATTGCTATAATACACAAAATAAATCACGATCTACTCTCAGCAGGCTCGACTTCTGTACATCTCCCAGGAGCTCAATGGCGATACTAGTAGAATTAAGCATAAGGAAGCTCAAGCTCAACCAGCCAGTGAAAAAATAATGTTGCAAAATTTCAGGTTGTACCTCCTCCCGGCAAAGGCTCAAGACCAAGTGTCGTTTGCAGCGTCGGCCTTCGATCTGCATACGCAAGATGCACAACCGCACAGGCCCAAAATGAGCCTCGCGGGTGCATCTTTTTCCATCAGTTCTAGAGACTTATTCGCTTTCTTGCGTGTAAAGTAGATCTGTGGATATGAAGACGTGACTTGACTCTACTCTTACTGTATATTTTTGCGTGAATACTAATTAGTATAGAGCGGCGGCCACGACCATCAACAATTTTACGCAGTTTTATTGGGTATTTTTTCCGCTTTCCCTTGGCCCTGCTGCAATTCTGATCTGACTCTCGTGTATATCACGCGGCACCCTCTCAACTACCCCCATCCGCAAAATGTCACCAACACGAATATTTGACAAAATGAATGTCAATAAAAAAGACAAGAAAAATTGTACGGGGTTCTTGCTAGGAGGCTGAGAGTTAAAACACGAAAGTACTTTATTTTTTCATTCTTGTGTAGTGCTACTAATGTCTAATATAGAGATATTCACTTTCATCGGATCGTTCGAGCGAGTTCATCATTTTTCATCTTTATTCGCATAGTCTCTACTGTACAAAACTGGTATGTTTTCTTCGGAGGACCAGCGATTCTCCCGTGGTGCCGGTTGCAGTCCACTTCCATCCAGTGCTTCTGGAGGCCTTGGAAGAAGCTCTGGTGGCTGAATATCCTTTGCACTCTTCGAATTCGATCTTGATGATGCGGGGCCTGAAGGAGCTGTAGTCCCGATGCTCTCTCCTGGCTGATCGAGATCGTCTATTGGACTATCTGAATACCTTGCCATGATACTTGTAACGCCTTCCCGAGAACCACGCAAGTTAGTTCTGGCAGCTCCTGGTATTACTGAAGATGAATTGTTTGTCGTATTACTAGCTGTAGCATTCCCCTGCTCCTGTTGTGGCAACACTTCTTTTGCTTTATCTCCTATCCCGTCTTTGAAAAAGCTCGAAGTTCCGATCTTTACGGGCTGCATTTTGGCAAGATCTAGTCGCATTTGTATGCAACCTTGTCGAAGCTTTGATAAGAGCTCTTCTTTCTTAGCTACTTCGCGTTGCCCGACCTCCACCATCTCTGCTTCGCGTCGCTGTTCGTTTTTCAGGTTTACAGACACCTGACGATTTTCTGCACTTTCCGGAAGCTTCCACCCACTGGATTGCTGGACCGCTGCTCGTTCTCGCATTGTCCTCCGATTGGCTGCTGTAGTACCTCGTCCTCCAAGAGTTGCAGTAGAGTTTTGTTTCAGCGTTGAAGCTGTGCCAGGTGAGACTGCAGAAGAAGAACCCCCACCACCGGCTGTTGCACGTCCAACTGCACCCGCCGAAGATGTTGATTCGAAGGGAGCAAACCCGACTTCCCTCTTTATCTTGCGAGTAGGCGAAAGTGGCTCGTCAAAAACTATTGGCTTGGCTGTTGAAGGACGATGCCCAGACACTCGCAGCGTCTCCCGCGTCAAAAATTCTTTTGATTAGAAGGCACTACAAATGGGACGAGAAATTAAAATATCAGAAGATGGAAAGACTATTTTTGGCTGTAGATGAAAAGCTTATTCTTATGTTGTAGACCACCGCAAAGTGGTGCAACAAATACGTAAGTACTCACTTATTGCTAGCGCAGGTTTCTTCTCAAAACCCATCCATACTTCTGATATTCCCGCGCCATGGGGCGAACCTTTTTCTTGGAGGTCGGCTGAATATTTCTCAGCACCAAAGCGGGCCGCTGTTTTGGTGGTACGCTTCTTTTGTCAACGACTCCTCCCGTTGGCTTCTTGGTCGGTTCTGCTTGATTATCTTGACCAGGAGCCTTGTTCTTCGCGCTCCCAGGAAATCCCGTACCAGGGGCTACTAGCGGTTGCACACTGGTTGGCTTTAGCCTTTTCACTTGTGGCGGTCCCGGTTTCGCGGGCGCTGCATTGTTGTTGTAATTGTTTCCACCTTCAAGATTTTCGGCATCTCCTTCTCCACCACCTTCATCGTCAACATTTTCGTCTATTTTCTCACGGATTTTCTTATCGAGCTCGCGCTCTCGAATCTGTGCGCGGATTCGTGGTGGGATCCCGCGCTCCTTCTGCCGCTCTTCGTGCGAGATGCTCTGGTGTGGCAGTTTCGTCTCCATCCAGTGCCAGCACAGCTTGACAATCAGCTGCCCAACGAAATCCTCGCTTTCAATCTTCAGCACATAACGGGTCAGCTCGTATGCCTTTTTTATGCTTAGATATAAGGAAGATGAGTTGTCCGTCGTGGTCCCTGCTTTTAAGTGCGAGAAGATGAAAAAGGCGTCGAGGGCTAAGATAGACGTTCTCTCGCGCTCACGCTCACAACTTGTAGTACCGGTCGGAAGAAGAGCAAGGACGAACTCGCAAGTGAAGTAGAAAGAAGTAATTAAATAACTAACTTCACTATTTCTATTATACTTAGAAACAATATTTCGTAGTCAACAACTATCTCAATCTCTATCTTACAACATCATGCTGACAAATATTGTAAAAGACAAGCTCTGTGAGTCAATCCTGGTACAGAGGGAGGCGCCACGTCAATTATCAACGTCGACATCAACTTCTTCACCTTTCTTGAGTTCATCAGACTGGTAGTAGTAGGAGTAGTAGTAGTAGTAGTAGTAGTAGTACTAGTTGTAAGTACCTTCAGTAATGCAAGTTTATGAAGCTCCCAGCGATCCATGATGAATTTTGTGTGCTGTAGCGAAAATGGAATGCCGCACTCGTGGTCTTCGTCGTCAATAATCTCCTCTTCGCGCGCCTTCCCGAAACCACATTCGATCGCTAACGCGTCTCGCCTGCCTGCTGGTGTACTGCTTGTCCCTACAACAGGTGGGTTACTTCCATTGCTTCCCACTCGCGCACGGATCTCGGGTTTGAATTCAGCTCTTTCACTTTCCTTTGCTGCTACGACACCGACAGCGGCAGGAGCTTCTTCCCCGTCGTAATCGACCGAGGCCGATGCGCGACGTGCTTTGCGTGGACTCCCAACACCGGTCTTCCACATTTCGACATCGATTGCGGCATCCAGCATACGCCGAAGACTGACACATGTGAAAGTATCCAGCGGATCTCCGCTCACTGTACCCCAAGTGACGTCCATGGCGGCTTCGCCGGGAGGACGTGCCGTTGTGTCCAGCTGGATTAGAGCGACCAAAAAACTACATTCTGGTGGATGCTCGAGCGCGTTGGGGTGCTCACCCACGACGCCGACCATTTGACATGTTTTAACTACATCCTTTTCCTTCGCTTTGGCGACTTCTAACATTAAGTACTACTACAACGAAAATTATCGGTATCATCTCTAGCAGTATCATGCCAGCCGCAGCAGCCGCTTCTATCAAGATAGGAAGCAAACCTCATTTCTAATCCTTAACTTGAGCATCCAGTTTGGCTTCGCCGGTCGAAAGAGTCTGATCTGCCATACTGTCGATGGGTCGGAGGTGTAACATCGTAGCTTCACCTGCTGAATAGATACGGAGGCGTTCATTGTGATACGGAGGAAGTACTTGGTTTTAAGGGTACATGTAGTACATGAACAAGTAGTTATAAACAACAGCAGCAGGAGTGAGCCCTTCGTGCTTAATGTAATACTAGAATTAGACACTTTGCGCCCGATATCGGGTCGAGTTGCTCGAGTTGCTCGGGTTGAACGAGTTCCATACCAAAAAAGTTTTCGCTGCGCCCTTCGGGCGCACGATCTTCGAAGCGTAAAACACGTTGCGCAGGAGCGCAAACCACCTCCACAGGCGAACGCCTCCAGTAGCGCCCTCTCTTCTCTGCGAGGCGCTGCATGCGCGGGGCAGACAGGAGCAGCGCCGCCTACCCTGGGGGCCCTGCTTTCATAGTTTTGTGTTACTAAGTTAGCGCGCCTGCCTGGTATAGTTGCTGCCCTATAAAACAAACACACAAACAATCCTATTCCATGCCGATCCCGATGCGGCTACACTACTCAGGGGGGCCTTGCTTGTGATGCTACCCACTAGGCGGCACGCTACTCAGTAAGCCCACTACAACGCAAACAGGGGCCCCAAGAAGTCGAACAGGCTGGCCACTCACCAGCAAAAAAAACAGAGCCAGACCGCGACCGACACCAGCGCGCGGCTTACTATGCACAGACACCGACACAGCGAGGAAATGGCTGCACTTCGCAAGGCTTGCGCGCGCGCCACTCAAACAAAAATAAAAGGCCCCGAGCTTCGCCCTCTTACTTTCGCCAAGCCCAAGCCCCGAAGAGCTCGGCCGGGGCGTGTCTCTTCAATACATGCGGCAGATCTGCTACGAAACAACTGGCCACGAGCTTCCTCCTGACCTCCGTGGCATCTTGGCCCACCATACCGCCGCGGAGTGCTGCGCTTTCAAGGTAGCAAGCTGCCGAGAGGAACTCGTTAGCAACTCGCTCCGGACGGGGCATGTGAGCTCCGGCAACTCGTGGCAACTCGAGAGAACTCGAGCAACCCGTAACTCGAAAAGCGGACTACTCTATAATACATTTACATGGTGTTTTTCTTCTTGCACCTTTTTTGATTTCTTTTTTTTTACATTCTGGTGGTCGTCATCCAGAGAATCTGATTCTTTGGAAAGGAACCACAGCAAGGACATTTCTAATGGGGCAGAACATACCTCCTCGTGCTATTTTCTGCTATAAATATCTTGCTGTACTGGAGGACATTTGCTACTAGTTTTCGCCGCATAGCTTTCCAATAATTTCCTTTTTCTCTAACATCCTTCCTCGGTCTCTATTTTCTTCGTTCAAGCTCTCTCTTTCAAGAGTAATTTTGCTTCACGATCACGTGATGCTCTCGCCCATACACACTTTCATCTCATGTGCACCAGATGAAAATTCGACCGTGACCGATGACCACATGCCCTTGGATCTGGTAAAGGTAGTCCTGCTGAAGTAGACTAGGGCAAACCACTCGATGTCCTCGATGCAAGAACCATAATCAATGATGTCGATGATGCTTTCCTTTTAGCTACACCCGCAATCGCATCGGCAATGCTAGTTTGGTGTTGATACGTAGAGAGTTCTCGAAAGACAGGTAGAATCGCATCTAAGGAAGATAGGTTTGGGGGCTTCCCTTGTTTACAGGGTCAGGGAATTGCGAGTAGCCTAGCATTCTACCGGGGCGTAGGATTCAGATTCTCGAAAATTCTGCACAAGACTCGAGTATAGTGCTCCCAAAGCTTGTGCTTTGATCATCAAGAAAATCGGATGAACAAAATTATCGTTGAATAAATTCTCCTACTCCTTTCAATTTCAATGAACGAGATTCCGTGAAAGAATCTCTTTAGCCGGCAGTACTTTCAGCATGCTATCTAGCTTCGATGACAAGAACAACAATGGACCACGGCATAGAGCACCCACCTCTTCTTCGGTCTTCAGGCGCCTTCTTCGACATTTAGATCTAATCAAAAAAATGGACCTGATGTTTTACTCCAACCATCTACGCTCCAGCATTGATTTCTTTCTCGGTCTCGCGTTCCCGTTGGCGCTTGAGCACTCCGTAGTTGTGGCATCGAGCAATATTCACTTCAGCAGTGACGATTTGGTCTCGAATAAACAAAGAATCCTCCTTGACTGTAGCTTCTTGATCTCTTGCGCTTTTCAAGTTCTTCGTAAGAAGCTCCTCTGCCTCGTCGAAGGTGTACTCTAACAGGCACATGGCACCTGATTTTCATTTGGTGAAAAAAGTTGTAGATTTTCAATTTCATTTTGTTGAAAAAAGTTGTAAGAAGATATAGAATGTGGAGCAGCAGCGTAAGTTGGAGAAATTGCAGTTAAAATCTAAACTTCATCAGATCGAAAAGAAATGGAGGAACGCCAATATGTCTATCATACAAGAAAACTGGCAATGGTACCAATCCACAGCAGTATTTTTCCTGTGTCCACTGGCACGTCGGCGTTAACATAAACGTTTTCGCTCAAGTTGTACTTGACCTCCAGAGGCGCTGCTTCTTCCCTTTTCTTTTGTTGTAAGTACTGCACCATCTCTAAGGCAGATTCGATGTCTGGTATCTTCTGCTTGAGACTCTGTTTCGTGGATAAGAGGCCAGACTCGAGGTACTTGTACCTTGAATGCAAGTCCTGTAGAGCAGCAACACAGTCTTTCACGTCGCGCTCTCCGACAAATTGTTCCACATTGTCTATGAACTTCGCTGTCGGCATCTCTCGCTTCATCTCCCCGGTTGTGATCTCATCCTGCGACACCACAGGTGGGGCGTCGGCCGCAGATGCTGAAGCTGCGGACGCCATGTTCTTGTGATTTGCAAGTGGTCGTGTTTGCGATTGCTCCTGATGAACAAAGAAAACCTAATCGGCGTCGTCAATGAAGTTGATTTATTGTTATTTCTAAGTTGCTATTGCCGTCTAAATTATTTAGCACAACTACGACTACCTCCTCCTGGACAGATGCTTAATAGTTGCGTCGTGGTACCAAAATTAAGGACTACTGGAACTGTCGTGTATTTCAATCGCGATCGCATTCCTTGTCAATTGACTTTCTAGCACCATCGGCATTCTCATTCCGTCGATCTGCGTAGTGGTTGAAAGAGAAAAAGCGTGATGGCTTTCTTGATTTAGCAGACACCTTGTTCGGATTCACATTCATTCTTATTCCTCGTTCATCTCAGAGCAATTTTTGAAACCACGAGACGGCCACTTCCGGCACGAAAACATCATGTGTAGTTTTGTGAAGATTCGTTCATCTTAGATTTGATTTGGAAAGGTATCGATGATAGCAGGACGAATAACACAGCGACAAATTTTCATGTTCGCCGCATATTTCTATGTTGAAGCGCATGCGCATTGACCATCATGTAGTTCATAAATTATGCGTGGTTTGTCTCTTGGGAGTGGGTTCAAAAGAAGCCAAAAATTTAGGGATTCAGGGAAGATCGGGATTGCCAGTTCACCTCGAGAAATGTGCGTCATCATCATATTTCGAACCTTATTCGGCGTTCACTTGTTGCCGAAGACGCGAATTTTTCCGTCACTGCCTCCGCACAAGAGGGTTTTCTCGTCTCGGAAAGCAAGTGAGAGCATGTTATTCTTTCGCATGATGTCGTTATCTGGGATGATACGCAGCTTGCATTCTCCTTCCACCAGTTCCCACACATACACTTTTCCGTCTTCACTGCCAGAAAAAACATACGCGTCTGTTGGATCCAGACAGCTGTGGATCTTGAAATCGCAGTTTTTATGGCCCTCATAGCGCTGTAGGAGTTCCCCGGAGTCTTTTTCTAGCAAGAAAATCCTGTGGTACAGACCGCTGACGAGAAGGCAGTTGCCGTCGCTACTGTAGTTCACAGAGGACAGGGGGTCGCCAAGTGGATCGACGGTCACGAGACCTTTGCGCACATCGTAGCGACGTAATCTTCCGTCCATTGAGGCTGTGACAATTTCCACTGGCCCAGTCAGGCTCTCGCCAGATGCGCCGTTCTCGCGTCCGTCAACCACGCAGACATCATTGATGGCGTCCTTGGCATCGGCTAGAAGCTGGATACAGTTGCTAGAAACTGCCTTGCCCCCGCTCTGTTTTCCGCTACCTTTTGACTTCGCAGCGCCCCCGCCGAACCTCGCGTCCCATATTCTTACAGTCCCGTCTTGACTCCCCGTGACCAAAATCTGTGAGCCTTCTGCCATGAGTTCGCAACAGGAGAGTCGTTTTTCATGGCCGTGAAATTTTCTGACCACATCCTTCGTGGTTACATCGACACAGCAAGCGAATTTGTCGCTTCCAGCCGTGTAAAAGCGCGTCGAGTCTTCTGCTACCGCGACTGCGCCCACTTCTTCCCGGTGAATGTCGTCGTATCGGGCAATGCACAGTCCACTTCGCGGATTCCAGAGCCGAACTGATCGGTCGCCTGACGCTGACAGGAGGTAGTTCTTCGTCTTGTTCAAGGTGAGACCGTAGATCGGACCCGAGTGACCTTGCAGTGTTCTCTGCAGTATATGTGGAATCTCATCCACTTCCTCCTCTATTTCTTCACTTTCGGGTTCCTGTGGCGCGGAAACATTCTTCTGATGACCAACAGAAGAGGCAGCTCCGACACCCGGAAGCTGGGGACCCGGCAACACCATTTTCTTGTCCTAAGTAATAGAAGGTTTTTACATGGACGGCTATAGCGCAGCTGCTCGAAAGTATTCTGCTGTTACTTCAGAATCTTGGACAGAATTGCGCCTCGGTCTGGTTCTAATTTTGTGTTTATTGTTATCGGACTTCTACTTTTTCGCTTTGCAACTTCTCACTTAAAAGACGATAAAAACAGCTTTCCAAAGTATGCGCTGAAGTTCCGCCCAATGCTTCCAGCGTGTCAACTACTTATCCTACTGTTGCTCTTAAACTTAAATATAAATAATCAGCCGAAAAAAATAGTACAAATACACAGCTGCAAATACATCAAGGTATTCCGATTTCGTTTTGCTGCTCCACTACGTCTACGAAAGTGTGTCTAACTCCTCCTATTCCTGCCCAGCAATGTTGAAGATGAGAGTGAAACCAAGAATGGAAATGGATGAATATCATAGAACTCCTATATGTTTAATATGAATCCAGAATCAGGTCGAGACTCACCTGTGATGTCGGTAGTAACTTGAAGGTAGGACTTTGTAAGTAGTCGATAAGCGAAAGAACGCAGAACCTTCTGCACCAATAGATCGTCACCATACCGAGAGTTAATATCCTTCAAGAACATCATGGCTAGAACAAGCACTACTCCTCGAGAGAACCAAACCTTCTGCAGAGTGACGAGCAAGCATTCGTTATCTATTATTATTATGTTCGCGCGCGACCCTACCGCCTCGCACGTGACGCGCTCGCGAGCGCCCTTACCATCTGTCACTAAGGACGTTGATGTAAGGGCTCAAAGGACCTTCCTGACATGAATTTTGATTCTATCAGTAGCTGCGGTGCGTCGTATTGACAGAAAATTTTTTCAGATGTGGTTCCAACATTCTAAGTCCGGATGTTCTCAATTATTCGTTCACTAAATGTGTAGTTTCTTGATCATTTATATTACGCATCAGCATCCAAACATGCCTTTTTCTATCTTCACATCCTAGATACATTTCTTCTTTTTCTTGCGCTCGATCTGTTTATCACGCCACCAGGCCCAGTGAATCTTCTTCGGACCACAGTCTACTTTTCGGAGTTTCTGTAGGCCAATGAGCGCTTTTCGCTGCGAAATCCATTTTCGATAGTAGTGTTGTCCACACTCGAGTGGGACATTATCGGAGGAGTTAGACGAAGGATCTTCACACGTCGAAGGACTCGCTGCGGGATCCTCGAAAGCAGGTCTTCGATTAAGACTGGCTTCATCTTCAAGAACGACGTTTCCTTGGACAGTTGGTGCCTCTCGATGCTCGGGCGCATGTCGTGTTGTCGGTAGGTGGTTATGTCGGCGGTCCTCCAAAATCGGTGTCACAACAGTGTGATTCGTTCCCCTGCAAGATACTAGCGTGCCGCGGTTGCTCGTCGTCCTCGCTAGTGGTAATTGAGATGCTGATGAGCTGCTGGTCGCTTTCGTTCTGCCCAAATGCTGGTCTACAAATGTGAAGTTATGCCACGTGTTGCTTCCCAAATTGATATTATAACCAGTGACTTTTGATACTGGTACTGGTACTCGTCTGGCATTATTCACTGTCCTTAGACGTCCGCAGGATTCCCAGAATTCCGTTTGGTAACCAGGTAAAATCGACTTTGATACTGCTTTTTGAGCAAGCAATGTGCATGGCATTGTCATGCCAACTGAAGGTCGACTCATCCCTAAGGACTGACGCAAGTGGACGGAAACGCCAAACATCATTTTGCGAATCGTCGAGTCCGGATTTTTCTCACTCGTCAATTTTTCTTGGCAATCAAATCTATTCGTAAAAATCTACCTCGATCTCGACAAAGAACATATCAAGTGTGAAGAAAAACCTAGTGTAGTACTTTTAATTCCCACTTTCCTATTTGAGCGGCATTGATGGACACATGATCTTCGATCCAGTGTTGAAAATTTTGAGTTTCCTCTGATGCTGGTATGATCATCGCCCCATAAAAGGCCAGCCATGCTGGTGGTCTGCGCAGACCCTGCAGGTCAGCTTTGCGCCGCTCGCGCTCGAACTGATTGTAGTTTCGTGTAGTTTTTCCCAAAACTGTAGCAGCTTGCTATAACCAGTAGAAACGATACTTATATATGTTATCATAAATCAAAAAGAACGTAAGGCATCAAGCTTATTTCAGTCATGTGATCACTTGTGTTACGTGTAGTACATGTTGCAGACAGCTGATGAGACTCTTGGTTCTCAATCGAAAGCAGTGCTCAAGCAGGACAAATCTGTATTCTCGCAAAGTTACAACTCCAGCGGGCGGTCCCGGTCTAGTTCTGTTACACGTTAGCCCGTAGGTCCACTACCTAAGGAAGCGCAGACGCAAATCAAAAAAAGATATTTCTCGGGCAACTGTGGCAGTGGCTCAAAGAAACGGATGCGAAAATTCGTTAAGTAAGTAGCAACAAGTATGCAACAACTACTCCACGAGCTTCGACATTAGAGTTATCAAGTTCGTAAGTAATTTCGACTTCCTGCTCAGTGCTCAATTGAAAAAGTTAACAACTCATATGCATGGAGGTGCGTCATTCGACTTCGAGAGAGAGCTCTCAGTTTCACAACAAGACAATAACCGCCAGGATGATGATCGCGGTAAACATCGTTGTTCCCAGTGCGTTTTGCACTCGTTGAAGCCAGGACATGCGATCCAACTTGCCTCCAACTTCAACGAGTTTCTTATCCATCTCGTCTAGTTTGATGACGGCTTTCTCTACGCGGCTGTTGATCTCGTTCGCCGTCTCTTTAATCAGCTGCAGCTCACCGTTGACGTTTTCGATTTTCACGTCGATCGCAGCCAACGACTCCTCCAGCTTCGCGAAAGCCTCGGTCTGCTTTCTCTCCAGCTCCTCTGCATTCAGATTCGCTCCTTTCACATCGTTAGAAAAAGCCTTTATTTACTTTCCTTTCTTCTTGTTCAACTATATGAATATGAATATGCCCATATTGAGATTGAATAAGTCCTGGGTCCACTTCTACTTGGGGATCTTAGGTATCGCATGCTCTTGATGTTAGTTGACATGAAATATGACGCCAGTAGTTCCAGATGAAGAAGACCCTGATTCGGACATGCGCAATAGATCACCCGTAGGATGTGGATGATCTAGCGTCATATAATTACTGATCTACTTCTGATGGTGAATGTGATGAAGTCATAAACTGGTCCATTTGCTGCCCGTGCATGTGTATGAGCAGTTTGACTAGCTGTTGCGTTTGTTCCTGATTGGCAGCAACGATCATGCTCTTCATCTCGTTCTTTGCGGCATTGACTGCATTGGCTTGTAGAGCGAGAACTTGCTTCGTCTTTGTCTTAGCGATTCTTCTTGTGGAGGTGGGGTGCGTTGGTGATGCTCTTATGGAGAACGAAGTCGCCCTGGCCGTGGCGGATATTTCTAGGGGTGAACTAGTATAGCATATATATGCTCCAAGGCTCAAGGCTGAAGGCCCCCCCCCGATCTAACTTTTTGAGGGGGGCGGCCTCCCAGCCCCGGACCCTCTTTCCGAGGGGCTGCCGGGCGGGAAGGCCTCAAAGCGCCCACTTCTGACCCCTTCCCGCTTCTTGCCCGTACCCTAGAGCGCCCGAAACCGGAGGACGCTGAAGCTGGCAAAGGACACAAGGCAGCAGGACCCCGCTGGCTTGTGGCTTGTACCCTACAGACCTGGCAAAGGTGGCAAAGGCTGGGCCCTCTTGTCACGTTGCATGTGCCCAACCCTACAGACCGGGCAAAGATGGCAAGGCGGGGCCCCTCTGGCGTGGTCCACCAAAGATCTATCCACAGGGGGGGGGGCCTCCCTCCCTGGTGCGGTGCATATATATGATTTAGGGCTAGACGGGGCCCCCCCTGTGGTCTGGTCTGTGGTGGCGCGCGCGCACGCTTTTCCGCCGCGGAATCTAGAGGGGGAAGGCGCCCGAAATTGGCGCGGGCCTCCCCTTGGGCCTCTCAGCCGGTTCCTTTCTTTGGGGCCTCCTGGCCTCTGCTGACGACCCTCGCGGGCAGGAGCTCCCTCGCCGGGGTAAAAGGCCGCCGAAGGCGGCCACGGTCGCAAGAGCAAGCAAGCCAATGACCAAGGGCCCGGAGGGAACAAGCTGCACGGCACAGGGGGTCCAGCCCCTCGGCTTTTGCCGCCTTCAGAGGCCTGCGACCTACTTACGTCGGAGGCCTCTAAGGAGAGCCAATCACCTGGAAAGGAGCGAAGGCGACCACCTGGCCTACCTTTGAGGCCTGCCACCCCCGGCAGCCCCAAGCCCTGGATCATATATGACTCAAGGCCGAGCGCCCCCCCCCCCTCCCTCCCCTGTGGTCTGGTCTGTGGTGGCCTTTTCCGCGCGGATTTTTCGCGGATTCTAGTGGTGGAAGGCGTCAAAACTTCGCGCCTTCCTCCCCTTGGGCCTCTCAGCGTGTTCCTACGGGGCCGCCTGGCCTCTGCTGACCCTCGCAGGCAGGAGGCGGAGGCCTCCGGGGTAAAAAGCCGCCCGAGGCGGCCACGGCCACGGTCGCAAGAGCAAGCAAGCCGATGACCAAGGGCCCGGAGGGTACAGGCGGCACGGCTCAGGGGGTCCCGCCCCTCGCCTTTTGCCGTCTTCGGAGGCCTTCCGTTGCCGGTGCACTGCTGCGGCGGCGAGGCCTAGCGGATGCACTGAGGGCACAGGCAGGCACCTGAACGGGGGCGCAGGCGGTTGCTTGGGCCCCTTTTGAAGCCTCCCACCACCATCGGAGGCCCCTAGAGAACACACAGCCAGGCAGCTGGAAGGGAGCGGAGGGGGGGAACCTGAAGACCAACCGCGCACTTCCACCATCTACCCCCTCCAGTCTGTAGGGTACATGCAAACGAGAAGCCGGCAGCCCCTTGGTCCCCCCTTGAGGCCTTCCACCTACTTCCCAGGCCTCCAGGGGACACAAAGCTCCTGGAAGGGACCGGGGGCGGCCCCTTGGCCCCCTTTCGAGGCCTTCCCCCGGGGCAGACGCCTCAAAAAGGGGGCCAGGGCGCCCGGGGGGGGGGCGTCGCCCCGCGCCCTGGAAAATATATAAAAATTTCTATTATTGTCAAACTACATCGGCGAAGACGTACGTGCACATCAGAGGGACGGACGGGACTCGAACTTGTTGTATTCAACATAACTTGCGCGTCCTTAGCGAAGTTGGAATCTACAACACGAACGCGCTTCGCGCGTGCGTTTTGAATTAGCTCCTCGTCTGTAGGAGACACCTCCTTCCCGTCAATAAGACGATGAGTGGTTTGTGTACTCGTCGTAGGCCACGTGTTGTTGCCACAGGAAGCGATAGTATTTTTACTGGTGGCTCCTCGAGAATGCCCATCTACTTTGACGTCAATGTCGCCCAACATTAACGCATCAGTGGACGAAGCTTGAGGGCCAGAAGATGAAGCTGTACCAGAGGAGAGCAGGACGAAGTTGGGAGGCATGATGGTGGACGGAACAAAGGCAGCGCGCTGGCAGCCGTCCTCTTCATCAAATTCAGCTTCTTCCTGCAGCACGGTCTTATCCTTGTAAGCGGTCGTAAGTCTCGCGATTTCCCACGTTCTTTGTGCTTCATCAAAGCTCGAGAAAAGACGTGTTATCTGCAACGTCAGCAACTGGAGCTTCGTCAGCAAATCACCCTTGAGGTTCGGTGTACTGTAGATGAAGTCGAAGTTGCAAATGCAATGTTGAACAATAATATTGCTTGTGAATGACCTCGAATCAACCAGAAGAAACATTTTCACATGCTGATGTTGCGATTTAATAATTCATTGGTTTTTTAAATGGTGCTTCTGCCTGCTGCAATGATCACAAGTTTGAAGCTTCCTTCATCAAAGAAAATCAAAATTTTTGAATACGTTTAGTACAACGGGTCCTTGTATGCGAGCAGCACGCTCCTAGTGGGCGTTGGTTCCTCTTGATACTGCGCTTCTGCTTCTTTCCTTGCCTCGGTTTCCATCAAGGCTTTCTGCTTGACTTTCGGCATCAATTCGCCATGTACCATAGCGAAATCTTCTTCTTCATGTTAGAACTTCCCGCCAAATAAGTAAGAGCGACCCTTCTTCAATTGATTGTATGAACTTAGGTTGTGGTCTTTGCGTTTGCATCGCAGGAATAGCAATGGCTTCTACAACTGCTGATAAAGATAAGACGACCACGATGTGCCTCTGCTCGAACATGATAAGTTGAGTACATAGACCGATACGAATTAGCGTTTCCAGACAGCTTAATGAAAGCTCCTTGGCGGAGTCCAGATCGCCCCTGGCTTGTTGAGCGCGTATTTGAAGGTGAGCCATTGCAAAGACCTCTTGGCGGTAAGCAGCGTGAAATTTATTTCCCGGATCTTGGTCTGGGCCACTCGATCAGAGACTTCAAGGATATCAGACTCCAAGTTCCCTTGCTCCCAAACGCTTGTCCAATGAAGTAAGCCAGAAATTAGAAGATCACCAGGAGGTGGACATCTGTGACCTTACCGTTCTTTTTGTGGATCCACCTCCATCGCTATACTTTCACTCGACGTCTTCGAACTAGTACTTTATTAGTACTTCCATAAAGTGAGATAACCCTCCGCATTTTGCCGCAAAGTGTCGACCACTTCCCGGTCCTTTTTGAATGCTTCTTCGATTTCCTCGCGCCGCTCGAAAGCAGCCTGTTTTCGCGCAGCCTTGGATGCACCGCAAAATAGGGAATATGAGCAAGCAGCCTCAACCCTAATCATAGAGGAATGAAGAAGAGCCAGCGAGGACAAGAAAAACAGAGGAACCATTTTTTTTTCAGGGATGTGAAGATGAAGATGAAAAAGATTGATAGATAATGATGAAGGGTAGCACGATAATTCTTAACAAAATTATGATATTTCTTTCGCCTAGGTACGCGCCATTATCAATTTGAAGATGCGCATTTTGTTCAAGAGCGACGAGGGAGTCTGCTAAATTTCGCAAGCTCTGAAAAGTTGTTCATCTCTCCACTGTCTCTCCTCGTGAAAGCAACACGAACCCGCCCAAAAAAGTGCACATGGATATATGGCCGATGCGATCAATTTTTATGAGCACAGCTTAGCGCGTAGATGAGTAATAACGTCAGTCAGATAAAGACATTTACGATTCTTGTAAGGGAAACTGCAGAAACGGAATCCTCTGCCAAGCGGTTCTCAGCTGGGTCGTGGTTATCATGTACATGTAGTACCTGAACCTGCGCCGCGCTGATCAATATCAATAACTTCCTTAGTAGTGTAACAAATGTAGGGAGAAACGTGACCAATTTTTGTTGTTAACATCGGTTAGTACATTGATGGAAGAATGATTGAGAGTGAGAATGTCTGATATTATCAAGATTAAAGAGCTAAATTAAAAAACAACAGCGACCCCCCCAAACTCTCACTTCCAAGCCCCAAACTCTCACTCTTTCACATTTGAACTCGTGAACTCATGAACTTACGAACTTCGGAACTTATGGGCTTGCGAATCAAATCGAAGAAATTGAATCTCAGCAAAACCTGACAAAGTCAAAAACTTTGGGATTTGAGGAATTCAAATCCAAGAAATAATTGGGCTTACACTTATGGACTTATGAACTTACGAACTTCGGAACTTGTGAACTTATGCACTTCTGAACTTATGGGCTTGCGAATCAAATCCAAGAGATTGAACCTCCGCGAAACTTGTTAAAGTCAAAAACTTAAACTTTGGGATTTGAGGAATTCAAACCCAAGAAATTGGGCTTACACTTATGCACTTGCGAACTTATGAACTTGCGCACTTCTGAACTCATGGGCTTGCGATTCAAATCCAAGAAATTGAATCTCGGCCAAGTAGCCTTTTAAAATCAAAAATTTTGGGATTTGAGGAATTCAAATCCAAGAGATTGGGCCCACACTTATGAACTTACACAGTTCCGAACTTATGGGCTTGCGAATCAAATCCAAGAGATTGAATCTCGGCAAAACTTGCTAAAAAAAGTCAAAAGTTTTAGGATTTGAGGAATTCAAATCCAAGAAATTGGGCTCACGAATCAAATCCAAGAGCTTGAATTTCCGAAAAACTTGCGAAAGTCATAAACTTTCAGACTTGAGAAATTCAAATCCAAGAAAGAAACTCGCAAAAAGAAATCGAAAATTTTTGGATTTCAGCAATTCAATTCCAAGACATTGAATTTCAGGCAAGCATAGTGCTTCGGGGGTTACTTCGGGAGGGGGGAACCATAGCGCGAGGGGGTGTTGTCGGGCGCTCCAGGCTAGTACGTCGAATATCGCCTCTAGCTGCGTCACTGTATTTCTTCCTAGAACTGCACATACTGGATAAGGATAACCACTTGAAAGTTTTGACCTGCGCTTATGTATTTCGTGGGGAAATGATCATTATACATATGTAGGCGAGAAAGTTCGTTAGGTAGTGTCATGTAAGAGCGCCAAAGCAGTTTGTAGTTACCGTTGTTGTTGAACTCAAGTGCGTCGATCCTGCGCCGGTCCTCCATCTGAACGATAGGAAGAAAACTAAGGAGCGAGGCGTGTTTCACGTCATCTGATAGCGTAAGCGTTGGGGTGTGAGTGAATGAATGAATGTAACCACTCCAGGTGTAAATTATATGACAATTATGAGATTTCTATCTAATTATCATCAACATCAACTGCAGTGCTGTCTAATTTTATGTTCGTAACTATGTCTGGCTGGTTTGTGGAATATCATTGTCGGTAGATGAAACGAATACAGCTGCACTTTGCGCCAATTCTGCGACTGCAGCTCTTCATCGTCATCCCCGTATCGTTCGAAAATCCACACCATGTGGATACAAAATTCTCCTCGATGATACATTTTGTGACTACCGTAATTATCGTACTACCCACCAAGAACGTCACACTTCGTTCTTGGCGCTCACCGCGGTGACTCGTGTCGTTTACTTTTCCCGTCGATAAAAGGAAACGTCACGACTTAGTATGTTAACATCTTTAACCTCTTATTTTTGTTTGGCATCCTAAGATCACCCACTCGAATTAAAAATTTTTCACTTTCAAATCCGATTGGTTTACTCCACTAGACCCATTTCCTTATCCTCTTGTTGAAAGCTTTGGGTCAACTGTGTTTTTTAGATGAAAAGCGCTGACGATCTCATTTTCTCTTCAATATACTAGAAGACGATTTGCTGTGGCTCTTCAATCGCGATCACTTCCACTCGAGTGAGTGCAGACGACAGTGCATCATCCGCGCCAGGAACCGGCGAACCGACAACCACTCGCGTGGCAGGAGCAGTTTGAGGAGTTCCTCGGCGAAAGCGGTCCAGTCCTCGCAAAGGTAGCTCATAGAACCCAAAAAATGCGTGAACCGCCAAGAGTACACGACCTTGCATTCGACCGGAGCCGCAGCAACACCCACCCCACTTGCATGAATATTTCGCAGGTGGTCATCCTCTTCAATATTGTCGGGACCGCCATTCTCGTAGTTCAAATTCGGCAGAACATCCGTCACGTGGACGAAGGACCTGGACAGATCAAAATCTTCAACCAGATTGTCATTCTTGGCAGTATCTATAAAAGGACTAGCTTGTGCACGTGCTGCAGCAGTAGGAGATCCGTCCTGGAGAGGAACAACATCGGGAGCTGCCTGATTGTAATATGCTGTGCTAGAAGATGTGGGACGTTCTCGATTTTGCTCATCTTTCCCCTCGTCGATATTGGTTAGTCCTTGATGGTCACCGCGACGTCGTTGTGCTTTTGTCTTGATGTCGGCAAATACCGAATGCTGGCCTTCGACTACTTCGTCGTCGTGGGTTTTGCTGAGCAAGTCCTCTTGATTTTTGTCCTCAGACGGTCTCGGTCGTTGTGGCGATGGAGTCTGCATGTCCATAGCATTTCCAGCGTTTACGATGCTATCGAACGAGGGTAGGATGCCAAACGCGCGCCGAGCCTTTCGCTCGCTGTCGGTCAAGTGCATGCGTTCGGTTCCAACATGGACACTCGACATTGATGCTTCCTGGAGTTGTTGTTCTGCACCAGTTGTTGATGTCTTCTGCTTTCCCATCTCACTCTGAGTCGCTTTTTCTTCCGCGTCCAGTGCTGCCTCAGCTGCAAAGATATCCTTCGTCATTTTGTTGGTCGCTGTAGTAGCTTTTGAAGTCGTCTGTGATGTAAGTCCGTGAGCATTCTGAGCGGTTTTGTCGTGCCGTTCGCTCCAGCGCAGCATTTCGGCGTCACTGGTCATCATGTTGCCGATCACGGCCGATGTGGCAGACTGCACCCGGTAGGTCGCGTTGCGCCGTTGTTTGCCTTGCATTGCGCGTTTCGCTTTACACATCGCGGTGAATCGATCGCGAGCGACGACTTGCGGTAGAATTTCGAGACGCCAATTATCGAGTAAGTCTTGTAATGCTTCAAACGAGGCACACACGGTCTCGAAATTCGTCATCACCGTGTGCAGATACACTGACAACTCCTCATTCTCAGCCGGATTGGTTTGTAGTCGGCCAAGCAAAAACTTTTCGCGCTCAGGACATTGAAGGGCTTTCTTTTCGCTGTACTTGATTTTTCCAATCTCATCTTCCTCCTCGTCTTCATCTTCCCCATGATCATTCTGTTGATCCCCACCGACTGCTGACTTCTTTGGCGTTCCGCCAGAAGTACCAGACGCTGCCGCGACTACTTGTCTTTCTCGTAGTTCTTGTTGTAATTTTTCTTCTTCATCCATCTTCGCGAAGACTCGCTCAGTCGCTTCTTCGACGAGACGATTAGCTTCTTTCTGCGCTCCTGCGTCCAAAAGATCCTGCAAGCGGAAATCCATTAAGGCTGTGAACGCCGATTGAAGGCGCTCCACAATGGCAACGAGCTCGCCCATAGGCAGCGGAAGGTTCTCCTTCGGGCTCAAGAGAGCAGTCGCCGTTCGATTGAAACAATTGCGCCAGAAATTGCTCAGAGCTACCCACTGTCCCAGATTGCTCAGGCAGCTCACGTGCCCTTTTGCAGTCGATGAAGGCGAGAGAGGTAGTTCATGCTCTAGAGGTCGTCGAGTACATGATAAGTTTTGTTCTTCGTAGTTAATTGTAAGCAGTACTAGATTTTCAAGAACGAGGGACCAGATCCAGAAGGTGTCGAACTATTGCAAAATCGACTTATTTAGATAATTCTGAATCATGCTACTGCGTATCTACTTATGCAGTATTGTCAACCTCCATAAAGCCCGTGTCATCCCCGGAAGGAAACGCAGAAACCCTTTGCCGAGAATGCTCTCCAGAACCAGGTGGCGCAACACTTCGTTGTCATCCCAGATCAAGTTCGTTTCGTAAAATTTAGCTCCAACTTTAGCTTGCAGCTCTGCTTGTTCTCCATGCACACACGCTAGTGTTTCCATGTCATGCAAGGCGCGACGGCGCAAAATCACTTTCCTCACGACTCGCTGAAACACCTCACGCAGATCCTTTTTGGTTTTCGAAGTTCGTCGTGAAGTGGGAACAACGCGAACTTGGTTGGATCCACTCCCAGACAAGAGCGGAGCGCGCTCGTCCTCAAACGTCGGGCTTTCACGTCCTTTTTGTTCGGAACGCTTGGCGTTGGAGATTTGTTTTTGTGTTCCATGCTCAGCATCGTCGAACGAAGCGAGGCGAAGCTCACCCACAACGCCAATGGTAGGATCATTTGTTAAGTGAGAACCGCGAAAGGCACCTCCATCTGCAGGACTGCTCGAGACCGTGGTTGCCGTGGTTCTTCCAACTAAAGGCTGCTCGTGGACAGCTGTGGCTGCGGAAGACTTGATGTAGTTAACATCCGAAGTAGACCGTTGGTCGGCATCCGCGCGAGGAATTGTGCGCGGCGGCGTTGACATAAATGGTGGAGGCAAGTTTGCGTGACCTTCAGCACCTTCGCGCTGCTGCCTGTTCTTATCGATAGCACTCGATGCGCTGATTCGAGAACCCGTGGCGTCGGGATGCTGCTCGAGGCGGCCACGTGGGCCTTCTTCAGGAGAAGCATCCTTAGAAATAGAAGTCATCTTGAGATCAAGGCCGAGAGCGGCCAAACCCATTCTGCTTTGCTGCAGGTCTCTATTGACTTGTATACCATCCAAGAGGCGCAAGCGGTACTCTTGGTTCTTCATGTACTTGCGGAAGCCGCCCAGCAGCACCTGAAAACAACTGCCAACCGCTTCCTGCGTGTTTTGGATGATCTCGTGGCGTGCTTTTTTCAGTTTGAGGAATCGCGGAAAAAGGTACGGCAATAGCAGAGCACAGAGCCCGCCCACAAACATGCCGATGGCAACCGAGAGTCCACGTCGCAGCATCGCTACGTAGATCGAACCTGCGTGCTCACGACCCAGCTTCTGGACATTCACTTGCATGTTGCCCAGCAGGTCGTCCACACTGAAATCGTGGCGAAAGGACATCCAATCCGACAGAGTGGGGTAGCTCGTCGCAGACGTGCCCGCAGCGACGAACACGTCGATCGGGGCCGCGTACGTGATGAGGGACTTCTGCGCGGGTGCGGGAGAGGCTGGAGGAGCTGGTGAGCGTGGAGCAGCAACCGGAGATCGCGATGCAGGTGACCGTGGACCTGGCGGAGAACCGGAGTTGGTAGCGGCCGAAGTAGCAATGCCGGACAAACCAGCAAAATCTGCTCGAGCTTGTAGTTGCATTCTCGTGGGCGCAGCGGCTCCTTCAGTCGTAGTGCCAGATGTTTGCTGTTGTTGTCCACCATGACCAGCAGCAGCACCACCACTATCACCACCTCCATCAGTGGTATTTGCTAATGAACCTCCACCATCATCTGGACCTGGGTGTGTACCTGCAGCCACCACGGGCGCCGCAGCATCACCTGCAGAAGCAGACACTCCTGCGACAAGCGCAGCGGCTCCTCCGGCAGCTCCACCTGCAGTAGCAGCGAGTGATGCATCAGTTCCAGTGTTCTCATCACCTGTGGCGTCAGCTGCTGGGGTAGAACCAGCGGTCACGGATTCTGTCGCAGTGGCTGCAGCTGACTGTTCTCCATCTGCAGCAGGACTTGTTGCGGACGTGCTATTGCCCGCTCGAGCAGTCACTGCGGTTGGCGCGCCACCCAGATTTACAGCAAGCTCAGGATCCACTCCTGCTGGAGTCGGGAGCACCTCGACCTCAGCTTGTTCTCCATCGTTCGCGGTGTCACCTTGTTGTTCACCTTCTCCTGTGCCCGAAGTTTCTTCGCTCCCTGCAGCCTCACCTCCTGGGCCTCTTTGGAGGAACACGCCACGAGACTGCTCTTCACCGTTTGCGCGAGCTTTGATCGACGAGCCAACATTTTGCAGCAGGCCGCCGACTGAGCGGGCAACGGCCCTCCATGCGTTCGACAAAGTTCCATTCCCTTGTTCCTGATCTTCACCACCATCAGTTGGATTAGCCGACTCCCCATTCTGCTCGCCAATCTCTCTAGAGTTCGCTGCAGCCGCGGCCGCACTTTTCTGAGTTTCGGGGTACGCTGCGGCGTAGTCAGTCCCATACTCGTCATCGATGACGCGAACCATTTTGGCGAACGTCATGAGTTTGCGTAACTCCTTATTCCGGGGCAATCCCGAGGCAAGCTGACTGTTGTCGCTGTAGTGGCGACCGATAGCACCGAAGACAATCATGGTAATCGCACTGATGCCGACACCCAGCGGTTTCTTGTAGCGCTGGCCGCACTTCCCGTAGAATTTCAAAAATTCTGAGAATTAGAGCTGCTCACGACGGTCACGTGCTTTTACACGACGTCGATGAAGATCCATGATATCACGTGGATTTCATCATCATCAAGAGAACAACGTGACAGACCATCTTTAATATCATCATCATGCGCCTTCTTCTACTTCATCTCCCCGTTCTTTATAACATTGATGACGATCAGTGACACTGACAGAAGTCGAAGATTATCATTATTATTCGGAGAAGGGTAGACGGTTATCCCCAGACCTACAGGCGGCCTACAAGCGGAACCTGAAGCACAGCGACGCGCGAAGCAAAAGCAGGGAGGAGAGTCCTAACGAAAAGCGCCGCGGCCCGGGTGCGTTTGCCAGTGCCGTCAATCATGGCGAAACAAAGGCCACGAAGGAGAGCCCTGGCCAACACTGGAGAAAGGTAAGCAGGTGCAGCGGTAAAGGCAACAGGCGAAGCATCGTCAGGGGCATTCAGTCGAAAGCCGGCACGCCACACCAAGGCAAGCGCACCGGACCCCCCCGCATGGGCGAGCTGCCTGGAGCGTGAAATGGCTCAACGATGGCAACAAGCCTGCACCACGTGCACGAGAAGGGAGCGGCGGCGCCCCTGCATGGTGCCGCTGACTGCTGCTTTCGAAGAGCCAACGCATCATCGACCGCAGCCTACGGTCCCGCAAGATAATCGCAGCACGCCAGTGGAACCGCAGGCAAGAAACAAGCACGACCAGCCGGGCCACGATTGGAGTGGTTCCAACATCACAGACGCGACCCCCAATACTCGCCAGCCGGCGGGGAGCGCTGGGGCGCGCGAGCACCAGATGCCCTGCCGGACCCCGGTAACCGACCGGGCTCCATTCGTACGACGCAGAACCAAGAGCCAAGCCCCGGACCTCGCCCGAGGGCGCCGAGGTGCGCAGGTCGTCTTTCGATTTTTCGCGCGGTAGTGTTGCCCCACTGGGCCCCGGTGACCAGCCGACGACAGACGTCGAAGATGATGATGTTGAGTCGCAAATTCTATATTAATCATGGAAAATAAGAATTGTTGGCCAATGGTCATTACTGGCTCAAGATTCAATGGATGAACCTGATTTCAATGCCAAATGACTGCTCTCACTCGTCACCTTGATCATGATCAATGCCGTTCCTTGTCTTGAACTCATTTTAGTTCCTCGCATGATCATCATTTGAACTCAATGAATTCCAACATGAATCAGCAGCAACATCTCCCAGATCTTTAACTGCACTATGACCCTTCATGATATCCCAATGACATTGAACCCATTTTGATACCATTTCAAGGCCTTAAACAGTCAGTGACCATTCAGCACGTCCGTTCTGATCGTCTTTCTGTTACATTGCAACGATAATCATTTCGTTTGCTCTCAAGAGCCTCATAGTGCGCTTGGACGTGTTCGGGTGTTCCAACACTGTTCCAAGCCCTTGAGCCTTACCTTATTAAAGAAATAACTAGTCAATTCTTTGTAGAAGTAGAGAAAACAAAGTCGCATTACTTGCGCCACAAAATGCCCGATATGAGTCTCGGAGAGATTTCACCCAAACTGGGGCAGAAATCAGATTGGCGTGACTGGCTTCGAGCGGTAACGCAAGAAGCAGACCGCCTGGACCTAGTCCAATACCTCAGCAACGTGCTGAACGGCAATGCGGCAGGGGTTCCGAACCAACCCAACAACAACGGCCGCAAGCTCCAGCAGAATTGGCGAGATTTGAAGAATGTGATCACCAAGTCGCTCAAAGGTGCAGCCGAAGCACATATGAAGGATCAGGATACCACTGTAATGAACGCTGGCGAAGTGGTAACGAACCTCCGTGGCGCTGGGTTCAGTCAAAATGACCGCACAGAGCAACGAACCTCTGCTAAAGCGTTGGAAGGGATGCATTTCACGAACCGTGATTCTCCTCCAGACGTTCCAACATTCCTGGCGAAGGTTAGAGATGTCATGAACCAATCTCCGACCGTATACCCGCCGGAAGTTGGTGTGGCTGTTGCTGATCAACAAAATGGAGCAATCCTCGACATTCTGCCAAAAATGTTTTCCAAAGCATTTCGACAGACAATCGAGAGGATGCAAGAAGATGAACATCTAACGTTCGTCCAAATCGGTGACAGACTCACGAAACGGCTTCAAAGTTTGATTGACTCTGGTGAGTACAAGATCGAGAATCCATCTTTCGGCAAAGCTTTTCCAGCTGTCGAAGATTCCGATGATGAAAACCAGAACAATAACAAAACCAAGAAGCGTAAACGTCAAGATGAGAGTGATGACGATGGTAACGCGTTTGCCGCTCTCAAGAAAACAACGATCAAACGACTTCGCAAGAAGATTCGCAAAGAAATCAAGAACGAGGTCTACGCAACAAAAGGAAGTGGAAAGAGTAGTAGTAGTAGTTCTAGTAGTAAGAAGAACAAAGGAAATGGCAAAGGTAAAGGTGCTAAGAACTCAAATCCTAATGAGGGCATCCAGTGCAACTATTGTCACAAATATGGACATAAGGCGCACAAATGCTGGCTAAACCCGATGAGTCAAAGCTACCAACCTAACAAAGCCATGGGCAGCAACTTCTTCAACAATTCATACAACTGTTGGCCGCAAGGTAACACTATCCCTCCGTGGCACCAGAACAACTATCCACCGCAACAAAGTGGAGGAAAAGGATTCGACAACGGTAACCCACAGCAGCAATGGGGTGGACAACAACCACAACGCTGAGTCGAAACCAATCCGGAATGGAATGGATATGGGAGACGAGATGGACAGTCCCAAGATGAAGAAGAATTGGAAGAAGATTTCCAAAATGAGGATGGAAAATGTTCGCTGAACTTGGAAGAAAACTTTGAGAATAAAGAATATAGAAGTGAACTGCTTAGGGATGAAAGCTATATGATTGACAATCACTCAGGTTGCTATCTTAGTGCAAATCAAAGCAAAACAGTTTCACTTGTTGACAGTTGTGCAAATAAGTATTTGTCTAGCCATCGTTCCGATTTCAAGAAAATTAGCCACCGGCTTTGTCATATTAGTGGCACTGCTGGAAAGCGAAGTGGGAACCTAGGTAGACTAAAAGAAAACAAACTAGGATTAAAATATGGCGTACACTTTGAACACTTACCAAAAGCCATAGATCGCATTATACCGTGGTTAGGTGAAGGAAACTGTCATGAAAAGGGTTGGCAAATGAATTTCACAGAAAGTGGCGGAACGTTGTACAATACTCGCTCCGGCCGCTCTCTACCCATAACAAATTGCCCCCAGATGCAGTTACCTATTCTAGGCTGTGACATGTTTAGCAAAGAAGAAAATGAAACTGAGGAGGATATAGTATGCACTAGTATAGAAGAAGCTAGACTTCATTCACAAGCTTCAAGATTAGACATACATCGTAGACTTGGTCACTTTCACGTTGATGGCCTTAGTGTATCTTGTCCAGAATGTGATCGAACCAAAGGTCAAAGACGCTCTCATGCAAAAGTGAGACCCCCTGGACATATACCTTCTCCATTGAAAACACTTGCAATTGATTTCGCAGTTGGTATTAGACCAGTATCTATAAGAAGCAAAAGATGTGCTTTAGTCATTATTTGTGATTCGATTAAAATGTGTTTCGTTCGTCCTCTTTGCCTCAAGTCGGACTGCGTAGAGGTGATTGAAGAAGTAATAAAAGGCATTCGCCAGGACTACTCATTGTCACTCGACGACAAGGTGGTGTGGTTCATCCGTAGAGATAACGAACCCGTCCTAAGTAGTGACCATATGACCAAAGTCATGCAATCGCTACTGGTTTCGGAAATTCCTGGAGTTCCTTACAACCCAGAAATGAACGGAACTTGCGAACGTTTCATGCGGACCATTTTCGGTGCTGTACGTACCATGTTGGTCAAAGTCGACCGACGTCTTTGGTGTTACTGCTTACAGTATGCCGGAGATTGTTGGAATCGCTTACCGCATCGTTATGCAAA